TAACATTTCTTTCTGACTATATATGTACACATTCCTTCTGACTTTATATCTTTGCATAAAGATAAAACTTCAGTCAACTTTAGTGTTGCATGACCTGATTGGTTTTTATGTGTATCTAAATACATTGTGACAGGAGTACGGTCAAACCTGAGTACTGTCCCAATTGGATATTTTGTACCCATCTCTTGAGACCTACAGCAGGTACACGGGTAGGGTCGGGTAGTAGGGGGGTGGGTACCCGGTAGATTATTGCACTTATGTAGCGATGTATGTGCATGCATGTGTGCGTGCGTGTGTGCAAGCGTGCGTGCAAGCAAGAGAGAGAGAGAGGAGAGAGAGAGAGAGAGAGAGAGAGCAGACAGGTTACCATCTGTTAACGTCTTTTGGTATAATGCGGCCGGGGATCAAACCCCAGCCCTTGCACTCTCTGGGCGGACGCTCTACCACTAGACCCCGGAGGCGGTTGAATTACAGGTTATCTGTCCTGACTGAATGAATGGTATTAATCCCAAGCCTTTACTTACAGCATTCAGATAATCCATAATTCCAGTTTCGAGTAGGCTGTTTTATATATTACTCATTGCCATTTTACGAGAGAAAATGAAGAAAAAGTATGAACTGTTAAACCTACCGAGAAACTTCACTGAAGGCAGCCTATTGTTCAGATGACGTCATATACCGTATTCGACGTAATAAGTGCGCTCTCAAAATTAGAAATAAGGGGCTCTTATTAGATTATTATTTTGGTGGAAAAAACAGAGTTGAAAGATAAATTTCGCGGTTTATGCTGACAGCCAGAAATGTTTATGTATGACAGATATATTTTTCCAGAATTTAATTGCCCATAATTAAGGGTGCATTTAACACACGAGTACGTGTTATACATGAATAAATAAGTCTTGTGTACATTGATCAATAGGAAGGGGTGCTAATTGGGATTGTTCACTAGCCAATATATTAGCAAATGTCGCCGGGGCGCTTATTAGAGCGGGGCGCTTATTACATCGAATATGGTAATCAGTTTGGGACGTCATAAACAATGGATGACCACATACCATGTTTTTCTCAACAGTGAAGCACTGTGACATTATAAGGCTTCAGACCAATCAGCATTGAGAATCGCAAAATGCACATGTGCTAATATTGGAGAGTTGTTACACACGTTAATGTTTGAAGTCTCTACACTGGCTGCAAGTTCGCGAGAGAACTGATTTCAAGCTCCTATCTTTGGTATATGAAGCAGTGCACGGAACAGCCCCTCCACAACTTCAAGAACTCACATGGCACTATGTCCCTCCAAGAACTCACATGGCACTATGTCCCTCCAAGAACTCTCAGGTCAAATCAACAATTACAGCCGCAAGTACCAACATTGAAATAAAAGACTTTTGGATCCAGATCTTTCAGTGTGGCTGTGTGTTGTTTGTGGAATCCCCTCCCTCTCACACTGAAATCATAACCAACTCTCCAGTCTTACAAATCCGGACTTAAAACTTATCTTTTCCTACCCTACTCCCAGTGACATTCTTTCAGACTCTTGTATATATGTATATATGCTGCTCGAGCTTTGAGCATGTCCCTTAGTGATGTTGATTTCAGAGCTACACAAATGTCATCATCATCATCATCATCATCATCATCAATCATCATCATCATCATCATCATCATCATCAATCATCATCAATCATCATCGATCATCATCATCAATCATCATCATCATCATCATCATCATCAATAATCATCATCGATCATCATCATCAATCATCATCATCATCATCATCATCATCATCAATCATCATCAATCATCATCGATCATCATCATCAATCATCATCATCATCATCATCATCATCAATAATCATCATCAATCATCATCATCATCATCATCAATAATCATCATCAATCATCATCATCATCAATCATCATCATCATCATCAATCATCATCATCATCATCAATCATCATCATCATCATCATCATCATTCTACTGTCCTCTTTGGTAGTATTAACATTTACATCATTATATTCTGTACGCCCCAATCTTGGATAGTAATGATGAAAATACCACCTAAAAGCTGGAGAGATTTTGAATTTCATTGTTTGATTGTTTGCCAGCCATATAAAACTTTTCAAAGTATATCCTCAAGATATGTAGATCACCCTGAATTTGACAGATACATCTATTTCAATTTTCGAGAACAAATATCCATTCCTTCCCTTCCTGGTCAAATGATAGATTACGTTACCGTCAGAAATGAAAGATAATATTTATTATCCCCAGTTTGACAAATTTCAAACACACTTGTTAGATTTCAGTGCAGATGTAAGTTTGACTGGAGTAATTCTGGTTGGACATTGAACCTTGATCTCTGTGTAGGAAAACACTGCAGTAATGTGCCATTGGTCCTCAATCAAGGGATAATTGGGAAGGTTGCGTGTCACTGAGGAGGGGTCGGTTTACTGTTTCTAAGGGCAACAGTATAATTTGCAAGACGATGAATGTTTGCAGCAGGATCGGTTTAGTCAGAAGCATGTTATGTGAAGATGAGCAAGATGTTTTCTGTAGTGGGTTTTACTAATGGTGAAATATTCATATAAGTTCTGGAATAATGGAAGCCTAAATTATTTAAGTTTTGAAAGAAACAATCATCGGTGACTTTTAAATATTTTATGTTTTTCAAATAAATGAAACTGTTTGTGTAACTTATTATTTTATCGGAAGATTTTTGCATGACAGTTTCATCAAAGGGTTTACAGGTGAATTTCAGTTATATCTTGAAACCATTATTTTTTTAACATGATGGTGGTTTGGCAATATATGTATGTAAAGAAATCTGGATACGAGAGTAAGTTTTCTATGAATCTGAATTTCTGTTGTCTCCTGCTGTGACATTGCAGGAATATTGATAAGAACAGCATAAAACCACACTCACTCACTCACTCACTCACTCACTCACTCACTCACCCGCTCACTCAACCACTCACTCACTCAACCACTCAACCACTCACTTAACCACTCACTCAACCACCTACTCAATCACCCACTGTCGTACTTATTTTACAAAATGTCATCATTCTTCCACACAATCCTATAGGTACATCCCGAGAAGAGAACAGATTGTATAGGTAATCAGGATTTCTCATTTTGCACTGTATTTTGGGGTTTTACAAATAGGACCAGATATATTCAACTGCATCAATTGTTTTTAGATCCTGTAGATCAGGTGACTGTGAAATGAAGTTTTCCAAGTCAATTAAAAAAAGTGAAAAACAAAACTAAATGTTGCAGGTTTGATTTAAAATTAATTTCTTTAAATTATTTCTTGAAATAAAAGTGTTCACAAAAAAAATAAAAAATGAAGTTTTAACAAAAATAATCAATAAACACACTTTTAGGTTCATTAATTTTACATTTGTAAAACTAAGACATCTGATCTTTAAATAAGAAAATAATTTACTCTGGCCTTATAATAGAATATTCATAAACCATTCCTGCATTACTGTGTCACTACGTACACCAAGGGTTAACAATGTACATTACCAGCTTGTTTGACTGCATCAATGTGTGATTTGTCTTAATATGTACATCTTTAAACTAAAGCCCAGCAAGGTCAGAACGACATCAGTCCCGCACAATATCAACACTGAGTTTGTAAAGACCTTGCAAGACTGAGGAAGACAATAGCTTGAGCTCCAGCTCGGTGGATAGGACAGATAGTATTCGTGTACTGTGACAGCCGTGGTCACATGAATAATTAAGTATGTCATCGTGGTGTGTCGGGTGTATTGTTGGAGCTTGCAACCAGGCACCAACCTCAACTGCTGAATTTTTTATGTGTGATTTCAGAAAACATATTCTTCTCAATATTCTTCATTTGATATACTACATTCGACAGCAGACTACAAATAGAAATAAATTACTGCAATTTTAATGAAGTTGCTAGCACACAGTAACAGATTGCAGTTGAGATTTCAGGGTATATATAAGGATAAGAGCTATGGACGTAGGGGCATCATTGCATCCTGGTTGTCAAACTTGTGAGAAAATTGGCGAACAAAAATTGGGAGGATTTGGGTAGTTGTCGACAAGCTGTATTCTTTTTTTGACATTGTTGGATTATCGGACTTGTGGATTTAAAAATCTTGACCTTTTATGATGGGTAAGCATTGATTTAATTGGTGTTAGTTTGTATTAATTTTTTGTTTGTTTGTAGTTATCGTTGCTTTTTCTTTAAAAAATGAAATACATACATTTTTGTGTTTTTTATATTGAATACGATATAGTTGTAAGAAAGCAGCATCTTAAAGATACTACTGTCTTTCTTCCAGGTTTTAATGTCTTTCTGATTAAGTGAATATGGATATCAGGAGAAATATTCAAATATATCCAAAATTTCAAAAGTTGATTAATGATTTCTTTGTTCAACGTTCTGTGTTTTGTTTTATGAGCAGTTTTAAGGGGAAGATGTTTGGTTTATCTTGACAATATCAGTGGTAAAAGCTTCATTACATGAAAATATTTTAGTTGAACTATCAGCATTGATTTTTTATTAAATAATAAATACTTTGATTCAAATTAAATACATATTTACAGATATTGTTATTTGAAGTGGTTGTTTTTGTTTGTTGTTCATACAATGCGATCTCATTACCATGTCGCCTTTTTATCCAACATGTCTTAGATCTCTTTTATTCAAATATCCTGACGGAGTTAACATTTTCACAACAAGAGATAAAAAATGAGGAGAGAGGTAAATTGCATGTAATCCTTGAGATGAGTTTGTTTAGGTTGTGTTTGTGGGTTATCGACTTAACAGGTGATGTTGTCCGTCGGCTGTATCCATTCCTTGCTTGTTTGTTATCGATGACTTAACATGGCTGTTTGTTTGCTTCGCAGGTGGTGTTTTTGTGATGAGGCTTCCAAATCACATATTTGCACCCACTTTCCAAACACATATGATCCTTTTCAAATTTAATCGCCACACGTTATTCTCTGTCGCCAGATGAGCAACCGACGAAACCCCAGTTTCCGCCTTGCGGTAGAAAGTCGTGAGAAGGATGGGTGGACCAGTGGCCGCTGCCTCCAGGTTCAGCCGCCGCCCACCACCTGTTACGACAAGATGGTGCATAAAGTAGCCAGAGAGTTCCTCACGGATGAGCTTGACCGCCAGTATTATGCTGACCGCTACAAATGCTGCCCCCCTCCTCTTCTTATACCTGCAATCACTCTCATAGAGGTAGGTCAGGAGCCAATGCTTAACTATAGGATGGCTATGCTTAACTATAGGATGGCTATGCTTAACTATAGGATGGCTATGCTTAACTATAGGATGGCTATGCTTAACGATAGGATGGCTATGCTTAACTGTAGGATGTTTATGCATAACTATAGGATGGCTATGCTTAGCTATAGGATTGCTATGCTTAACTATAGGATGTTTATGCATAACTATAGGATGGCTATGCTTAACTATAGGATGGTTATGCTTAGCTATAGGATGTTTATGCTTAACTATAGGATGGCTATGCTTAACTATAGGATAGTTAACCAACGTATAGAGAAACAGGTATTTTTTTTGTTTATTATTTGGTTGTATGAACTAATGTATAATTCACATTGAGAATAAACAAAATGGAGATTTTGAAATAAACAAAAAAAAGTTTGAATTTTTTTTTATTTAAATGATTAACTATATGATGTCAATGACCAATGAAAACAGTGGTTTTTAAAGAAAAATATATTTGCTGTTTGTTTTTGTTTGATTGGACCCATGAATGATTTACCACAAGAATAAATAAAATTAAGCTAAAAAACTGAACATTATTTGATTGAAATGATTAACAATACAATGTCATTAGCACAATGAAAAATTTATTTTTATGAAAGAACTATTTGTATCATTTTGTTCCTAATTTTGATTGTTTTACTAATGAATGATTCATGTTGAAAGTAAACAATATCATACTTGTGAGCAATACAAAATATCACTGAGAGTTATTTGATCCAAGTGATTATAATTATACACTGTCCATACGATGATTATACTGTTTTTTTGTGAAGAAATATGTTTCTTGTTTGAACCAATGCATGATTCACATCAAGAATAAACAAAATCGATCATGTGAAAAAATTTAAACATCGAAAAGTGTTTGATCCAAATGACAAGAAAATAAGGTTATCAAATAATGCTGGAACTAAAAGAAGCACAATGACTAGCATAGGAATCAATTAATTTCTATTCAAAACTTGCCTCCTCTATTATGTGAGAACAAAGTCATTCAGAGTAGTAGGTCTTTGTGTTACTTTAAAGCAAAGAGATAAAAGACAAGATAATCAAATCCCCCAAGCCATGTGGGGCTTTCCAGTTGATCCTTTATGAAATGTCAATCGCCAGCCAATCACTTGTCAATCAGTCATCAAACACCTTCAAGCATCGTTATCATATAAAAGTGTATGAGGTCATATTTTGCTGTGTTTGTATTCATTCAGACTGAATATGAGAAATGAGTTACGGTCTTCCCGGGTCTTCGGCGTGACAAGCGAACGCTTTAACCACTAGGCTACCCGACTGCCCCTTCTAACATGAAGAAGAGCTGTGTTTCTTGTCTGTGTTTCCTGAGAGATACTATTTATATGGTTGGGATTCATATAGCACTAACCTCAGCCTTTTAACTCTGAACAGTTATTTTGTGGGGTAATCATATTTATCTTTCTTGATATAAGCTTGGATTTTTCTGGACCTGCCTCCAGAAATACCTCCGAAATTAAGAAAATAAGAACGTTTTAAATCCCATTTTTGAACTAAATAACTATTTATAGCAATTTTGATTCCGAGGGCATTTTGTTTGAAATCCTAGTTATAAACCTACTGCCACTATTGCCTAGAGTATTGTCTGTATCTAGCTATCGCATAATAACCTTGTGAGAGGTACTACTTTCAAGTGAGGCCTGCTGAGATGTTTTACATTTGAATTGTAAGACCTAGGTTTTACATGTAATTGCATTACAGACTTTTAATGATTTTTGATTGGTTAAAGTCACAATGTTTTTCTCATGAAAATTCCATGGCTTGAATCAAACCTGCAACCCCACATATCATGTTTAGTATTGTGACCCACTGTTTTCCCACTGAGCCACTGGCTCAGGGGATGAAAGGTGCTCAATCTTAAATGTCAGGACTTCAGTTGTGTGAATGCTGCACATGGTCTTTCTTTTGCATGCTTTCATCAAATTTGTTTTATACCATGACCACTGTATTGTTTCACTATAGGGTATTCCAATGTTTTTTATTCTTCTGGTATTTCTTATAGTGGTTCGTAACTTTGTTAAAAGACTCCTTCACGTTTTTTGTTAAAAATGTAAAACCTCAGAGTCATGTTTTAACTATGACATAAATCCCCAGTAAAGAAATTCAGTGTATCAATGGCATGATAAACTACAAACAGCAAACCAGAGCACACTTTGTGAACTAGTGGTTGATAGCCTAAACACTTAACCAAACCAATGACTTATACTGACCCAATAATTCAGCCCGGCGACATCTAAGAGGACGGCTGCCCTAGTGGCACCCCATCAATGTACTCATCCTTTGATCCCCATCCCAATCTTTCCCATGGAGCGGTGGGATTTGTCCACTGAATCCCACGGGTGTGTTAGGGTCGTGTCTGAGTTGACGGGGTGTGTTTGTGTTTCAGATTGGTTGTTTTATCTACTACTGTCTCGAGTCCGGCAGTATCGAGCCCAACGGCCCAGTGCCCGTCAACTCTGTGTTTATATACCGTCCAGACCGCAGACTCGAGCTATGGCGCTTCCTCTTTTACACACTGCTGCATGCTGGGTAAGATTTTCAACTTTATTGCTGTGTCTATGATTATCGTGGTTCTTTTTAGATGACATGTAGTACTGATCATGATAATGATAAAATTACGCTCCCATGAAGACCATGGTTAGAACTGGTCTTCAATAACCAATGTCGTAAGAGGCAACTAATGGGATCGGTTGGTCAGGCTCACTGTCTTGGTTGATGCATGTCATCGTATCCCAATTGCATAGATCGATGCTCATGATATCAATCTCTGGATTGTTTGGTTCAGACTAGATTATTAAGAGACTGCTGTCATTCAGCTTGAATATTACTGAATTAGGCATTGTACATCCAACAAACAAACTAGTATAAAATAACATAATTGAACAAAGTGCAAAAGTAATTTGGTTTAACATGTCTATGAACGATATTTTAGCTATATCATGGCATGTCAGCTTCATGTGGGTGAAAATTATCTAAAGAAAAGTTATGATAGCTCCTAAATTGAAATTATGCATGCAAGAATATCAGAACACACTGAACTTCACGGACATGCCGATAGACTGACCATTTAGATTTGCAATCAAAGTATTCTGATTGAAATTCTTTTTGTTATCATTGCAAAATAAGTCTCTGCTATTTTGTATAACACTAGCACCAGTCCAAGAAGCATTCAAAAATAATTAAAAACTCACAGGAAAATAAATTTCATCATTTTCAACTAAGGTGGCGTAAACCTAACGTACTCACTTATGCACTCTAGACAATCATATGCCTCATATTGGTTTGACTTTTTCACCAGTCATGTATTAGCTGCATCTAAACCAACTTCATTCACATTCTTATCAAATGCATGACACACTGACCTGTTATGACAGGTATACTTGTAAAGTGCATATAGTGAAAGTCTTTACATGTTATACCAACCAACAGGATCTGCTAGTCAGGCTTGCTGACTTTGTTGATGCATTTTATCGTATCCCAATTGCATAATCAATGCACATGATGTCAAAAACTGTATTGTCTGGTCCAGACTTGATTATTTACAGACCGCCATCATACAGTTGCAATAGTGGTGAGTGTGTCTTTAAACAACAAACAACTGTTATACCAGTTAGATTTTCCAAATAAAATATTTAAAAAAATGCTAATTAAAATATTCCTGTAGTAGCATAGACACTTTAATGAGGCAATTATTGGCGACACGAAAGCATTTCAGCATGGCTGCACAATGATCTTGTCACAGACCTGCATCAGGAAATAGATACTATTTTCTCATCTACTATTCTTCAGTCTGATAACTGTATAAAACCTCAGATGACCCTATCTAATTGTGGTAAGAGAATCCAGTGTTTCAGTTGAAGAAGCATGGAGATAATGTGTGCTGTTATTGATTTTCTACCACTGATGTTTCTTCTGATTGAGAGAGCGAGCCACCATTAATCAACTGTTAATAATATATACGTCTATTCAGCTGTCTTCAACCGCTTGACACTGTCGCCATGTTACTCATTGACTCCACCACGGATACTATTTGCTTTCAATATTCAGACTAATTTGTGGGATTTGAGGTCAATAAAAAATTTATGCTGGCAGTTTTATTGTTTTCTGAGTGAATGCCATCATTAACTTTGACATGCAAAGCAGAATATAGAATCATGAGGTTTTTAGTGTTTTATCTGTCACTGAAGATTGACATTTGTTTCTTAAAAATTATGGAAGTTGTTTTTTCTTGTTCAATATACGTGTACAACTATGACAGAACAGTCTCCTAAATAATATTGTGATTCCATGATGCATCTGATGCCATGACACTGATATATTCTATAGTTATATACAGCTAGTTTGACCATAGTTTTACCATCAGTGCCGGAGATGCAGACAGAGTGCTATCTCGTAAAGTCATGCTCAAGTGGTGATGCCTTTACGATAGAGTTACATCAGTGTTCGCAGATTTCATTTCTTTGAACAAACAACTTTTATTCTTACGAATCCTCTTCTTCTATTACATCATTGCCATAATCCTGTATTTTGGCTGCAATCACACTATTAAATTAAATTAAATTTTCAGATTTTCAACAGAGGTCCTGTTCACTGTCATCTATATGTAACTACTTGTTCCCATAGTAGCTCCAAATAGCATACAGCTGTTCCGTGTGCAAAGGCATCAGTGTTCCCAGACTTTTTCACCAGTCATATATTAGCTGCATCTAAACCAACTTCATTCACATTCTTATCAAATGCATGACACACTGACCTGTTATGACAGGTATACTTGTAAAGTGCATATAGTGAAAGTCTTTACATGTAATACCAACCAACAGGATCTGCTAGTCAGGCTTGCTGACTTTGTTGATGCATTTTATCGTATCCCAATTGCATAATCAATGCACATGATGTCAAAAACTGTATTGTCTGGTCCAGACTTGATTATTTACAGACCGCCATCATACAGTTGCAATAGTGGTGAGTGTGTCTTTAAACAACAAACAACTGTTATACCAGTTAGATTTTCCAAATAAAATATTTAAAAAAATGCTAATTAAAATATTCCTGTAGTAGCATAGACACTTTAATGAGGCAATTATTGGCGACACGAAAGCATTTCAGCATGGCTGCACAATGATCTTGTCACAGACCTGCATCAGGAAATAGATACTATTTTCTCATCTACTATTCTTCAGTCTGATAACTGTATAAAACCTCAGATGACCCTTCATGAACAAACAAAAACAAAAACTTTATCTGATATTACGTCTTCATGGTCTGTTTTTCTTTTTTTTAACAGAATGAGAAATTAGGCATATTTTTATGTGTTATGTTTTTCACAGACCCATATAAGAATAAGAGGTAGGGTGATTATACTGAAACTTTGGAAAAATAAAATAGATTACTTTTATTGTGGCTCACTAATTGCATTTTCACAAGCAGAGGAACAGAATTTCGTTTTTTAGGGATGCTAAATTGAATTTTCTTGATTTTTAGTTTTCATAATTAATGATTTTCCAGCTTATTGTTTCTACCTGCAAAATTTTATTTTTGCCACATGAAATGTTACCATGTCACTAACATGTCACTAATGTGTAATGTAACCACATGGAGAATTAACAGCTATATTAACGTTATGTTACTGTGTGCAGTTTGTCTATAATGATTACTGGAATGTAACCACATGCAATTTATCCACGTTGCCATGGCCGTTATGTCATGTTCAACTTGTTACCATTGCTGTTGTGTTACCGCATGCAAAGTTACCATGCTCCCACATGCAGTACGTGTTACCATGTTAGCATAGCGAACACTGATAGAGCGAACAAACGGATACGACCTGTCGCAAACCCCCCGTTTTATCTCCAATATATTATCATATAAAACTTACGTACTTAACAAACTCTCCACAGCGAACTAAAGTATATAGCGAACTGATATTTGAAAAAAAATAATAGTCTTGGTTATCAGGCACTGCCAACATCATCATAAAGTTCATTGCATGTGTCATTTTTGTTTCCATTTTCAATTTTTCTTGTGCATTGTGTTTAAGTATTAGGATTTCTATATTTTTTTGAAAATGGAAATAAAAACAAAATGTGCGGCAGACTTTATGATGATGCGGATTGTGCCTGATAACCAAAACTACTATTTATTTTAGCCTTAGTGACGTGTATACTGAACTGAGAAATCTCACTCAGTGTCAAGTGTCACTGACAATTGGCTGTACGCAATCAACGGCGAATCAACACAATCAGCGGTGATTTTTTAACCTTGTTAAACTTGCTTTATGTTAACCTTACCCATACATGTTATTGGACTTATTTTGTCTGTAAAACAAACAATAAACCTTTTCAGTTTCACAAATGCAGTCAGCAAAATGAGGCCAGAGCAATTAAAATCACTGATTACACATCTCCCCATATGTAAATTGTGAAATGCTAAATACATATTTGATGAGCAAAAATGTTATGAATCTAATGTTATTAAATGAATGTTATGAAATGTTATCAATTGAGTGCTATGAAGTGATCACTGCTAATACAATTCAATGCTGCAACTACATGTATTGTGTTTTGTTTTATCCAAGATGGCGGACATTTCAGAGCAAAAACGTACATAACAAACAACGTATATAACAAACTGATTTCTCCGGTCCCTTGTAGTTTGTTATATCCATGTTCTACTGTATATATATTTAGTGTTAACAGAGTCTATATGTGTGTGTCTGTCCGACAGGTACATACATCTGTTCTTCAACATGGCGGTACAGATCTGTGTTGGGATACCGCTGGAGATGGTGCATGGGTCATGTCGGATACTGATTGTGTACCTGGCAGGTGTGCTGGCAGGTCAGTCATCATCAGATACATAGCATCACTACCTTCAAACCTCAAACTTCAAACATATATTCCTCCATGATACCGACCCGTGAAGATTCCGGGGTAGAATAGGTCTTTAGCAACCCATGCTTGCCGTAAAAGGTGACTATGCTTGTCTTAAAAGGCGACTAATGGTATCGGGTGGTCAGGCTCGCTGACTTGGTTGATGCATGTCATCAATCCCAATTGCGTGGATCGATGCTCATGATATCAATCACTGGATTGTCTGGTCCAGACTCGATTATTTACAGACCGCCGTCATATAGCTGAAATATTGCTGAGCGGGCGTTAAACAACAAACCAACCAACCAGCCTCCATAATACCACCACTGTGATACAAGAGAACATGAACCAAATAATGCACAGTGAGTGAGTTTTATGCCGCTTTTAGCAATATTCCAGCAATATTCCAGCAATAGTCCAGCAATATCACAGCGGGGGACACCAGAAATAGGCTTCACACATTGTATCGAACCCGGGTCTTCTGTGTGATGAGCGAACGCTTTAACCACTAGGCTACCCGACCGCCCCAAATAATGCACAAAGGTCATTAAGATGGCCATCATGTGGCTGTTCTTTAATTGGAATTTGTCTAAGTTTTGTGAATACAATAGTTACGAATTTGAAGTTTTTAATTTTTTTAAAGTTTAGTGAATTGAAGAGGTGTTGAAATGACATCATATCAGGCCAAATGAAATATTTATTTGGGATGTATAGTTATTGTATTCTTTGAGAGCTTATAAGGCATCAAAAAATGAAGTGAAATTCATCTGCTATTGCTGGGGAATTACTTAATTTACATGTTCTGTCCTCTCTTCCCTAACATCTCATACAGTCACATGATTGTATGAGATCATGGATAGTGCTGAGGCGACATTTTTTTTCTTTCTTGGTTTACGGATTTCAGACTCATTTCAAAAGTGAGGCAGGCCAATTTAAAAAAAATGCAAAAAAAAAGCCTCTCACATTTTTTTACTTGAATTTTGTGCTCAAAAGTTAGGTAGGTATGAAAAAAAATATCCTGGCGTAATAAAAGTAAAATAACTCAATTTTTCAAGAACATTTTATTATATCCCTGGCACTCAGCTTGTGCACAGATGGCAACATAACAATATTCATGTAATGGGTGGAAATGCGTGAAAGAAGCTGCTATTTTGGCATCATGGACAACGTTTAACTCTTTCAACACCAGCCAACCAGAAGATTACTGCTGTGACACCAAGTTCCCAGAGACTCTTGTGTGATAGATGAAACCAACATTTATCAAGGAATTATCTGCTGAAATTAACATCTTTGCTACTACATGTTTGGCCATACACTATTTGAAAGGTCTAATTAAACCTATTGTTTATAAATATGAAAGTTATGTGTATTACATTATTTAAATAATTCATTAACAACTAAATAAAGTTCGTTTTAAATTTAAAAAATGTAAGCTAAAACATTCATAACGTCCAGATTTAAAGGACCAGTGAAGCGCAAATTTAACGATTTTTCGGCAAATAGGCCTATAAGAATTAATAAAATCCACTTTAAAGGACTCACTGGTCATTTGTAATGAAGAGATGGGAGGAGAGGGGGAGAGGCTTGGTCTTGGAACTGAATCATATTTTGCTGTCCTGCCCCCATTTTCGTAACAATTTTTCATGGTCCCCCCAAATACTTGCAATATTTGTTCACGCCCCCGTCCTTAAAATAAATGACCAGACTCTAAAAAATCTTTGAATTTATTACTTTTTTATTTGATAAAATAGAACTGTGTCCCCTGCCTCAATATAGTTGTGATACATTTTGGCGATCCCTCTTTCGCTGTGTTTTCTTTTTAATAACTCCCTTAATCTCACCAGCCCCACCTCCGATATATTAAATGACCAGTCCCTTATCGAAGTGATAATCCAATTGACAAAATTGGTATCACGATATGTGATGTTATGCAAATGAGGTCACGAAGCAGGGACTATTTTTCATAAGCTAAATAAACCGATTTGACGTTATTTTCAGATAAGGGGTTTGCTGATGTGTGGAACTTTCTCTATACAAATATGGCTTTTAATTTTTTTACCACTGTATGATAAATGGGAAGGTTTACTTACTCTATCATTAATACAAGGTACCTAACGTTTCTTCAGTGAGTGTAAATATCTTTAAGCTTCATATATTTTAAAAATGAAATGATGTGATAAAGATATTATTGCTCTTGCACAATAATAATCTCAAATAAAAAGTTAAATATACCTCTGTATATCTGTTTCTCTTTTCAGAAATCGAATTCTGTGTAACTTGATGTACAAAAAGTGAACCAAGTTTAATTTTACCAAATGTGATGGCTTTGTATTGCTTACAGCACATGGTGTATCACTCCCATGTAACACACTCTGTTGTTGTGGCAGGTTCCCTGGGAACGTCAGTGTTCGACATGGACGCCTTCCTGGTGGGTGCGTCGGGTGGAGTCTACGCCTTGTTAGCAGCTCATCTAGCTAATATACTGTTGGTAAGCAGAACTTCCTTTTTACCATTCACTTAGCTAATATACCATTGGTACCCACCACCTAGTTAATATACCATTGGTACCCACCACCTAGTTAATATACCATTGGTACCCACCACCTAGTTAATATACCATTGGTACCCACCACCTAGTTAATATACCATTGGTACCCACCACCTAGTTAATATACCATTGGTACCCACCACCTAGTTAATATACCATTGGTACCCACCACCTAGTTAACATACCATGGGTACCCACCACCTAGTTAACATACCATTGGTACCCGTCACCTAGTTAACGTACCATGGGTACCCACCACCTAGTTAACATACCATTGGTACCCGTCACCCATCACAGATTCCACTGCATGATGTTGAGGTAAGAATGAGACATACAAATGCTGAATAACTCAAGTGTTTCAATCAAAATGTACAAGGCCATTGACATTTATAAAATGTAAGAAAACTCTCAATCAAATGATTAGTTTACATGTTTGGTGTATTTTATCAAAGGACAACTTCAAAAATGTTTACATCGAGTTGTAATTGCAATAGAACACCCACCTGCGCCTTTTTGGTCTAAGAGCCATGACAATTATTTTTAGCAGATAAAATTCTTCCAGTTCTGGAACCTCTTTTATACATGTAGACATTCTCAACTCATGAAGGGATTGCTTAAAAAAATATCTTATCCGCATGAAAATGTTTTATAAATGTCAGGGCTGTTAACATTTAAACGTTCAATAAACTGAGTTTAAAACCAGTCTCATCTATCTTTTATGGAAACAATAAACACTGAACTGTAGGTTTTCGGAATCGGATAACGAACCATTATGACAATTATTGTTTTTAGGTATTGTCTATATGCCATCATCACCTTATTTGAGGTAGTTGATGTTTACTCATACAATATAATTCTGCTGGTATCTTATACTTTCAATAACAAACTGGTATTTATTTACATGAATTATGCTATAGTTAAAACATGACACTAAGGTTTTACATTTTCAACAATAATTCCGACAAGGAGTGTTATGAACCTTCTTAATGCAGAAAGAAGAAAACAAATAGGATACCATATAGTAAATATAAATGTAAAACCTCCAAGCAGGTCTTACAATACAAATGTAAAACCTCCAAGGAGGTCTTACAATACAAATGTAAATTCCCCCAGGAGGTCTTACAATACAAATGTAAATTCCCCTAGGAGGTCTTGCTATACAAATGTAAATTCCCCAAGGAGGTCTTACAATACAAATGTAAATTCCCCAAGGAGGTCTTACAATACAAATGTAAATTCCCCAAGGAGGTCTTACAATACAAATGTAAATTCCCCAAGGAGGTCTTACAATACAAATGTAAATTCCCCAAGGAGGTCTTACAATACAAATGTAAATTCCCCAAGGAGGTCTTGCTATACAAAAATAAAACCTCGCAGCAGGTCTCTCTTGATAGTAGTACCTCTCACAAGTTTACTGTTTGATAGTAAGATGCATACCATACAATATAGGCAAAGGTGGCAGTAGGTTTATAAGATACAAGGTTTATTTGCAAATACTGACACACAAATCAAATTAAATTACTTATTTTACAGATTTCTGTCCCCAAAATACATGACAACAGAAAAGATAAAACTAAAAATGTCTTTTAAGTTTAAAAAAAAAATCAATTAAGAAAAAAATCATGGTACTTATGTTTGATAGTGTCTTCTGTTTAATACACAGCCAAAACTCTTTGGCATGTATGTTTTGGAAATAAAGCCATCCTTTGAGTGAGTGAGTGAGTGAGTGAGTGAGTGTGTGAGTGAGTGTGTGAGTGTGTGTGAGCAATATGAAGGCAGGGGACACCAGATATGGGCATCACACATTGTTCACACTCAGACCCCGGTCTGACTTACTTCAAATGAGGATGCAGATGAAAAGTTACTAATTATCATTTTAACTCATGGAATTTTGTGGGTTTTTTTTAAACAAGTAATTAAATTGGTATGACTTAATAAATTGATAATGTATGTCAAATATACTAAGATATTCTGGGTTTATTTTTACAAAGTATATGTTGGGAAGAGGAATACGTTTTTAATTTCATCATCCTGAACATTCTTGTGTGAACATGTGTTCACTCATCCTTGTCAAAATAAATTGGTGAAACCCTTGACATCTACCCCAGCCAGAAATAGTCCGCCAATCTAGTCTGCCAATCTAGTCCGCCTACTGTTAATGTCGAAAGTGATCAAAGATTTTTTCTTCAATCAATTGCTTTTGAGACTTGAAAGAAGGGCTGCAGCCTACAAATTAAATCTGCTGAAAGTTTTTACCATTTTCTTGAAGTCGTGGTTAACTGAAATTGGAGACTGGGTTCTTGATAGCAGCATGACCCTCTTAATGGAGGTATAGTTTCTTTTAAACACTTTTTTTAGGTATTATACAGTTACTTTAAACATGTGATAAGATAAATTTCCTGTTAGTTACAATTTCTTATGACTACGTTAGAGACATAACACAACCAATGTTTCAATTGTGAGGGTTTTAGAATGCTCCTGTGTGAATTCATGTGGCAATACAATACCTAGTGTAGGTGAGTGGTCGAAGTGTGTGCTCGTCATGCCGAACATTCTGGTTCGATTCTGCACATGGGTACAATGTGTGAAGCACATGTTTGGTTTGTTTTGTTTTGTTTGTTTGGTTGTTGTTTAATGCCACACTCAGCAATATTCCAGCTATATGATGGCGGTCTGTAAATAATCGAGCCTGGACCAGACAACCAGTGATTGACATCATGAGTATCGATCCACGCAATTGGGATACAATGACATGTATCAACCAAGTCAGCGAGCCTGACCACCCGATCCCGTTAGTCGCCTCCTCCTCCTTATTTACAGACTGCCGTCATATAACTGGAATATTGCTGAGTGCAGCATTCAACAACAAACAAACATTGAACATTATTGCTTTGAAGACATTATCAGGTAGCCTCCAGTGTTAACAGATCTAGTTTGATTAAGTGATAAATTTATTTTCATTGAATAATTTTCGTCTCCCTATATGAAGGTGCCTTGTATTTTGGTGATGATGGTTGTCAATAATTGAGTAGGGTGATAATGAGACGTGTATCAACACTTCTGGGTATCTATTCTGGATGGACTTCATGTATGTTTGATTATGTTGGCCACCAAGTCGCGGAAATCTTTAATTGAAACTTCCACATTTGAAGAAAATTTCAATTACGGTGCTCAATTAGTCTTTAGTCTGCACACCTGTGTCTAATTGCAGTTCAAATAGCATCAGAATTAAACTAGCTCAAGCATACATTGTGATGCAGTATTTATAAGTTAACATTGGTTAAATATTAGAGGTGTAACGAAATGGTGGGGTTGTGATACGATACATGTCCCGATACTATGGGTGTGATACGGTTTATATCCCAATACAGTACTTTTATTTCACGGGTTGATATTCTTTCATTTTGCAGGTGAATCACAACCCTGAATCATTCAATATCAAATTTCAGAGGTCAAACTGGGATATTCTAGGGCAGAATCATATTGGTAGAGGGCACTGTGACCGTTGTGATATTTTTGTCCAACCATGAAATATTAGAGAATCTACGAAAGATGGTAGTTGGACTGTTTTTGTTACTATTCACATGTTTTTACACCAATACAAATTGTAATGAGATGTATTGTATGTATCATGAGACAAGGGTCATCAATCGATGTATTGTATCGAGGGCCTCGTAGCATGTACCACTGTACCGTTACACCACAATTAGATATAGAAATCTATAAAGCTCCTCCAACCTCAGAGTTATGTCAATTTTGCTTGATTCCATGCCATATAAGGATATAATTTAATGTTTTAAATGGTAGCTAGCCAGTGATTGGATGAGAACCTGTTGAACAATTAGGTACTAAAAATACAGTAGCAGAGTGTCATTGTTTTCATGTCCTGTTTTCAACGTAATTTGGGAAAAATTTAAACTTGTACTGGAATGCTGTAAAACTAGTCTGATTAAAGGAAAATTTGTTCCTACAGACAATTAATGGTAGCCTTCAAGATTAACAAGGAATCAAGGTAAACACTTTTTTAAAGAAAAATAGAAAGTATGGCAGCCCGAACTTCTATTCCTCAGACCATATGTGACCATAGATAAGCCGATCTCATAGATAAGCCGAAGTATTAACTTGGTTCTTGAAATCTGTATCAAAATGTTATGTGCAGTAGTTAAGCCTGGCCTCCAACCTAAAACTACGTCTCGTCATGGTCTGTCATCAGAAGTAGAATATCAACAAGTCCGTATTGAATTACACAAGTTAATCGTGTGAAAGTATAAACCATATATAAGCCGACCCCTTTCTACAGAATCTTTTTTCTGGTCCTCAAAATTTGGCTTATCTATGGTCATATACGGTACATCATTTCCCTATCTCATGCATCTATGAGAATATGTAATTTCTACAACTCCACACAGCAACATCTCCTTCCTAAACAGACTTTAACTAAGGTGTTGAACACTGTGATGGAGCTTTCACATGTAAATGGTTTCCAACACCCATGACACTATTTCAGATTTATGACATTTGGAGATGCAATTTTTGCAATTTTTCCAATTAATATATTTTTGTGCCCTCCTGATTTTGTTCCAGTGTGGGTTAATAATGTCACATTTTGTTTTTTGTTTCCTACATCGAATGAAGTCAGAATAAAACAAGCATAAACTTTACAAGACCCACAAAGAAAAGAACTTAACTATGTAAATGGCAAAACGATTCTGTTTGTTGACTCACTTGTAACAAGCTCCATCAAATGTTGAAATATTGGCATACCAAATAGCGTCACTCACTTTAATGTGAAGTAATTCAACACACGCTGAATGGGAAAATAGACAAATGAGACTTGGTATTAACCAGCACCGATCCTTCACCCAAGTCAGACATCAACTGTATTAGTTAAAAGGCAATGAAAACCGTCATTAGCGTTGACTGGAATAGGAAATGAAAGCCAGTATTGATCCGACGTGAGTGTATAACACAATGTATTTGTACTTAAAGCCAACTCCTGAATAATTCTATACGGCTTTTATTGCAGCACAAAAATAGGTTACACCAAGAGCCCTTTGTATGCTTTACCAAGGTGAAGTGGCCACGATGGCAGTATTTCTTCGAAACATTATTTTTGTTTGGGACACAGTTTCAGCTTAATGAGAACCTGGGTTGAAGCTGTTTCCCCACTGGATTCTGGGTAATTTCCAGTGCAGTAGAGATGAGTTCCGCGATTCCATTCTTGGAGTGTTGTAGCCATATTAGCACTGGTTAGGATTTAGCATGGATACATATCAATAATTTTCCCTTCCGCAACTATTATATCAATATTGATCCAAGAATGTGTCAGACATAAAATATGGAGCTTATTTACTTCACTGTAGTTTAAAAACACAAGTTAAACAGCAGTATGACCTCTTTTAGTAGAGAAGGAAATAATAGTGCCCATTTTATGTAGCATATACTTTGAAGTGGAATAAAGTTGTAAGGTTTGTATATAAACGTGTAAAATGAAACGCTGGGAGTAAATGCTTTGTGGGATATTGTTATGTCATTTATTTGTGGATACCAGATCAATTTTAGATGATAAGGGCAAGAGGGTAGCCTAGTGGTTATAGCATTGATCATCACACCGAAGGTCCGGGTTCTATTCCCCTCTTGGTACAAAGAAACCCCTTGCAGTGATATTGCTGGGATATGGATAACAGCAGTGTACAACCACTATTTGTATTATATTTGATGGAGGCCTGATTGAGACTTGACGAGTGAATGTTGTTTTATGGTGCAGATGGCAATAGTCAAGGAATATAAAAAAAGTCAATGGCAGAGAATAGCGTGTCTTGATTATCCGTTGAAACCGATTCCAATGGGGGTAAAAGGCAAAATAGTTATGTTTGTTTGTTTGTTTGTTGTTTAACGCCGCACTCAGCCATATTCCAGCTATATGACGGCGGTCTGTAAATAATCAGATCTTGAACAGACAGTCCAGTGATTGATATCATGAGCATCGATCTACGCAATTGGGACACAATGACAAGCATCAACCAAGTCAGCAAACCTGACCACCTGATCCCGATAGTCACCTCTAACGACAGGCATAGTCTCCTTTTAAGGCAAGCATGAGCTACTGAACACCTCTTCTAACCCGGATCTTCACGGGTTATGAAAATTATATGAATAGATCATGGATCAGTGATGACACTATGTGTTTTTGAAAAGGGTAAACATGTTTTGCGCTAGTACACCACGATATCCTGTACATGATTGAGTCTGGTGAACCAGTGGTTGATAGCATGAGCTCTGATCCATGATCTTGGGTAGGATGACACACAATCAACCAGTTTATAGTTCCTACCAGTAAGCTCCTATGACTTACAAGATATTGAGGACCTCTTCTTTCCCAGATTCCCCACAGATAGTCATCTGTAACTATTACACACCGCCTCCGTGGTCTAGTGGTAGAGCATCCGCCCGGAGAGCGGAAGGTCCGGGGTTCGATCCCCGACCGCGTCATACCAAAAGACGTTAAAAGATGGTACTTGTTGTTACCCTCTCTGGTGCTCGGCATTAAGGGGCTAAAACAAGGACTGGTCGGCTCGGAGTCAGTATACTGTGTCTGAGTGGGATATTCATGTTAAACTGCGGCATGGTATCTCAGTGAGCTAGCACTATAAATCGGCATCAGTCCAGACTAGCACAAGCAGCCACACAAACACACACATGTGCATGCACGTTGCTATATAAGTGCAATAATCTTGGACGCGACGTTAAACCCCATTTCACCTCACTGTAACTATTACAACAAATAGTCATTCACAAGAGACCACCTCTGTCGCCTCGTTGATAGAGCATCTACCCAGAGAACGTAAGATCGGTGGTTCAATTCCTGGGCATGTCACACCCAAAGACGTTAAAAGTTGGTACTTGTTGTGTCCCTGCCTGGTGCTCTGCATTTGGAGGCCCAAACAGACTAATACAAGCAAAGGACAGTTGACATCTGTGTCATCTAACTTGACATGAAAATTTGGACATACTGCCATGTAGATAAAATAAGGCTCTTTAAGACGCTAATTAGGAGAATACATTCTGTCATATTTATTATTGTCTGGAAAAGAAAGATTGGCAATGAACCCACATCTCCTTCATATTGTATGACAAGCAATATTCCCATACAGGGTGTCATGTGTGATTGCCACAGTGGTTCTGTTGGACAAGTGAATTGGTTTTTATGCTGAAGTCAGCAACATTACAAATATTTTGGGACATGCTGTAAAGTAATCAAGTCTTGCCCTGACAAACAAGCACTTGATGCCTGATCCATATTTAGTCATCTCTTCCATCAAGCAATGCCTACTGGGAACTCCTCTGCCCCCAAACCTCCTGTCCGGTTACACCAATTATTTTAAAACTTGGATCATGGATTCATTTTCTCAACTTTTTGAAAGAGCAGAAAAATACAAAACTAGAAATTGGCCTTTAAGTATCTGATGGCATTTGCTGTGTTCTCACCCAAGGGCCAGATAATGCAAAGTCCATTTGAAACATCTGCAAATAGTGTAAGGTTTAGAGGAAATGAAAGGGATAAGAAGTTGTGTCTGAAAATAACCTTTTGAGTTATTTCTTGCCTGTCTATGAATGTTACAATTGACGTGTGAACAGCTGCTTCAGTTGGGATTTTGTTTTGTTATCGGTTGTTATCCACACGCAGAGCACAAACAAGATAACTTTGTGAACCATGTGATATGAAATGTTGGCCTTGGTTGTGTGAAGGTAAGCCAGTGTTTGGCCTTGGTTGTGTGAGGGTAAGCCCGTGTTTGGCCTTGGTTGTGTGAAGATAAGCCCGTGTTTGGCCTTGGTTGTGTGAAGATAAGCCAGGTTTGGGCCTTGGTTGTGTGAAGATAAGCCAGGATTTGGCCTTGGTTGTGTGAAGATAAGCCAGGATTTGGCCTTGGTTGTGTGAAGATAAGCCAAGAATTGGCTTTAGTTGTGTGAGGGTAAGCCAGTGTTAGGCCTTGGTTGTGTGAAGGTAAGTCAGGATGTGGCCTTGGTTGTATGAAGGTAAGCCAGGATGTGGCCTTGGTTGTGTAAAGGTAAGCCAGGATTTGGCCTTGGTTGTGTGAAGGTAAGCCAGTGTTTGGCCTTGGTTGTGTGAAGATAAGCCAGGTTTTGGCCTTGGTTGTGTGAAGATAAGCCAGGATTTGGCCTTGGTTGTGTGAAGATAAGCCAGGATTTGGCCTTGGTTGTGTGAAGGTAAGCCAAGAATTGGCTTTAGTTGTGTGAGGGTAAGCCAGTGTTAGGCCTTGGTTGTGTGAAGGTAAGTCAGGATGTGGCCTTGGTTGTATGAAGGTAAGCCAGGATGTGGCCTTGGTTGTGTAAAGGTAAGCCAGGATTTGGCCTTGGTTGTGTGAAGGTAAGCCAGTGTTTGGCCTTGGTTGTGTGAAGATAAGCCAGGATTTGGCCTTGATTGTGTAAGATAAGCCAGTGTTAGGTCTTGGTTGTGTGAAGATAAGCCAGGTTTTGGCCTTGGTTGTGTAAGATAAGCCAGGATTTGGCCTTGGTTGTGTGAAGATAAGCCAGGATTTGGCCTTGGTTGTGTGAAGATAAGCCATGATATGGCTTTGGTTGTGTGAAGATAAGCCAGGATATGGCTTTGGTTGTGTGGAGGTAAGCGAGGATGTGGCCTTGGTTGTGTTAAGATAAGCCATGATTTGGCCTTGGTTGTGTGAAGGTAAGCCATGATATGGCTTTGGTTGTGTGAAGATAAGCCATGATATGGCTTTGGTTGTGTAAAGATAAGCCATGATATGGCTTTGGTTGTGTGGAGGTAAGCGAGGATGTGGCCTTGGTTGGGGGAAGATAAGCCATGATATGGCTTTGGTTGTGAGAAGGTAAGCCTGGATGTGGCCTTGGATGTGTGAAGATAAGCCAGGATTTGGCCTTGGTTGTTTGAAGGTAAGCCAGTGATGGGCTTGCTTGAGGATAGGACATTTAGGCAAGAACTAGGCATCCCCATGGGCACCAACTGTCCTCCTCTCCTTGCTGACCTGTTTCTTTTATGCATACAAGACTGAATTTCTGCTCAGATTAGCAAAATCAAAATACAGGCACTTGCCCCCCTAAGTTTCCGATATATTGATCATCTGATATATTTCAATAATGATCAAATAACCAATTTTCAAAACTCAACTAGAAATAAAATGGACCAGTGAGACCACCTCATCTGTTTCACATTTTATCGATGTATTATAATTCAGCATGACAAAAAACTAACCACCAGACTGATGAAGACAAGATGAAGGATTTCAACGTTCCAATAGTCAATTTTCCCTTTATGTCGAGCAAAATTCAATCAGCTCTAGCCTTTGGTGCCTCCATTTCATTAATTTTGAGGTACAATCGAGTATGCTCTTTCTATGAAGATTTCAAAGGGCATCATGCGACTATTTCAAAAGTTCTTTTATCAGAGGGAAAACATTCAAGGCCTTAGTTAATCTTTCAAATTGTTTTATGGTAGATTTGTGGAGGAAGATGTCTGATGCAATTCCCTATTTTAACTTGTACCATATGTGTCCCTGTTTGGTTCAGGTGAACAGTTGACTTGCCTTTGCATGTGTTTGTGCCTGGTGCTATGCGAACACCTGGCCTTTATCATCAGTATTTGATAGTTATTCATAAACACATGTTTAGTATATAATCAAAATCATACAATGGACTCGGATTTCTTCTGATTATGGAAAGGGTTTAGAAGCTTTTGTTTCTTATTGTTGTGTGAAGGTAACACAGTACTTTTGTATTTCAGAACTACACCCACATGGAACTTGGCATTCTGAAACTGGCAGCTATTCTCATTATAGGTGAGTGTTTGGGTTGTACATATGTTACATCTGTTCTTGCTAAAAACAAACTGCCCGGGGCAAAAGAAAGTATAGACTTGGAAAAAATGAAACATTATCAAAACGTTACTAGACTGAAAACAGTCACTGAAACACTGCAAAATGACACCCGTATCAAATACATCACCACTTCCATGGTCTAGAGGTAGAGCATCCGCCCGGAGAGCAGAAGGTCCGGGCTTCGATCCCCGACCGCATCATACCAAAAGATGTTAATGGATGGTACTCGGTTACTGGCGCTCGGCATTAAGGGGCTAAAACAAGGACTGGTCGGCTCAGAGTCAGTATACTGTGTCTGAGTGGGGTATTCATGTCAAACTGCAGCATGGTATCTCAGTGGGCTTGCACTATAAATCGGCATCACTCTGGACTTGTACAAGCAACCACACACACACACGTGCATGCACGTCGTTATATAAGTACAATAATCTTGGACGCTACGTTAAACCCAATTTCACCTCACCTAGAACCATAGAGAGAAATATGTATGATATATTAATGTATTGGTTATTTGCAATACATTTTGTCGGATACAATCCATATTGGTACATTCACAATCTTGTCAGCTTTATTTTGACAAAGGTATTTTTCAAATAAAAAGAAAGTACAATACCAACAAGATACAAAACTGTAATGCAGTTGTGTCACAAATAAGTGATACTGACCATATATATCTTCTTTGAGAGGCAGTTAGAAGTTGGAGTACTAAGTAAGGATAAGCTATATGGAAGAACAACTTCTTTATTACAATTAGGGAACTTGCTTGATAATCGTGTTAGAACCTACATCGAAACCTTGTTCCTAATTGTAGTAAAGAAATTGTTCATCCATATATCTTATCCTTACGTAAACATATATCCTGAAAAAAATTCAAATAAGAAAACATACCCTCTTTAAAAGTTACAGTTATTAAATATTAATTTGTTGTTTGTTGTTTAACGCCACACTCAACAACATTCTAGCAAAATGAAGGCAGTCTGTAAATAATCAAATCTGGACAAGACAATCCAGTGATTGACATCATGAATATCGATCCACGGAATTGGGATGCGATATGACATGCATCAACCAAGTCAGTGAGCCTGACCACCCGTTAGTCGCCATTTACGACAAGCATAGTCGCTTTTTACAGCAAGCATGGATTACTGAAGACCTATTCTATCCCGGATCTTCATGGGTCTACCGGTATATAACATAAAATTTTGTGAGCCTTAGATATATAAGTATTGCTAATATTTATATTGATTTTCTTTCAGCAAGTGCAGATGTCGGCTTTGCAATATGGGACCGCTATGTTCATAAGGAGGTTGTCCCCCCTGTTGGGTATGTGGCCCACCTGATGGGGGCGCTAGCAGGACTCACTATAGGCTTGGTGGTGCTGAAGAACTTTGAGCAGAAGTTACATGAACAGTATGTATGGTGGATAGCACTAGCTGTGTACCTCGGTTGTGTGGTGTTCGCCATCTTCTGGAATATTTTCTACTACTGACTGTGTCTACAGGAAGTGACTGTTGTAGAGTGCGATGAATCAAGATACGGAGCTTGGAGGTTGGAATCATCACTTCATTATGCGGACAATCATGAGATGGTTTATAGTTTTTGTGTTATTTATTTATTACTTTTGATTGCACGTCTTTGCAAGCATTCTTTCAAATGAACTTCTGTGGATTATGTTCATGAAGGATGTTTTCAATCTGATTAAAATCAGATCTTTTACTGCATACAATACCTCGATCTCTGTGTGAAGATCTGAGTACACCTGCATAGGTTGTGTCGGTTGAACTTTCTGATCAACTGATCGGCATTAAGGCTTCTAAATTCTCGGTACGAGACAGACATATCTGAATTATGGGTCTCAAAAATGAATATGATCGAGGAGTTATAGATAAAACAAAGCTGCAAAATTATATTGTTGAAGATCTGTTGCACATCCTGTCTTTTGTGAGCACCACGGCATCTGCAGCCAACAGGGTTTACTATCAAGGGTATAATTGTGTTCTGTGGCAGTGTTCTTTTGCTGACTTTGAAACTTCCAAATTGAGTAATGAAGACAAATAGCTTTTGAAAACTGACATCTGATTAGCTCCAGAACCCACACCTCCTTCGTTTTGATTGGGCAGTCAAAGTTTGCACAGGATCACCTGATGAGGCTTCCTAGAGGTGTCCTGAGATCTTTACTCAGAGACGTATCATATCAGTTTAAAAGATCTGAGTTTAGTAAGACTGGAATGTGTTGCTCATATTGGCTGTTCATAGTGATGACTATTGTCTTGTACAGAGTTCCGAGTCTCCACGGTGTAGTGGTATGTATGAGTATAAGTAATGCTTGGAGAATTTTCCATCCCTGAGACTTAAAGTGTTTTACCTCCTTACCACTTGACTAACATTTAGTCTAAGATATAAGTTATGTTATTTATAATTTATATACCCACAATATATAATAAAATCCAAATGGAGCCCTGATCCATGCTTAATTCCAGACTAGAGCTGGGGCAATCTTGACTTGCCGAATCATTCTAGAATGAAGTTGGATTCATTTTTGAATTTCGTCTCTTGGGTCAGAGAGACAGACTATCTTACCACCAACAATGCTGGCCTGAAATCTAGTCAAAGTGGGTATTACTAGACACACAGTTACTTGAAACTATTGTCTAGTCAGAAAGACTTTCTTTGCCTCTGGACCAGTATTTGCTTTAATGAAGACATGAGTGATGATGTTTTTATATTCTTTATCGTCATGAATCTGATGCATTAAGCTGCTTGTGTTGCCATTAATTCAGCTTCAAGATAATATCTGACTTTCAGTACAAGAGGAATCCTTGCTTAGCTTCAGTTGATGGGGGAGTGATACAGAGTGGGACCACTGACGAGTCCTCCGCTGGATGCTTGCATAGAGTGAAACACTGAAACTAGCTCTCTATTAACTTGACAATGTGGGGATTCCAGGTTAGAACTGGTCCCCACCAACCTGTGCCTGTTGTAGGAGGCAACTATTGGGATTGGGTGGTCTGGCTCGCTGACTTGGTTGATGCATGTCATCGTATCCCATTTGCATAGACCGATGCTCATGATGTCAATTACCGGATTATCTGGTCCAGATTTGATTATTTACAAACCATATAGCTGGAATATTGCTGAATGTGGCATTAAACAACAAACAAACACTCCAACTAACCCTATGTAATAGAGAGATATGTCACAAAGTAATCATTGACATTTCTTCATTACATTTTACAGTTACATTTTCTTCCAAAACCATATCAGCCGCCAATATCAATATTCAATTAAGCTTGTGAACATTTCTAGAGGCAACAAAGGACATCTTAGTATATAAGTATCATTGATGGGATGAGTCGAACAGCTGTAATGCAACTAACATGCTTCTTTGGGGATTTCTTAGGCCAGACATAGGATTGCATCTATTCCCAGATCAATCTTCTATTCAGTTTTTTTTTCTTGCTACAATTTCTTAACAGACTTCAAACAGAAACAGACATTTGTAAAATTTGAGTTGGGGGATCAATGAACCAAGTACATGTAATTAAAAAAAATATTTGGAAGTGTTTCTTTCTTGGTCTATTTATAACAGCATCCATTTACACGGCAGGCTGCAGCCCCAGAACCACTTTGTGGGGTTAGGTTCCTCGTTAACACCTGACATGTCCACCATTACACGAACAGTACATAATGTAGGCAGCATCTACTTGTTCTGTAATACTGTTATGACAATATGGATAGTTGGATTATCTGAGGAAATATACTTGCTTAGATTTTAATGTGTATCCTTTAAATATGATTATAATTATTGCTTGATGTTCATAATTAATACAACTCTGTTAAAATATGAAGTTAGGATAGGGGTCCTTTTTAGTGCACTGGAAATGTCAGATTTGCAGAAATGTTTTAAATAAGGTATGAAAATTATCAGACATGTTCAACCAGCCATTTTTCATGGACATTACATGATTTAATACACAAGTAAACCTAAATGAGTAAAAAGGGCTCTTTTTTAAAAACTTTTAAAGAACATCCAAGTCCATGACCAAGATGACTTCCATCCCAAATGTTTGTACTGTTTTTATCTATGGTTCCTCAGAAAATCAGCTGGGGTCAAATACTTGCTCATGTCCATATTTTACATCTTCCCGAGGCAAGAGAGTTAACTGGCTTTAAAAGTCCAGTTTCCACCCTTGCCGAACTAGGCTGGAATATCTGGGTTCAATCGTAGCGCCACCAGTGGCTATCACCAGTTATGTCCCTTCTAAGCCTCTCCTAAGGACCAATCAAATTCCACCTCTCGTATCACTTGCGTTTGCTTCACACAAAATGGTTGCGCCCGGGCAGGACGATCAGACGATAATCAAGATCTATATTGTGATAAAACGGGTCTTACATCGCGAAATGCATCAAATCGCTTGAGCACCTTGATTAAAAACATGAGAAGATTTGGAAAATATCTGCTGACAACAAGTTGGTGGTGCACATGCTTTGCAAATCCTGCAATCGACCGAAATCTGCACTACAGTTTACGAACCGGATTTCAATTTCGGTGCGCGATTTTGATTGGACTATGCATAGACTCGTTAGCCCAGCCAAAACGTAACTCCATAATACCAGCCTAGTTCGGCAAGGGTGGAAACTGGACTTTTAAAGTCAGTTAACTCTCTTGCCTCGGGAAGATGATATTTTAAAACAAACACGTCTTCTAATGCATGTCAGCCTGATGTAGGCTCCTTGTCAGACATTGGTGTAATGAACAAGTGTAATGCCCATGAGAACATCTAATATCCTTCTTATGACTTGTAAACATTTTCTTCAGTTCTTAAATTGTGGATATCTTGTGGATCAAGTGCAGCTCTCATCTCACCATGGTCTTTTGATAGAACTCTGCATCTATCACTGATGATGCTGACTGCAACCCGCACACATATATACCACTCAACATTTGACAGGGATACACCCATCAGTCCATGACATGCCACACTTATTCCTGATATGTGTGTGTTTATGGCATGGAATATTAAGTATCCTTATCCCAAATGCATAGTATATTTAAGACTATTACCTAGGGGCCCATAAAGGGGCACAATGGTAATTTCAGATTTTAAATGCAACGAGATGTAAAAATGTTTTTTGGAAGTCTGTCACCATTAGAACAGAAAACGTTATTTTAATGATTAAAATCAATACTTTTGGGACACTTCTTGGCTCAGTGCTTAATAACTGTTCTTTGAAAACCTGCTCAAATACTGTGATGTCATCTTGGTTGAGTGGAAATTAATATCCAGTTATCCTCATGCTATCAAACTGGTGAATGTAATTTCAGCTGTAATGTGTCTCAATAGAGTTATTAATTTACGTTTATTTTTATTTTTATTAACATTAGCTAAATTAATCATTTTCTGTAAGCATGGATGTGATTTGCGTGGTCTTGTTTGTTTCTGAAAGTTCATGATGGCTGCTTGGCTTATTGTGTGACTTGACTTATAACCAGTTGTCACACTAGGGTATCCTGTCTCAGTTATTGATTTTAAAAACTGCCAATTATGAATATTTCATTTTTCAAATTAAAAACAAATGAGGTCATATCGCATCTGGCAGATAAGAGATATTTGAGACTCATTGCTTGAGAACAAAACCACATTTAAAGGCACCGTCTGTGTGATACATTATAAACCTGTTTTATGGTTACAAGTCAAATAACACCATGATAATTAACATATAAACCTTAAAAGACCATTTTGGGCAGAGGTTACATTGTCCCATCATGCGACAATTTATAAATAGGTCCTCAAAGTGAAAAGAAACATATTCTGTAGTTTACTGATATTTGCAAACCGATTATGAGTATGATATGGATATTATACCTTTACAGACAGATCAATATTCTGTGTACACAGCAAATCATCTTCAAAGCATGCAGAGGAGCTTGGTGATGCTTCATAGCATATTAAGGTCAAAAGGAGAGTCCATCCTCAAAGTTCATTCTCTTTAAAACGGCTTTACATCTCTAATGGGGAATGAAAATATCCAGACGTTTTACAATTTCTTGTGTAAAAAAACATTTAAGATGAATTTAATAAACGATGTTTTAGAAAGCCTGGTAAGTCCATCTTCAGTTCAGTTTAACACCACAACACTTTAATCTTCAAAGGGAAAAAGGAGTTTTCAGTTATGCTTCTAAAGATCACAATATTGACAATAACATAAACACTGTTACCATTTCTTTTGATCTTGAGTGTCATTTTTTATGAAGTGGATATATGGGAAATGGCAAGAGATGTGATATGGGCCTAACATTTTGTCTTATGTTCTCTTATATGTTTTATTTGTTGTTTTGGCAAACATTTTACACATAGGTAGTTGCCATGTTAATAGTCTGTTTTTTTCTGTGGCATTCTTGATGTCCAGGCCACTGTATATGAATTATTATATTCTCGTCAAAATAGTTTGGAAAATAGGCATATTTGTTTATTGCAATTGTTATTTTTTTGCAAGGCATTTTGTATATCACACAATTTGCACTTATTTCTTCCTCTTACTTTTAACTGAAGGTTCTTCTTGTAGGTTTAGAGAGTGAGTGAGGGAGTTGAGTTTAATGCTGCTTTGAACATTATTCCAGTTATATCACAGCGTGCTAGCTTAATGTTGGAGGAAAGCCCAAAGTGATGCAAGTCTTCGACATTTGTGTCTGTGGTAAAACCCTCGAGCATGGGTATTGTGCTGAAAAACCTAGATACATAATTGAGGCAAACCGGGATACGAACCCACAATCATAGGTTTCTGGTGTGCCCAAGGGACACAACTCTGCACACTGTATTGCAGCACCTTGGGTTGAGCGTATGAGTGAAAATGTCATAATTAATTATTATGGCCTTATGAACATGAAATATTTGAGAAAGAAATATTATTACTCAGGGATTTTTCTAGTTTTGCTATTTACATTTAGATTGGTAGTCGAGACGTGTTTGGCATCATGTTGTACAACCACACATAAATGTGTTCCCTTGTGTGTGATAGAAGTGTGTGATTCCTATAAACATGTAAAGTAGTATGTTTATTCCTTTGTAGAATACGTTTTCCATCAGGAATTAATAGTCATTATCATGCATTGACATTTCACTTCCTTGTGATGAAATAACTAATCCTCCATCATGACATATTAACATGTGGAACTTTATACTTTGTTTGTTGTTTAACGCCGGACGCAGCAATATTCCAGCTATGTGACGGCAGTCTGTAAATAATAGAATCTGGACCAGACAATCCAGTGACTGACATCATGAACATCGATCCATGCTATTGGGATATGATGACATGCATCAACCAAGTCAGCGAGCCTGACCATCCGAACCCATTAGTCGTCTCAAGCAGTCGCCTACTTCATCATGTACTTACATAGTCATCTGTCATCGTATCCCATTTGCTTGTAACAATGCTGCTCATGATGTCAATCACTGGATTGTCTGGTCCAGACTCAGTCAATCTCATTAAATCTAGATCTTAGTTCTTGCTACCACTAAACAAAGATCTGAGGACATCCCATTACGGGTCAGGTCAGACAGACCTTGTGCGAACTTTGACGGAGCTTTTGAAGGACTGGCAAGAAGTCAACATTAGCCAATGAGAATGTAGCTTTCTCATGCTTTACGGCACTAATTTCAAATTGGCGACTATGCTTCGAAACATATTTTGACAGATTCTCGATTAAAAATTTGAAACCTGAACAAATGAACATTCTGGAATGGCTATTAAACACGTAACTATCGTTCGGAATAGTTTTCAAGGTTGCAAGATTGAAAATCCTATTCCGACTGTCACTTTCAGGAAGGAAATGGTAAGCGACGCTCTGATGGTCGGATGAAAGGTCATTCTGACGTGACCCCTAATTGGATGTCCTCAGATCTTTGTTTAGCAGTAGCGAGAACTAAGATCTGATTTTAATGAGATTGAGACTCAATTATTTACAGACCGCCGTCATAAAGCTGGAATATGGCTGAGTGTGGCGTTAAGCAAAGAACAAACTAGCAAAACATCTTCCAGAGGCAAGGGAGTAAACTGAAAATAAAAGTCCAGTTTCCACCCTTTCTGAACTAGGCTGGAATTTCAAGGCCCGAACGTAGCGCCCCAAGTGGTTATTATGAGTTATGCCCCTTCTATGTCCCTCCTATTGACCAATCCGATTCCACCTCTCATATCACTTGCATTTGCATCAAACAAAATGGTGGCGCCCAGTCAAGATGATCTGATCGATAATCAAGATCTATTTTGAAATAAAACGGGTCTTACCCCGCATAATGCATCACAATTACCTGAGCACCTTGAATAAAAACATGAAAAGATTTGCAACATATCTGTCAACACCCATTTCAGGGTACACATGCTTTGCAAATTCTCCAGTTGACCGAAATCTGCTCATTGAAATCCACGTTGTTTACAAACTGGATGTCGAGTTCGTTACGCGATTTTGATTGGACTAAGCATGGATCGTTAGTCTGGCCAAAGTGTAACTCCGGAATTCCAGCCTAGTTCGGCAAGGGTGGAAACTGGACTTTTATAGTCAGTTGCCCTTGCCTCCGGAAGATGTTACGTAGTTTGTCTCAAAGCAATTTAAGCAGAGTTTCATTCATTATACTGACTGAAAATTTAACAAATTGAGAATAAAATTAATATTATGAGAAACAACATTCCTACCGAATATGTTAGCTAATTAAGGAATAAAAAAACTAAAGGTATACATGTGAATGAGAATGTGGTACACTTTTCTTTTTGTTTATTTTCTCTTTGTTTTGACACTACTTTTAAATAATAAAATATTAAAGAAAAATAAATTAAATAGAAAGTATGCTTTAGGAACCTTTTTTTTTTTTTGACTTCCGGCCGTACAGAAAATAATATAAAGTGAAATCCTGAAGTGTAATGTAAGGCTGTGCTGAGCTCCAGCGACTGCTGGGATCATGGACACGAAGATGGATCAGATGTTTTGGGTCTGTCCGACCCTTGTATATGATTTTAATAATTACATTATGCACATATATTCAACAAAATACACTCATTTACCATTGTCTTAAGTGGTCATTGTAAATATCATATTGTTCTTCCTGTCATTTTGTAATAAATGATCAATTCTCACAGTTTTTCTTTGTTATGTAACTGCATTATTCATGGATGAACTTAACAGGGGTAAATTGATACTGTCACTGGGTGAATGTGTCCTCATCAGTCAGCAGGACATTCCATTATAAAGGAGAAACAGGTCGACATGTGAGTGAGTGAGGATGGTTTTCTGCTGCTTTTAGCTATATTCCAGCAATATCACGGCAGAAATGGGTTTCGCACATTGTACCCATGTCGGGAATCGAACCCGGGTCTTCAGCATGACAAGCGAACACTTTAACCACTAGGCTACCCGACCCCCCCCGCCCTCTGTCGACATGTGATGTCACAACTAGGTGAGAAGAGTTGTGTCCCTTACTTGCCAGGATCCAGGAGAGGTGGGTTTGAATCCCAGATTTTGCCTGATTATGATCCTTGGTTTGTCAGCACCTTACCTGAATTTTGTTGACTCACAAAAAAGTATTTTAGCTGTTCTTACAAATAAGATTGACACAACTCTTCACTCACTCACAATGCTGAATATGTATGGTGTTTATGGACCACTGCCAAGGCCTAGTGATAGAGCAGAAGGTCGGCGGTAAAATCCTCATCACTGTCCGTGGTTAATAGAGGGCATAAAAGAAGCCCTGGTCAGCTCAGAGTCAGTATACTGTGTCTGAGTGGAGTAGCCTTGTTAAACTGCAGAATGGGACCCATGATCGGGGGTAGAATAGGTCTTCAGCAACCCATGCTTGCTGTAAAAGGTGACAATGCTTGTCGTAAGAGGCGACTAACAGGATCAGGTGGTCAGGCTCGCTGACTTGGTTGATGCATGTCATCGATCCCAATTGCGTGGATTGATGCTCATGATATTAATCACTGGATTGTCTTGTCCAGACTCGATTATTTACAGACCGCCGTCACATAGCTGGAATATTGCTGAGTGTGGCATCAAACAACAGACAAACAAACCTTGTTTTAATAATAAAATCATATATTTTCAGCAAATCATGAGTTTAAATGGGAGTTTATTATGTTTGGCACTGATATTAAATTCAAAGTCAATAACAGCCATTTGTGAGATATTTAAGCAAATACAACTGTTGCTGGTCTGTTAAAGCACTAGTTTGGTGGTATTCCTCTGGTGCCATTATACAAAACAACCGTTACCAAGGTTAATCTTAGCGCTAAGGTTGTAAAGAGATGCGACTTAGCCAGAATTTAGCAAAGCTGTAGCCATGTAGTAGTGGCACCAGGAGTCAAATTCACACATTACCCAAGTGGGATTCGAACCAACCATGATGGGATGAGTGAACACACGGTCCACTTGACTACCCTACACCGGTACAAAATGAATTCTCTGAGATTGTAAGATGCTGAATCAAGTCCAGTGCGATGGTTAATCTTCATTTGAAGGTGATGACACCAGAGTGAGTGAGTGAGTGAGTATGGTTTTACGCCGCTTTTAGCAATATTCCAGCAATATCACGGGGGGGGACACCAGAAATAGGCTTCACACATTGTACCCATGTCGGGAATCGAACCCGGGTCTTCAGCGTGATGAGCGAACGCTTTAACCACTAGGCTACCCGACCGCCCCTATGACACCAGAGTGGATCAGATACATCACAAAGCTGGACTGTGGTCTCAAAGCCACCTTCTATGGTGGCCAGTCCAAGAAAAGGGGCCTGTTGTTACATGTGGTTTTGTTTCCGATTCACTTTAAAACTTGACCTGCCAGGATGCACTTTGTTGAATGATGTTTTCTTTGTTGAAACATATTTCCTGAAAAAATTGAGAATGTTCATTAAAAAAGTTGGCCACAATTAAGGAACATTGTTTACAAAATACAGTGAAAAAGTCAACCCCTGAAACAATATCCAGTATCTGTAGTGGGAGATGGGTATATACTTATCTAGTTCATCATGCTGATGAAGATTCTGATGCATCCTTAGAAACAGGCACTAGTTGTGTGGTCCTTGCCAAACTACCCAGTATTAAAGGTACATAGGTGAAGTGAAATGGGGTTTAACGTCGCCCACAAGATTGTTGCACTTATGAGGCGACGTGCATGCACGTGTGTGTGTGCATCTTGCTGCTAGTTCTAGTCCGGACTGATGCCGATTCATAGTGCTAGCACACTGAAATACCATGCTGCAGTTTAACATGAATACCCCACTCAGACACAGTATACTGACTCTGAGCCGACCAGTCCTTGTTTTAGCCCCTTAATGACAAGCACCAGACAGGGTAACAACAAGTACCATCTAACGTCTTTTGGTATTAAAGGTATCATAACGACTAGTAGAAATTTGTCCTTTGGGGGTTTTGCTATGTGTTATCATTATAAGGACTAGTAGACTTAACATATTAGCTTCTAACGCTGCTGATGAGAAGTTATGTTGTTTCAAATAGTAACTATAGTTCAATGAGTCTGAGTTCACATCGTGTTACTCATCCTCGGTTGTCCAGGGTATTATATTATATCGTTGTTATTCTGTTATGATAAATACCCTTGACCATTTGCTGCCATACTTTCATTCACTATCTACACTGCTCATATCACTAACTGGGCACAGAATTTCTCTTGTTGGAGGTGAGGTGAGGTGAGGTGAAATTGGGTTTAACGTCAGGTCCAAGATTATTGCACTTATATAGCGACATGCATGTATGTGTGTGTGTTTGTGTGACTGCTTGTACTAGTCCGGACTGATGCCGATTTATAGTGCTAGCCCACTGAGATACCATGCCGCAGTTTTAACATGAATACCCCACTCAGACACAGTATACTAACTCCGAGCCGACCAGTCCTTGTTTTAGCCCCTTAATGCCGAGCGCCAGACAGGGTAACAACAAGTACCATCTTTTAACGTCTTTTGGTATGACGCGTCCGGGGATCAAACCCCGGACCTTCCACTCTCCGGGCGGACGCTCTACCACTAGACCAAGGAGGAGGTCCTCTTGCTGGAGAGAGTTATTTGATTACATGGTGTAATTCAAATCAGGCTCAATAGAAGTGGCAGATGGGTCAGAGTATTTATTATAAAGAATCGAAATATGATACACTGGATATTTGAGTATTGGTCTCACTGTTGCCAATACAGATTTATGGAAAAATGGTTAATACAAATTTGGTGATTTATTCAAGTCATATGGCTACCATCAAAGTGTGTTTTGTACAACTGCCTTGAAGTCTGAATGTTATCTCAGCTAAAGGTTGTCACAAACATTAAAGAAGTTGTTATCCCTGTTTCATAGCTTCATGTTATCTCACCTGTATAATATTGCAGTGGTCACACCCATGATGAACATCAACAGGAGTGCAGCACCAACAGCTGCAACAATTATCACCACCTCTACAACAGGTGGGCTTGTCTGTGTGGGTACCACAGTGGTTGTTGCACCTGTATAAACATGTATCTGTTAGTGATTGTTATTTTTATCATTTCATTACTGTTAAAAACAGCCTTTAATATATCATGGACGTTCCCAACAAGATTACCTGGAAGAAGGGGGTTAGTAATTAATAGGGTTCGGTCTAACCAGGTTTCACTGAATGTATTGTCTGAAAGTATTGTCAATAGGTCTTGTCAATAAATTTCATTTTAAAAATCTTTACAATGTGCCACTGGTTGAAATACTGTGGTGTTAGATGTCAAACCAAAATAAAAAATGGATTTCTTTGCCACATTTTCAAATATTACAATCTTAGGAAAATTAAAGTTCACTTTCGAAAAGAATTTTCTTTGCAGCCTCATAGTATTACTATGCTATGTATAATAGGTTGTCAGGCTCGCTGACTTGGTTGATGCATGTCCACGATCCCAATTACGTGGATTGATGCTCATGATGTCGATCACTGGATTGTCGGGTCCAGACTCGAATATTTGCAGACCCACGTCATATAGCTGGAATATTGCTGAGTGCGGCGTTAAACAACAAACAACAAACAAACAACACAAAAATAACAATACATTTCCTACACTAAATTATTGCTCCACGAAGTACAGATCTCAAAGACCACGTGGTTTATTCCCAAGTAAACTAAGAATGACAGGCAACAAAAATCTCCCAACTACAAAAGTGTATAATACATGTAATACATAACAAGTAAACAAATGTCGTTAGTTGTTGACTTGAACACTTCAAACAATAAGTCCATACCTGCAACAGATTCCTTCCTTTGAGGCAAGACTGCAACACTCTCGATTGTCACTGCCTTTGTTGTTGTAAATTGTGTTGTTGGTGGGGTTGTAGTAGTAGGAGTTGGAGTAGTAGTTGTAGTTGTTGAAGGTGTAGTGACAGGAAACTCGCAAAGGTTACCTTTGATGCCAAAACTATTTGAATTGGATTATACGATATTTTACTGCCGCTTTCAACATCTCCCTTATTAACGCTTTGCTCACATCTATCATGAAGACGTTTCTCTTTACCCAGACTAGAATATGTAGCGGGCGTCGCGACACCGGCGTAAAACAACTTCCAAAAATCATCAATAATACAAAAACAACAACGTTGCAATACGAAATAACTGAAAAACAAAACTGTTCGCCATTGTTGTGCCCAATAGAGTGGCGACTGTTTAGGCCTTACCCCTGTACTCTTGCCGACATGCGCAAACAGCTACACCGTGTTTGTCCAGGCAGGTCCCTGCGTTCTGGCAAGGGTTGGGGGTACAGGCAGCCGACACCAGGGTACACATCGACCCTGCCCAACCTGAGGGCAAATGTACACAGACAACAAATTGGATGGACAGACAGATAGCACGTGCACATGTACGTTCGCTTTCAAATATGTCTAGAGAACCTGGCCTAGGCTATGCACAATAACCGGTATATTTCTTTCCATTAGCTGCGGAAACACGTTTTTTTTTCTAGCGTAGCAAAACTGATCATCACATTCATATTTTTGGATGTACTTATGTCATATTTCACCTATCTGTACACAATTTCAATTTGTTGATTTCATATTAAGTTTGATGAGTAGAGGAATGGACCAACACACTCCAAGATATGTTGGCAAAGAAACCACCAGAAGGAACTCAAAGTGAGGTGAAATGGGGTTTAACGTCTCGTCCAAGATTATTGCACTTCTATTGCGACATGCATGCTCCTGTGTGGCTGCTTGTACAAGTCCGGACTGATGCTGATTTATAGTGTTAGCTCACTGAGATACCATGCCGCAGTTTAACAGGAATAACCCACTCAGAAACAGTATACTGACTCCGAGTTGATCAGTCCTTGTTTTAGCCCCTTATTGCCGAGCGCCGGACAGGGTAACAACAAGTACCATCTTTTAACGTCTATTGGCATGACGCGGCCGGGGATCGAACTCCGGACCTTCCACTCTCCGGGCGGACGCTCTAACACTAGGCCACGGAGGCGGCCAGAAGGACCTTAAGGTATAATGTGATAACAATGCATTGAGACGTTGATCTGTCGAACACTATGTGACATATATATATCATAGTGGACGACAGTTTGAAGGGCCAACACACGTTGTACCATGCGGGCGGTCATTATTTACATTCGAATAAAAAAACCTCAAAATACAAAACGATGCCATTGAGTAACTCGCTAACAAAAGACGTGAACTTTAAGACCAATGTGTGCTAAAGAACGTCAGTGCACAAAAAGGACACTAAGCTGCAAAAGAACAATCTTGACAATGAAGAACGCCAGATGGCGCTGCAACTTGTGAAACATTCCAATTTAATCGGCTCGTTCCGCCGTGTATATGATAATTGCATTCCGAAGTTCTCAATGTATTACGTCATTCCTCGTCATTTATCAACCAGCAAACGAAACTATTATTGTTACCCTATACCTGACATGCATACAACCTTGCCCTTGTCGTCACACGTAAAGTGGCCGAAGGCGTTGTCACGGTCGATGCAGTACTTTAGACAGTAGTTGCCGAAGTAATTCTTCAAACATCTCGCCCGTACTTCAACGTCCAAGCTGGAAAATGAGACAGCTGTCATGCAATAAAACACCTCGGGATCATACAAATACATCGACTCACTGCTAGTTCGAGATAAGAGGAACTGTGTTTGCTTGTTGGTTTTTTTAACGCCGCACTCGGCAACATTCCAGCTATATGACGGCGGTCTGTAAATAATCGAGTCTGGACCAGACAATCCAATGATTGACATCAAGAGCATCGAACCACACAATTGAGATACGATGACATGCATCAGCCAAGTCACCAAGCCTGACCACCCTATCCCGTTAGTCGCATCTTACGACAAGCATAGTCGCCTTTTACGGCAAACATGGGTTGAGGAAGACCAATTCTACCCCGGATCTTCACGGGTCGTCAGGCTCTGTGACTTGGCTGAGTGTGTTGTAAAGACCGATTCTAACCTTCACGGAGGTGTGCTTTGTCGATGCTTTAGCAATATTTCAGACTATCACGGCGGGAACACCGAGAACGGACTTCACACACTGTAGCAATATGAATGATAGGACCCACGTCCTCTGCGTGACGGACGCTTTAAGCACTCGGTCCATCGTCCTTCACACTGCACAGGAAAACAAACAACCACGCGTGATACAGATGCTCTTCTCAACGACCCCGGACATTTTAATTGGAATCGATGTTATATGTACATGCGTGATATTTGTATACATGAGCGTTAGACAACTTAAATGGTTTCCATCGTATCCTAATTACGTAGATCGATGCTCATGATGTCTATCACTGGATTGTCTGGTCCAGACTCGCTGACTGACAGGCTGTCGTCATATAGCTTGAATATTGCTGAGTTGGGCGTTGAACAACAAATAAGCATACAAACAAACAATAATTGGGTTCACGCAATGCCACGAAGTGTAAATAGGTGAAGCGCGTATAAAATATCACTGACTTTAGACACAACTCGGATTTTCGCTTGGTACATCACCCTCGAGTATCAATATCACTCTACAATGATACATATTACTATCACGATCCGATAAATATGTAAATTAGATCATCTGGATGGAACAATCACATTCAGTACATAGATGCGATGCCAGCACGCTCAATCGTTACACAAAAGTCAATCTAGGTTTCCCTGATGTGAAAGTGTAGAGTAAACAAATATGGCATTTGACGCCGTACAGTAAATGGCGCGGTTCACTCAGGCATAGTATTCCTACACTATTTCTAAGGTTCTGAGACCATCTCCGTGTCTGGTGGAAGAGCGCTCAGTAAGCGGAAAGTCGTGGGTTCGATCCCCGGTCGCTTCACACCAAAATATGTTAAAAGATGATATTTGTTATTACCTTGCCTCGGCATTAAAGGGCTAAAACAAGGATTGATCGACTCGGAGTCAGTACACTGTGTCTGAGTAGGGTACGCCTGTTAAACCGCGGCATGGTATCTCAGTGGGCTAGCACTATGAATTGGCATTAATCCGGACAAGTACAAGCAGCTACACACACAAACACACGTGCATGCACATCGCTATATAAGTGCAATAATTTTGAACCCGACGTTAAACCCCATTTCACCTAACCTCACCTCACCAGAAAGTTCTGAGAAAACGTGTCCCTATTTTTCGCAGTATGCATTAAGTTAAAGAGAATGGAGCAAGGGCCTAAACTCTTTGAATTTGAATTGAATTTATGACACCAATTTTCGAACTCGTAACCATTAAGATCAATGTGTAAAATTTCATTTCTCTAACTTAAATAGTGTTCGGGAAAATTTGTTCCCACTAGGGTACGGACGTACGGACTCCGATCCTACATGACCTGCCCCACTTCGTGGCGGTGCGGGGGCACGGATGGCCCAGTCGTCTAAGGCGCCGCGATTCGCTGTGCAGAGTTGCGTCCCTTGGGCACGCCAGAAACCTATGATTGTGGGTTCGAATCCCGGGTCGCCCCAATTATCTTTCTAGGTTTGTCAGCACCATACCCGTGCTCGTGGGTTTCACCGAAGTGGTAAACGTCTGAAACCTGCATCACTTCGGGCTTTCCTCCCACATTAAGCTCACACACCGCGATATGACTGGAATACTGTTAAAAGCGGCGTTAAACACAACTTACTCACTCACTCGTGGCGGTGCATAGTTATCACATTTTCAACAGACAGGCGCTTTCCAAACTTACATGGAGTCACCAGCCGTCAGACGTATTGACGTAGCCTGAGTTGACGTACTGGAGACTGGTGTACCTACGTAGCGGTAGGAGAACCCACCCATGTAGTCGTCGCTAGTCGTGACGTCGGTGTTGTTGTCGTTCACATCCACTTCCAGCAGAAAGGAGCCCTGCCGACAAAATAAGATATCAGCCAACGCATTCACGTCTGTAGAAACAATGTGTTAGTTCTGAACGCGAATCAGTCAGATATATACATCAATGCATCTCGGGTTTGTATACACTATGTTCCATCGTCACCCCTGGATACATACTAAATGTTTTTTTGTTTGTTTGTTTGTTGTTTAATGCCATACTCAGCAATATTCCAGCTATATGACGGCGGTCTGTAAATAATCGAGTCTGGACCAGACAATCCAGTGATTGATATCATCAGCATCATTCCACGCAGTTGGGATAAGATGATATGCATCAACCAAGTCAGCGAGTCTGACCACCCGATCCCGTTAGTCGCCTTTTACGACAAGCATAGTCGCCATTTACGGCAAGTATGGGTTGCTGAAGACTTATTCAAACCGGATCTTCACGGGTGGGATAGCCCGGATACATACTATACCAGTTGTGTAATAGTGACGAGTCTCTCAGATTCACGGAGTTCATATGAGCCTGAATTTTGTGTCAGAACATTGTGTCTAATCTTTGTGCATGTGTAGAGTGGATGCCCCCAAGACTATGGCATGTATTCCACGAGAAATATTGCCGAGCTCTCATTGAAGTGAACACTTGCTGGTAACCTTCTCGATGGGACCTGTCCATGGCTTGATTCGTTGGTTTAGAAAAGCGGCAACGCTGTGAAGCTGACGTTTGTATTCACTACTGATGGAGAAAGGAAGTGTTTCCCAAACCGTGATGTATTGACGATGGTTGTTACTTTTTCTCATTATTTCCCTAGCACAGACGTGTCGTTGCTGACATATTTACGCTAGTCAAGGCAACAAGTTGTCAGAAATACAGAAAACCCTTCTTCACGTGATGGTGTCGTGCCCCATGAACTTGTCCGGATTACAACAACTAGTATTAACGTAGGCGGATTATTTTACGGCTGCTGTGATACAATTGGACTATTGAAGTATGGCGCAAAACCTTGTTTACTCACTTTCACTACCATGTTGCCGCGACATAAAATAACATTCATTCCTTCAGTCATTGTTCGTTTATGTGGATTAATTAAAACCATCTTGTCCTCTGAATGATTTCAAGAGGTGCGATGGGGTGGTATAGGGGTTAAAGCGTTCGCTCGTCACTCTGAGACCCGGGTTCGTTTCCCTACTTGGTACAAAGTGTACATGTCAAGCCTTTTCTCTATGTGCTTCGACGTATTATGGGTTGTTGGTTAGTTGGTTTGTTGTTTAACGCCGCACTCAGCAATATTCCAGCTATATGACGGCGGTCTGTAAATAATCGAGTCTGGACCAGGCAATCCAGTGATTGATATCATGAGCATCGATCCACGCAATTGGGATCGATGTCATGCATCAACCAAATCAGCGAGTCTGACCACCGATCCCGTTAGTCGCCTTTTACGACAAGCATAGTCGCCATTTACGGCAAGTATGGGTTGCTGAAGACCTAATCTAGCCCGGATCTTCACGGGTCGTAATATGGGTGGAATATTGCTGTATACGCTGTTCATCAATAAGCAATGTTGGAGAGGAATTTGGAAGGAAGAAAATGGAACCTGGCAATTGGTCTATTAGCAGCTGGTAATTATAAATATGATCAACCTGCTTACCTGCCAGTAGGTAAACTCTGCCGACAGCGGGTTAGTTTTGTCTGCCACTGTCGTCGTGAACGTCGCTGTGTTCTGGTTGGTTAACGACGACGTCACTTCCTTGGCGTACGAGCAGCCCCTGTCAATATTGTTGGTGAGGTGACATGGGGTTTAACGTTTAACGTTGCGTTCAGATTATTTCAGTTATATAGTAACGTGTGTGTGTGTGTGTGTGTGTGTGTGTGTGTGTGTGACGGTGCTTGTACAAGTCCGGACCATTGCCGACCGACCGGCAGACGCTCTACTACTAGACATCGGAGGCGGTCGACCAAATTTAGAAAAACCTGTTTGTGCAGTATCACTGAACAAGAAATGGCACTAATAGGTCATAGTCTAGAACGTTAATAACCGAGTTGATTTTTCTGCCGCTTTTAACATTATTTCAAATGTGGCACTAAAGCCTAGAATGACGCAAATTATAGAAGATAACCATGTTTGGTGAAGCTCGCGAGTGCGGGCATGGTTCCAACAAACCAATGATAATATTCGGGATGCATGTGGGATTCGACCCCCGACGATCGGATCCTGCAAGCGAGGGACGTAACTCTGCCAATCGAATTGCGGACTGCCCTCTACAAGCAATGTAAACGAGAGAACGCTTGAACCAATTGGCTATCCTACCGTCCCTGCCATTGCCTCCGATGACCGTCGTAAATTTACTCGTGTGGTAGTTCCTTACCCTCCATTGTTGGTTTCTGAGATGCAAATGATGAAGTAGGGATCACATCGGTTGGTTGGACAGGGGGGTGGCGACTGAACGCGGTCACAGCATCTCCCTGCCGCCGTCACCCCACGGGGGTTGGAGTAGTGGGTGAGTTTCACCTCGATCAGCCCCAAACCGTGGACGGACTGTGGGTAGAAAAAATGCCAAAATCGTTTCCCAACGGAAATTACCAGGGTTAAATATCTAGAAAATGATACAAAATTATCTATTTTCTCTAAATGTTAAATGTAAAGTTTGAAAGAGAGATACAGAGTTGAATGAGTTTGAGTTAATGCCGATTCGACCAGTATTTCAAATATATCCCGGCGTCTCAGCTTGTTGTGGCAATAAACTCGAACGAACGTAGGTTTTAGACGTTGACGACTTTTCTGAAACCCATGAACACAGGTGGTTAAAAACATAATCGAACAGAACTGGGATTCGAACCTCGGTTCATAGGGCCGATAATTATCACAATGAAAAGCAGCGCCTAAGACGACTGGGCCACCCGTGTCCCCAGATGGAGAAATACATGGTACTAGTCATGTGAATGGTTGAAGTGACGCTACGCTTCTCTTCCAGAATTGTTTTCCACCCAACCTGGTGTGCAAGTACATGTGTATATCTGGCGTTCACGGTTTTCTAGTATAGCACCCTCGTTTGCAGCTTTAATTTACTTATTGAAATACAGGACACTTCTTTTCTCAGTTCCCCAGCAACGATTCCGTGGTAGAAGTGGTTACAAATACCTCTTCTTGTCGTAAAATCAAACCGTCAACCAATTATTGAATTAAACTTTGCATTGCAAGTCAGCCAATCAAGATATATTCAATATGACAGATAACATTGACTTACCTCAAGAAACACTACCACAGTTAGAAGACAGATTGGTATGATCGGGAACGGTGTCATTGTTCTCTAAGGCCTCATTCCGTGCCGCCCCAGGAACATGCCAACGTCTACTACAGCACAGCTAGCATGGCCGCGGAGACATCTTAAACAAAGGAAGGCCTACTTGACAAGACATATTAGTTTGTGTATGTGATACGTGTGAATTATTTTAAATCTGGATTAAAATCAACATTTACACATGTGCCTTATCTTATCGCCAGAGGTTAAATTGGCTTTAGATCGCCGGACACTCGCACCTGAACTCTCAGAATATCGGAAGATTGGAAACATAAATCAGCCTGGGTGCACTCCGTTTTGATCTGCCCTTGCCCGTGTTTGATAAAATGCCCTCTGATTAAATCCATGTTTGTACATTGTAAATTGTCCTCAGGATCTACTCGGCTAACCCCGTGCCCTAAATATACTCTCCAAAACAGTAGGGTATGTTAAAAAATCATGGGAATTACAAAGAGGTCATTATCTGGTCTTGCTCCCACTATTGGTCAAACCTTTATTTTTTCGGCGTGAATGGGTCCGAATCGATCTCCAAATGACACTTTGACGGAGTCTTGTCCATTCCTCTTGCAACGCCTAGCCCAGTTCGACTGACGTAGCGGGTGATCTTTGACGTCGGCGTACAAGTCTCCCGATCCCTGACGTGCTCTATGTTTCGGGGAAAGGTCAGGATTCACGGCTGGCCATTACATTCTGGTGATGTCTTTAAGGACAAAACGTGCACCAGCATGGCACAACTATTGGCGCCAGTATTTTGTCTCGGTAGTAATGTCCAGTGACTTCCATGGACATATCAGTCATGTTGCCTTACGTTGAAGTTGAGCGATTTGATTGGCTGTTTGGGCTTGGTTTCTTAAAACCTGGTTTCTGATTAATCGATCCTGGACTTGCATTGCTTACCATGGGCGCCCTGCGGGACCGACGATTAGCATAAGTGTATCTGTAGAAGCCTGTTCCAAGTCTGCAAATCACAGCCTGAGATACAGTCTACCAGTTTGAATCTTGCCAATAACCCTTTCCAATTTGATCTCAAATACTGCATTAACGCAAGAGCAGAGAGCTCACGAGTTACTGTGAATAATGAAAAGCAACATTAGTATTGGCTCAGAGCGATTTGATGACTTTCAACGGAAGGTTTACCCTCTACCTACGTGCACGGAGGAATTGCATTGTACAGTATTTCGGGTCAGGTGAGCGTCCATTATTTCACTTACATAGCGACGCGCATGCACGTGTGTGTGTGTGTGTGTGTGTGTGTGTGGCCGCTTGAACTAATCCTGACTAATGCCGATTTTATAGTGCTAGCCCACTGAGGTCCCATGTCGCAGTTGAACGAGAATACCCCACTCAGATACAGTATACTCTGAGCTGACCAGTTCTTGTTTTTGCCCAATACTGCCGAGCGCCAGGCAGGGTAATAACAAGTACCACATTTGAACATAGTTTGGTATGACGCGGCCGGGGATCGAACCCCCGACCTTCCGCTATCCGGACGGACGGACGCTCTACCACTAGACCACGGAGGCGGCGCATTGTTCTGGTGTGTTTGGACATTTGGTTTTGGTTCTGGCAGCCATTTTTCAAAGCTGATCTTTCTTCGGGCAACCGACCATAACATTCATATTTCAAGACACTCGTGAAGATAGATCTTCAGCAAATCACGAATGCCTTAAAAGGCGACTAACAGTGTATCGGGTGGTCAGGCTCTTGGTTGATGCATGTCATCGTATCCCAGTTGTGTGGATTGATGCTCACGATGCCAATCACTGGATTGTCTGGTCGATTATTTACAGATTGCCGTCATATAGCTGGAATGTTGCTGAGTGCGGCGTTAAACAACAAACAAACATATTTCAAGATCCCCTCCTTTTTTTGGAGAGTATATACCGAATATGACTTTTCAGATCGAAGTGAACTGGGTGGTTTCAGGTTACGGAAAGGGTCGAGTGGTGACAAATGGTCATATTTAATTGAAATTGGCGTAGGCTTATAGTGTGTTTAACACAATGTTGTCTTATTGAGTGTTTAACACAGTGTCAACTATTGCGTGTATAACACAGTGTTGACTTATTGGGTGTTTAGCACAGTGTTGGCTTATAGAGTGTTTAACACAGTGTTGTCTTATTGAGTGTTTAACACCGTGTCAACTGTTGGTGTATAACACAGTGTTGACTTGTTGGGTGTTTAACACACTGTTGTCTTATAGTGTGTATAACACAGTGCTGTCTTATTGAGTGTTTAACACAGTGTCAACTATTGCGTGTATAACACAGTGTTGACTTATTGGGTGTATAACACAGTGTTGACTTATAGTGTGTTAAACACAGTGTTGTCTTATTAAGTGTTTAAAACAGTGTTGATTTATTAAGTGTTTAACACAGTGTTGACTTATTGAGTGTTTAACACAGTGTCAACTGTTGCGTGTTTAACACAGTGTTGTCTTATTGTGTGTTTAACACAGTGTCAACTATTGAGTGTATAACACAGTGTTGACTTATTGGGTGTATAACACAGTGTTAACTTATTAAGTGTTTAACACAGTGTTGATTTATTAAGTGTTTAACACAGTGTTGACTTATTGAGTGTTTAACACAGTGTTGATTTATTAAGTGTTTAACACAGTGTTGACTTAGTGTTTAACACAGGGTTGACTTATTGAGTGTTTAACAAATACAAGGGGTGGTGAACCGTTCCTGTGTGTTAGGTAGGGAAAATTCACGTTTCAAGGTTTGGCATTCGTAATGAAATAAATAAATTTCCGGTAGAGAACTTCACAAAAAGTAGTATAATAAATAAGATAATCCATGTGTCTCGTGAAATATCATGTTTCTCTCGACACATGGAATATCCTCTATATGTTTGTGTATCATGGAAAGTTAGAAATATCAAAATTCGAGTAGCATGTACAGTAGACTACGGTTATAACGAACTCGAGGGGACCACTAATTTAAAATTCGTAATAACCGTAGTTCGTTATAAGCATACATTCAGCATATGTACAACAAATGGTCGGGACTAAAAATATGTTCGTTATATCCGTCAGTTCGTTATAAGCGTGTTCGTTATAAAACATTGTTTACTTATAGTAAATAAAGTTTACATATCTGAATTGATAGCTCTGTTTATGGTAAAAGTTAAATGGACATCAATGTTACAAATTAAGAAAGTCTCTTATTTAAATTATAAATTTTTAGAATCTAATTACTGACACGACATCTGTCAGTTTCCGTAGAATGGTGGTCCCGCAGGTGTTGGGGCAACTTAGGATCGGACAACTTGGGATCGGGCAACTTTGGATCGGGCAACTTTGGATCGGACAACTTGGGGTCGGGCAACTTGGGATCGGGCAACATGGGATCATTTTACAGCTGCTTCACTCACTACCAAACATTTTTCATTCATAACTATTGATAAGGGTATTGTTTTTCGGATACGACGTGTCTCAGTTGAAATAAAGCGCCCATCAAGAACACAAGGCATTTTATTGCAATACAGAACGGACTCTAAAGCATACAGATTGCTGTAAAATGTTGCGGGTTAAATGTGACATGTTTATATGTGAAAAGCAATTTCACAAAACATGACGGTATTCATGCTGTTCTCAAAATGTACACACAAGAACAAATACTTTCCAATTTCACACATTCTGCAAAGAAACATGTTTTAAAGAAATAATTGATTTTGTTATGGTTGTAAAAATATAACCAAAATATACACATAGAAAAGAACGAAACACGCTGTCTCCGTCATGAAATGAAAAATACAACTAAAAATTGCCTCACCATTTAATTGCTTCAATTTTTTTTATGAACGTTAATTTAATCTAATGCTGATACATTTTATCATCAAATGTGGTTTTCAAGAGGAATCTTTCGATCAAGCGTCATTGCAATGTCATCCGCACCAGCTGAACGATTGATAACATCAATACACAAGTCTGCACAATATCGTGACGAACTATTATGTTTATATTGCTTATCGTATGACAAGCCACGTGTGTCTCAGGGAGCGGGTTACCTGTATCTACCTGTACACACCTGAACACAGGTGCTAGCTTGTTCCAGGCCCGGGGTAAATAGATAAAACACTCACTGTAGTATCTAAGATGGAGGCCGGATGGCTTCGGATAAGGTTTATTAAATGAATTACCCGAGGCGGCCGTGTTCTTGTCTAGAGACCATCCTGATCATGACGTCATCATGACATCATCACTCTTTTAGTGACGTCATCAGTCCATGAGTACTATGATGACTGTTGATACTACACTCACAAGGGAATTATATTTTGTTTAAAGGGGAAGTGTACACGCAAAAATCACTTTCTTTCTTTTTTGTGATATTTTTATATTTTTGTCTATGACACTTCTAGGTTAACACTTTTATTGTGGAAAAAGTACAAGAAAATTAGGTTCATTTCCGTGTGAACTTGCCCTTTAAGTACTCAAGGGTAACTTGAAATATTTTAGCACCTGGTATTATTGAATACAGTTCTGATAAATGCATGTCTATTCACAATGTTAGCTGAAGCCATAGCACGACAAATCTGGACAATAGTTTCCCCATTTTGAATAGAATCACGAAATAACGAGAGTATTAATCTACGTATATAGCAGCATGTGTTCAAATGCTTATAGAGTAATAACAAGCGAAAATGTGCTTTTCAAGAAATATCCATTTGCCTAGCGATAAATATCCTCATTAAGGTTTGATCAGTGATTTCAATCGGGTTAAGGATCGACAGTCAGGTGACTGCGAGCAGCTCTAGTTAGCAGCGTGTTAAGCCTACATACATTACCAACACGAACTGAAAGAAACACACGTGCATAGGTAGTAATTACAGGGCTATTGACCCGGCTCGAAACGCACACACTGCTAAATATAATCGCCCCCAATCACCTAACTGCCGACATAACCCAGACTGAAACCAAGTGATCAGATCTCAATGATGGACGCAAATTTGCTTGAATGTTGCATCAACGCGTAACCTTCTCACTCACTACAGCTACTACAACTACTACAACTACTTCAACTGCTACAAAACTACTACTCCTACTTCCACCTATTCTATTTTTATGGGTTTTTTTGTTGTTTAACGCCGCACTCAGCAATATTCCAGCTATATGACGGCGTTCTGTAAAAAAATCGAGTCTGGACCGGACAATCCAGTGATTGACAACATGAGCATCGATCCACGCCTGACCACCCGATCCCGTTAGTCGCCTTTTACGACAAGCATAGTCGACTTTTACGGCAAGTATCCACACAATTGAAATACGATGACATGCATCAACCAAGTCAGAGAGTCTGACCACCCTATCCCGTTAGTCGCCTCTTACGACAAGCATAGCCGCCTTTTACGGCAAGCATGGGTGGCTGAAGACCTTTTCTACCCCGAATCTTCATGGGTCTCATATATTTATGAATAACACAAAACACATATTTAACATCGCATGAAGCACGGATTTGTCAGTTGATGAAATAATGATTTATATAGACAAGCAGATATGTGCATACTACTGCTACTGCTGCTGCCACTGCTACTACTTATCGCCTCGAGCGGTGGTCTAGTGATAGAGCGAAGGTCCGGGGTTCGATCCCCGGCAGCGTCATACCAAAATACGTAAAAAGATGGTTCTTGTTGTTACCCTGTCTGGCGTTCGGCTTTAAGGGGTTAAAACAAGGAATCGGCCCGGAGTCAGTATACTGTGCCTGAGTGGGGTATTCATGTTAAACTGCGGCATGGCATCTCAGTGGGCTAGCACTATAGCACTCGTACACGCAGCCACACACACACACTTGCATGCACGTCGCTATGTAATAATCTTGGACGCGACCTTAAACCCTATTTCACCTCACTACTACCACCAATGATTAATAACACTCTGTTAAGTTATAATCACCGCGACAGTTGCCCGCATGGTGGCCATTAAAACATTGTAAGTGGGCCAGTGTCTGTGACGAGTAGGTATGTATGACAGTATCGTTATTGATGATGGTGCAATCCTCCCATCACCTCACAACACCCACTTCACTGATACGCCAACAGAGATACCCTCGTCACCCAAGTCACCATATCAGCGGCCTTTGGCAATATCAGCGACAGTTATCACTGTGTCAATGGGATGGGCGAGTGGGGTGATCGGCAACCTATATACCATGACAATAGTGGATCGAGTCATTCCACACTGATGTCACATCACTATCACAGACAGCCCCTGTTGAAGTGTGCTATCGCCAAGAAATACACACTAATATCTTGCAGCATTACGGTTATCTTGCTTCTGACATATATCCCAGAGAAGCTCAACCCAGATTATTATTCACCAGTGTCAATAGCAAATATACTGAACCGCAAAAGAAACGTCACCATGGATAGATATATGAGAAACCTTATTTGTCCAAACACTGGAAACATACTTTGAGACATATTAAAAAGATGAAACTTGGCAAAACTGATCATCAAGGTTGAAATTAAAGTGTCAAGTGTTCTTAAAGTGAAACACAACACTAGTCTCTGAGAAAATGGCATCAGAAGTCAGTATTTCGAGTTTCCGCCATGTGCATTGATGACTGCCATGCAACGTCGATACATGGAATGGATGAGGCGGTTGATGAAGGCCATAGACACTAGAGCCCACACTCTGAGGGACGCCTGACGCAGTTCAGCTGCAATTGTCGGCTTTGGTCGGACGTCATCCAGCCGTCTTTGAATCTCGTCCCACAGGTGCTCAATGGGATTTAAATAGGGACTGAGGGCAAGCCACTGCATGGTTCTGATTCCATTCTGCTGGAGGAAGTCTCTCGTTGCTTTCGCAGTGTGGGCACGGGCGTTATCATGCTGAAACTCGTGGTTGCGGCGATGTGCCAAATGAGGTATGGCGTGTGGTCTCAAGACTTGATCAATGTACCGAGCTGTTGTTACACCATTGCCTCTCCCTGGACCGATGTTCTGGAAGACCACATGGCCGACCCTCTGTGCAAGACCAATTCCACCCCACACCATGATGCTCGGACCACCCCACGTGTCTCTCTCAACAACACAAGCATCCGAATAACGTTCCCCACGTCGTCGCCAGACTCTCTCTCTCTGCCATCTGCTGTTGAGATACAGTAACGGCTCTCGTCTGAGAAGAGGGCTCTTCTCCACTGCTGGAGGCGCCAATGCTGGTGCTGTGTTGCCCACTGAAGACGGTCCGGGCGATACCATGGCCGTTGCCGTGTGGTGCGTTTGGGCGAACGGTTTTATTGTCATCTGCTTTGGTTTTTTTATCATCAAATTTCATTTTTTTCCGGACAAGGTAATGTTAAATTTTAGAAACTTTGCCAAAAATTACCAAGATATTTAAATGACAACTTTTCATGCAATATAACTTGGGGTGACGTTTCTTTTGCGGTTCAGTATATATTTTTTGTGTTTAGAAAATCAGGTTTAACGTCGCTTGCAACATTATTTTGACAATATCATCCAAGTCCGCTGTTTGTTTTTTGTTGTTTAACGCCACACCCAGCAATGTTCCAGCTAAATAATGGCGGACTGGAAATCCAGTGATTGATATTATGAGCAACGTTTCAAGATATCGAGGAACAGTAAAAAAAAAGGGTCATGGTATTTCAAAGTGCTTTCACTTGTTGAAAATGTTTTAATTTCCATAAAAAAGTTAAAGCGAAATACTGACTAAATCCACCAAGGAGTGCCGATAAAATAAAGAGAACAAACACAATGTCCACGAATTAGACCAAGACTCTAAGGGTATATATATATAGATAATGCAATTACAGAGAACAAAGCAATATTCTCAGTGAAAACATCTTTAATGACAAGGTATGATATAAACAGTGGGCGATATAAATGATACAAACCGTATATATAGTAGGCGATTTCGTTCTGTGCTCAAAGAATTCACATCTGAGTGTTGAAGCAAATATGTTTAGTTAAGCGCACTGATAATTTTATATCAGATTTATCTCTTGATATAAACTCCATGGTTTGTTATCTTGACACTTTGCAAGTCAGATTGCGATATCGATAACTGGTCGGTGAGTGAAGTATATTTAGACAATAGCTTAAACATTTTTCAATAACAAGAAAGCTTGCGATCGAACGTCATCTAATTCTCCGACTTAATTCAGTAATTTGGGATTTCTTTTTAAACTGTACATGTTGATGTAAGATGTATTGAAAACATTCATGATATAAGCAATTGCTATAAAAAAAATTCATTAAATATTCCAAACGTTATAATTGAGCCTTTAATTTTGAATAGACTGGTGCTGTGGAAATAAAAAGAAAATGGCGGCCGAGGTTTCACAAATAATACTCAACGGATAAAGAGCCAATACAAATAGTTAATTAGGCAATCATTTCTACTGTCTCTCCTGATTACCAAAATTGCGTGGATCGAAGCTCATGATATCAATCACTGGATTGTCTGGTCCAGACTCGATAATTTATAGACCGCCGTCATATGGCTGGAATATAGTGCTGATTGTGGCGTTAAACAACGAACAAACAAACCAAAATATCGTCCCCAGCGTAATAGTTCGTTGTTTGTTGCTTATCGCCGCAATGTCCCAGCTTTGTGAAGGAGGTCGGAACCAGACAAACCAGTGATTGATATTATGAGCAAAGTCCAAAGCCTTCGGGGCACGAAAACATCAATACAGTCGTCGAGCATGGCCATCTAACAAGCGTAGATTACTCGGCACCAGTTGTAACGATGAATAGAAGTCCATTGCTTATTCCGCTTTTAACGACATTTTGCACTCCTGGTAACTGCATGTAGAAAGTTAACCCAAATTACCATACTTTGAATGAGAACTAAACAAACTGTATATGATGTGTATATAAAGAGCAGTTGAACCTACACGTATCAGTGAGTGAGTGAAAATTGGGTTTCACGCCGTTTTAACAGTATTCCAGTTATTTCACGGTGTGTCAGCTTAATGTCGTAGGAAAGCCTAAGGGATTCAGGTCTCATATGTTTACCGCTTTGGTGAAACCGTTGAACACGGGTATGGTGCTGAATAATCGAGAAACATAATCGTGGCGAACCGGGATTCGAGACCACAATCATTGGTTTCTGGCGTGCTCACAGCGAATTGCGGCGCCTTAGATGACTGGGCAACCGTGCCCATCTCTACCTGTATGAAAACCCGAAGGTTACGAAATGAAAATGATACTGGCCTTGTGACAGAAAATATTTCACAGTCATACAGGAGGGTCGTAGCCATAAAAGTTCAACGTCAGCAACTCTTGTCTTTTCACTATATGTACATGCAATTAACATTAAATATTGCTGACACTGCATTTTCCTTATCCTTCATATTAACTATCTGAGCCATTGCACACAAACTGCCTCCTTGTAGTGTCTCTCAGTCAGGACATTTATACCTGTCAACACATGCATTCATTAAAGTCGCCACATGCATTAAGAACAGTTAACACATGCATTGGTTATGCCAACAGTCAACACATGCATTGAGAAAAGTCAACACATGCATTCAGTAAAGTCGCCACATGCATTAAGAACGGTTAACATATGCATTGGTTATGCCTTAAGTCAACACATGCATTGAGAATAGTCAACACATGCATTCATTAAAGTCGCCACATGCATTAAGAACAGTTAACACATGCATTGGTTATGCCAACAGTCAACACATGCATTGAGAATAGTCAACACATGCATTCATTAAAGTCGCCACATGCATTAAGAACAGTTAACATATGCATTGGTTATGCCTTAAGGCAACACATGCATTGAGAACAGTCAACACATGCATTGAGAACAGTCAACACATGCATTGAGAACAGTCAACACATGCATTGGTTATACCAACAGTCGACACATGCATTGAGAATAGTCAACACATGCATTCATTAAAGTCGCCACATGCATTAAGAACAGTTAATATATGCACTGGTTATGCCTTAAGGCAACACATGCATTGAGAACAGTCAACACATGCATTGAGAACAGTCAACCCATGCATTGAGAACAGTCAACACATGCATTGAGAACAGTCAACACATGCATTGAGAACAGTCAACACATGCATTGAGAAGGTATATTGGAACACATGCATTGAGAACAGTCAACACATGCATTGAGAAGGTATATTGGAACACATGCATTGAGAACAGTCAACACATGCATTGAGAACAGTCAACACATGCATTGAGAAGGTATATTGGAACACATGCATTGAGAACAGTCAACACATGCATTGAGAAGGTATATTGGAACACATGCATTGAGAACAGTCAACACATGCATTGAGAACAGTCAACACATGCATTGAGAAGGTATATTGGAACACATGCATTGAGAACAGTCAACACATGCATTGAGGACAGTCAACACATGCATTGAGAACAGTCAACACATGCATTGAGAAGGTATATTGGAATGTCAGCAGTTATTCGGCTCCATATTGGATTAAGGTAAGTTCCGTGTTTTCAGTCAGCGTCCGGGAGACCACTACCGGTGCTCATAGATGGATATAACGATGGTCGGTCGGTTCCATCCTCGCCAATGTCTCTATGCTGTGTTACATCTTGTTCTCCGTATGTGGGATTCTGAAACGTGGCGTCTTGTTCCACATCCACATCTACAAAGCGGGCACTCTGACGCTGATTGTATTTATCTGTCCAAATCTCATGGGATCTTCGTATGGGGCTCCGTCTGGAGACAAACGATTGCAGCGTGCAGCGTCAACAAAATCTAATTACAATCCTGTATCATTTGGGGAGAATTTAATTTGTTCGTGTTCAATAAAAAATGGCATAATTTCACATGTAGATATTGAACCCAACATATGGGCTTGTAACCGGCATGTGGACATTGTACTCGGCACGTGGGCATTGTACCCGACATATGAGCATTGTACTCGGCACGTGGGCATTGTACCAGACATATGAGCATTGTACTCGGCACGTGGGCATTGTACCAGACATATGAGCACTGTACTCGGCACGTGGGCATTGTACCCGACATATGAGCACTGTACTCGGCATGTGGGCATTGTACCCGACATATGAGCATTGTACTTGGCACGTGGGAATTGTACCCGACATATGAGCATTGTACTCGGCGTGTGGGCATTGTACCCGACATATGGGCATTTTACTCGGCATGTGGGCATTGCACCCAACATATGAGCATTGTACTCGGCACGTGGGTATTGTACCAGACATATGAGCATTGTACTCGGCATGTGGGCATTGCACCCGACATATGAGCATTGTACTCGGCATGTGGGCATTGTACCCGACATATGAGCATTGTACTCGGCATGTGGGCATTGTACCCGACATATGAGCATTTTACTCGGCATGTGGGCATTGCACCCAACATATGAGCATTGTACTCGGCACGTGGGTATTGTACCAGACATATGAGCATTGTACTCGGCATGTGGGCATTGCACCCGACATATGAGCATTGTACTCGGCATGTGGGCATTGTACCCGACATATGAGCATTGTACTCGGCATGTGGGCATTGTACCAGACATATGAGCATTGTACTCGGCACGTGGGCATTGTATCAGACATATGAGCATTGTACTCGGCACGTGGGCATTGTACCGGACATATGAGCATTGTACTCGGCACGTGGGTATTGCACCAGACATATGAGCATTGTATTCGGCACGTGGGCATTGTACCCGACATATGGGCATTGTACTCGGCACGTGGGCATTGTACCCGACATATGAGTATTGTACTCGGCACGTGGGCATTGTACCCGACATATGAGCATTGTACTCGGCATGTGGGCATTGTACCCGACATATGAGCATTGTACTCAGCATGTGGGCATTGCACCCGACATATGAGCATTGTACTCGGCATGTGGGCATTGTACCAGACATATGAGCATTGTACTCGGCACGTGGGTATTGTACCAGACATATGAGCATTGTACTCGGCACGTGGGTATTGCACCAGACATATGAGCATTGTATTCGGCATGTGGGCATTGTACCCGACATATGAGCATTGTTCTTAACACGAGGAACACTACAACTTGACAACATGTTTGTTAACATTTCATGTACACCAACATGTTTACACAACGTACCTTCTGTACCAGATAAACGCAGCAACGACGACAAGGACGACAACAGCACCGACGACAACGCCCACTATGAGGCCAACTGGAGTCCCGGAGCTGGGCTGCAAGACAGATATGAACAAAAATTAGCATTACAAACCCTCTACCATATCGACAGTTTGTGAGACAGTTTTGAGATTTTGAACAGAACCATAGCTATTCCACGGCGTTTAAGCTATGTGTTGGAGGAATGCGGGAAGTGAAGGTCATAAACGTAGGTCATACACGATTGCAACTTTGACGAAAGCCACGAGAACGCGTACTATGGAGATGACAATCATAATCAAGGCAAATCTGGGATTCGAACCCACGATTATAGGATCATGACACGCCTGAGGGACGCAACTCTGGACAGAGCCTTTGACACTTGGGCCATCCATTCCACATAACCGGAATACAAAAATTCGTGAACATCACATACGTGACAATAGTGGACGAACTCGGATACATACCTCAGGCTTCGAGTCTCTCAGTTCCTGTGTCGATCCCGTGTATACAGTGTACGGCATTAAATGATCCAGATAGCCTTTGGACAAATAGAAGGGTGTACTTGTTGGTGATGTGAACCGCACTGTCAACTCCGTAATATCCTCTCTGCAAAAGAAGAACCAGATGCAATGATGATTTCTTATATACTCCCTGCTCTGACCCACAACCAACTCAGTCCTTGGCACTGCGAGTAATTCTAGACTCTATATGTTAATACACCGCCGGGCAAACAAAGGTATATGTTGAATATTGGGTTTGATTTAACCGAAAAATTACAAACGTTACCTAACGTAACTAGGATGAAATCATTCGCCGAAATACTGCAAAGTTAAAGGCCAACACACATCTATGACATCCGTATTAAATGCATCAACATCAGAACAATTTGATTTTATACTTTGCATTTTATTAAAGATGAACATTGTTTGGTAACTCTCTACTCAATATGAAAGGAAGGAATCATGAGCCGATTTCGGGAGAGTGATTTCGTCGCTCCACCCGACTAGAGTAAATAGTTAAGTAGAAACACGATAACTGGAAATACTTGATAAGTATTTATTCAGACATGTTATATCAGGATCTCTTTTATATCATCTCTTCTAGTGTTTCGGTAGTCGGTCATCGGACAGCAGCCATTATGTTCTATATAACGCAGGGTCATAAACTGGTAAGATAAACGAGGCCCTACAATACATATTAGGATATTTATGATATATGGCGACAGCACCCTATTCTCATAACAAGATTTTTGCACCTACCCAGCACTGTTATACAGTTGTTTGACGGCAATAGTAATCTGTATGGTTGACGGATTTACGTTCTGCAGCCTCTTAGCAATCTCTGACTGAAGAGTTGATTTGAGATTTTGAATGATGATCTTCTTGTAGGATACCTTCAGATATACTGTCAACGCATCTCCTGAAGAGGTAAACAAAACCATTGTCTGTATTGACTTTATTAATGTGATTATTAATATTAAATTATTTGGTGGTTATCAAAACATATGAACAAACTTGATGGTTTTGAGTTTTGGAACACATGTGTCTAATTAAATACACTTATCCCTACTGTACCTGGTGTAGCTTTCCTTGTTGATGCTATTGTTGAATGTGCGGATGCTGGCTGTGTGTGATGGACAGAGTGAGTAGATTCTCCGGCAAGATCTGAAGTAGATGCAGAGTGTGATGGCAGACTAGGAGATGCAGATTCGCCTGCACTTGTGGACACTCCTGAAGTCGATGTCCCTTCTGATGACGTGCTGCCATGTTGGGGGCTTGTTGCTGTACGTCTGCTTGTTTCGGGAGTCAGAGTTGACCCTGAAGATTTCTTAGAAGTAGATGGTCCTTCTGATGACGTGCTGCCATGTTGGGGGCTTGTTGATGTACGTCTGCTTGTTTCGGGAGTCAGAGTTGACCCTGAAGATTTCTTTGAAGTAGATGGTCCTTCTGATGACGTGCTGCCATATTGGGGGCTTGTTGCTGTTGCTATTGGTTTGCTTGTTTCGAAAATCGATGGTGTCCCTGAAGATTGCGTCGAAGTAGATCGTTTGAGGGATGTTGATGTGTGTGAGGACAGTGAAACAACTGAGGATTGCGTTGTCGTCGGTGACTGAATTGAGTGACCAGTTGTAACTCCCATGCTGCTTGTTGACTTTGAGGCTGTAGTAGAGGTCATATGTTGCCTTGTTGGTGTTGGTGTTATATTTGTTGAGGCTTCGGTGCTTTTTGTCTCTTGGGACGTGGCTCCTCCTGTAGATGGTATCGATGGCGATGTCATCTTGATACTAGTAGATGGCGCTGTTCTACGAGTGGATGAAAACGTTGTACTCTGAGCAGCAGTGGTCGTTGACGTTGCAGTTGTCTGTGTTTTCTTAACCGTTTTCGGTTTGGCTGATACTGTCGACGGCTTTATTGAAGATGTTGTCCTTGTTGTCGTCGGTGTTAAAGTGGATGGTGTAGATGTTGATGTTGATGTTAAAGGTACAGTTGGTGTTGACATTCTTTGTTTTGTCGTACCTTAAAGGAGATATTTCACTCAACGTCATAGCAATATTTAAGAATATTCAAGTGCCTACGGGAATTGAGATCCGTACACATAATAAACCTAACCTGGATCTTTAACAATTTACTTTCTATGCTGGCGTGCAACACGAATCTGTTTATTATAATCAAACTTTCCGTCACACAAATGGGTGAAAATATCAGGGATATATATATATATATATATATATATATATATATATATATATATATATATATATATATATGCCATAGATAGGTTCTTATAAGTGTTGTATATTGTAGCAATAAACAAAAAGCCTTTTAGGCAAGCTAACTATACATATTCTTTATGTTCTTTGTTCAAAACTTTGTTTTTCTCACTTGCGGGTGAAGTCGATGTAGCAGCTGCCGTTGTGGAAGTTACCATGATTGTCGAGGTCGATAGTGGTAATGTTTCACAGCGATTACCTGCAGTAGTAACAGGAAATAAATGTATTCAACTCAAACAGGAGAAATCATTATACTGCTAACTGATACTGAACAATCAGATGTTATTTATAGTTTTCGTATTTAGGCTTCATATCTGGTTTTGCCGCTGTAACTGAAACACACATATTCTCCATTTAAAATCCCAGCATTCCTCCCCCGCCCCCCCCCCCCCCCCACCCCCCCCAACCCCCACCCCCACCCCAACCCCCACCCCCGCCCCCACCCCCTTCTCTCCTTAATATCAAATGGTCGGTCCCATATCACATACACTATACACTGTACATTATAAATTACTATTACACTTATATAGGTCGCAATATTGTGGGGGTCATAACCAACGTTATATGCAAGTGAAATAAAATCCATTCACAATGCCTACCCTTGAATCCAGATTTACAGGAACAGGTGGCCTTTGATCCAGAAAAATGACACGTTCCTTGATTTTGACATGGATTCTTTGTACAGGGGGTTGTCTCACAAAGTGTGCCGTTAAATCCAGGTTTACAGGAACAGGTGGCCTTTGATCCAGAATAGTGACACGTTCCTTGATTCTGACATGGATTCGTTGTACAGGGGGTTGTCTCACAAAGTGTGCCGTTAAATCCAGGTTTACAGGAACAGGTGGCCTTTGATCCAGAAAAGTGACACGTTCCTTGATTCTGACATGGATTCGTTGCACAGGGTGTTGTCTCACAATGTGTGCCGTTAAATCCAGGTTTACAGGAACAGGTGACCTTTGATCGAGAAAAGTGACACGTTCCTTGATTCTGACATGGATTCGTTGTACAGGGGGTTGTCTCACAATGTGTGCCGTTAAATCCAGATTTACAGGAACAGGTGGCGTTCGACCCGACAATATGACACGTTCCTTGATTCTGACATGGATTCGTTGTACAGGGGCTTGTCTCACAAAGTGTGCCGTTAAATCCACGTTTACAGGAACAGGTGGCGTTCGACCTAACAATATGACACGTTCCTTGATTCTGACATGGATTCGTTGTACAGGGGGTTGTCTCACAATGTGTGCCGTTAAATCCAGGTTTACAGGAACAGGTGGCCTTTGATCCAGAATAGTGACACGTTCCTTGATTCTGACATGGATTCTTTGTACAGGGGGTTGTCTCACAATGTGTGCCGTTAAATCCAGGTTTACAGGAACAGGTTGCTTTCGACCCAACAATATGACACGTTCCTTGATTCTGACATGGATTCGTTGTACAGGGGGTTGTCTCACAGTGGGTGCCGTTGAATCCAGATTTACAGGAACAGGTGGCGTTCGACCCAACAATACGACACGTTCCTTGATTCTGACATGGATTCGTTGTACAGGGGGTTGTCTCACAAAGTGTGCCGTTAAATCCAGGTTTACAGGAACAGGTGGCGTTCGACCCGACAATATGACACGTTCCTTGATTCTGACATGGATTCGTTGTACAGGGGCTTGTCTCACAATGTGTACCGTTAAATCCAGGTTTACAGGAACAGGTGGCCTTTGATCCAGAATAGTGACACGTGCCTTGATTCTGACATGGATTCGTTGTACAGGGGCTTGTCTCACAATGTGTGCCGTTAAATCCAGGTTTACAGGAACAGGTTGCTTTCGACCCAACAATATGACACGTTCCTTGGTTCTGACATGGATTCTTTGTACAGGGTGTTGTCTCACAGTTGGTGCCTTTAAATCCAGGTTTACAGGAACAGGTGGCGTTCGACCCGACAATATGACACGTTCCTTGATTCTGACATGGATTCGTTGTACAGGGGCTTGTCTCACAATGTGTACCGTTAAATCCAGGTTTACAGGAACAGGTGGCCTTTGATCCAGAATAGTGACACGTGCCTTGATTCTGACATGGATTCGTTGTACAGGGGCTTGTCTCACAAAGTGTGCCGTTAAATCCACGTTTACAGGAACAGGTGGCGTTCGACCTAACAATATGACACGTTCCTTGATTCTGACATGGATTCGTTGTACAGGGGGTTGTCTCACAATGTGTGCCGTTAAATCCAGGTTTACAGGAACAGGTGGCCTTTGATCCAGAATAGTGACACGTTCCTTGATTCTGACATGGATTCGTTGTACAGGGGGTTGTCTCACAATGTGTGCCGTTAAATCCAGGTTTACAGGAACAGGTTGCTTTCGACCCAACAATATGACACGTTCCTTGATTCTGACATGGATTCGTTGTACAGGGGGTTGTCTCACAGTTGGTGCCGTTGAATCCAGATTTACAGGAACAGGTGGCGTTCGACCCAACAATACGACACGTTCCTTGATTCTGACATGGATTCGTTGTACAGGGGGTTGTCTCACAATGTGTGCCGTTAAATCCAGGTTTACAGGAACAGGTGGCCTTTGATCCAGAATAGTGACACGTTCCTTGATTCTGACATGGATTCTTTGTACAGGGGGTTGTCTCACAATGTGTGCCGTTAAATCCAGGTTTACAGGAACAGGTTGCTTTCGACCCAACAATATGACACGTTCCTTGATTCTGACATGGATTCGTTGTACAGGGGGTTGTCTCACAGTGGGTGCCGTTGAATCCAGATTTACAGGAACAGGTGGCGTTCGACCCAACAATACGACACGTTCCTTGATTCTGACATGGATTCGTTGTACAGGGGGTTGTCTCACAAAGTGTGCCGTTAAATCCAGGTTTACAGGAACAGGTGGCGTTCGACCCGACAATATGACACGTTCCTTGATTCTGACATGGATTCGTTGTACAGGGGCTTGTCTCACAATGTGTACCGTTAAATCCAGGTTTACAGGAACAGGTGGCCTTTGATCCAGAATAGTGACACGTGCCTTGATTCTGACATGGATTCGTTGTACAGGGGCTTGTCTCACAATGTGTGCCGTTAAATCCAGGTTTACAGGAACAGGTTGCTTTCGACCCAACAATATGACACGTTCCTTGATTCTGACATGGATTCTTTGTACAGGGTGTTGTCTCACAGTTGGTGCCTTTAAATCCAGGTTTACAGGAACAGGTGGCGTTCGACCCGACAATATGACACGTTCCTTGATTCTGACATGGATTCGTTGTACAGGGGCTTGTCTCACAATGTGTACCGTTAAATCCAGGTTTACAGGAACAGGTGGCCTTTGATCCAGAATAGTGACACGTGCCTTGATTCTGACATGGATTCGTTGTACAGGGGCTTGTCTCACAAAGTGTGCCGTTAAATCCACGTTTACAGGAACAGGTGGCGTTCGACCTAACAATATGACACGTTCCTTGATTCTGACATGGATTCGTTGTACAGGGGGTTGTCTCACAATGTGTGCCGTTAAATCCAGGTTTACAGGAACAGGTGGCCTTTGATCCAGAATAGTGACACGTTCCTTGATTCTGACATGGATTCGTTGTACAGGGGGTTGTCTCACAATGTGTGCCGTTAAATCCAGGTTTACAGGAACAGGTTGCTTTCGACCCAACAATATGACACGTTCCTTGATTCTGACATGGATTCGTTGTACAGGGGGTTGTCTCACAGTTGGTGCCGTTGAATCCAGATTTACAGGAACAGGTGGCGTTCGACCCAACAATACGACACGTTCCTTGATTCTGACATGGATTCGTTGTACAGGGGCTTGTCTCACAAAGTGTGCCGTTAAATCCAGGTTTACAGGAACAGGTGGCGTTCGACCCGACAATATGACACGTTCCTTGATTCTGACATGGATTCGTTGTACAGGGGCTTGTCTCACAATGTGTACCGTTAAATCCAGGTTTACAGGAACAGGTGGCCTTTGATCCAGAATAGTGACACGTGCCTTGATTCTGACATGGATTCGTTGTACAGGGGCTTGTCTCACAATGTGTGCCGTTAAATCCAGGTTTACAGGAACAGGTTGCTTTCGACCCAACAATATGACACGTTCCTTGATTCTGACATGGATTCTTTGTACAGGGTGTTGTCTCACAGTTGGTGCCGTTGAATCCAGATTTACAGGAACAGGTGGCGTTCGACCCAACAATACGACACGTTCCTTGATTCTGACATGGATTCTTTGTACAGGGTGTTGTCTCACAATGTGTGCCTTTAAATCCAGGTTTACAGGAACAGGTGAGCTTTGATCCAGAAAAGTGACACGTTCCTTGATTCTGACATGGATTCGTTGTACAGGGGGTTGTCTCGCAAAGTGTGCCGTTAAATCCAGGTTTACAGTAACAGATTGCTTTCGACCTAACAATATGACACGTTCCTTGATTCTGACATGGATTCTTTGTACAGGGGGTTGTCTCACAATGTACGCCGTTAAATCCAGGTTTACAGGAACAGGTGACGTTCGACCTAACAATATGACACGTTCCTTGATTCTGACATGGATTCGTTGTACAGGGTGTCGTCTCACAATGTGTGCCGTTAAATCCAGGTTTACAGGAACAGGTTGCTTTCGACCCAACAATATGACACGTTCCTTGATTCTGACATGGATTCTTTGTACAGGGCGTTGTCTCACATTGTGTACCGTTAAATCCAGGTTTACAGGAACAGGTGGCTTTCGACCCAACAATATGACACGTTCCTTGATTCTGACATGGATTCTTTGTACAGGGGGTTGTCTCACAATGTGTACCGTTAAATCCAGGTTTACAGGAACAGGTGGCCTTTGATCCAGAAAAGTGACACGTTCCTTGATTCTGACATGGATTCTTTGTACAGGGGGTTGTCTCACAAAGAGTACCGTTAAATCCAAATTTACAGGAACAAGTGACCTTTGATACATAAAAGTGACACGTTCCTTGATTCTGACATGGATTCGTTGTACAGGGGGTTGTCTCACAGTGGGTGCCGTTAAATCCAGGTTTACAGGAACAGGTAGCCTTTGATCCAGAATATTGACACGTTCCTTGATTCTGACATGGATTCTTTGTGCAGGGGGTTGTCTCACAATGTGTGCCGTTCAATCCAGGTTTACAGGAACAGGTGACCTTTGATCCAGAAAAGTGACACGTTCCTTGATTTTGACATGTATTCTTTGTGCAGGGGGTTGTCTCACAATGTACGCCGTTAAATCCAGGTTTACAGGAACAGGTGACCTTTGATCCAGAAAAGTGACACGTTCCTTGATTCTGACATGGATTCTTTGTACAGGGGGTTGTCTCACAATGTGTGCCGTTAAATCCAGATTTACAGGAACACGTGACCTTTGACTCATTAAAATGACACGTTCCTTGATTCTGACATGTATTCTTTGTGCAAGGGGTTGTCTCACAAAGTGTGCCGTTAAATCCAGGTTGGCAGGAACAGGTGACCTTTGATCCAGAAAAGTGACACGTTCCTTGATTCTGACATGGATTCTTTGTACAGGGGGTTGTCTCACAATGTGTGCCGTTAAATCCAGGTTTACAGGAACAGGTGACCTTTGATCCAGAAAGGTTACACGTTCCTTGATTCTGACATGGATTCTTTGTACAGGGGGTTGTCTCACAATGTGTGCCGTTAAATCCAGGTTTACAGGAACAGGTGACCTTTGATCCAGAAAGGTTACACGTTCCTTGATTCTGACATGGATTCTTTGTACAGGGGGTTGTCTCACAATGTGTGCCGTTAAATCCAGGTTGGCAGGAACAAGTGACCTTTGATCCAATATAGTGACACGTTCCTTGATTTTGACATGTATTCTTTGTGCAGAGGGTTGTCTCACAATGTGTACCGTTAAATCCTGCAGGACAAGAACAGTTGAATGTTGACCCAACTACTCTACACTTTCCTCCGTTGTTGCAGGCACCTGAAATATACAGAGAAGGCATCTGGTTGCAGGTACATTTCTTACAACTCTCATGATAACACTATTCAAACGTATGATTAGATTCATAGACTTAAACAGAATATAACACTATAGACACTGCATATATTTCAAATGCAGTGGCTAAAATACCTATATGTAGTTTTAAGAGTATGCTTGTCAGGTAAATATTGAAAGCGACCAAAAATGCACTAACCAACGACGACAACTCTGGTTTGAAGACTGGATTTATGACGGTAGATACTAAATTATCAATCTGTAACACTTACTCTGTTCTCACTTCAGCTTCTGATTTATCTCTGAAAATATTCATTTTAATGTCACTCACACTTATAAGTGATCAATATTTTGAATTAGAAAGATTTGTATCAGGGTGTCTGATTTCAAAAATGATAACCATCACTATCCAATACGAAAGAAATTCAATGAAGGTTGACCGATGACTCGAAACATTGTATTACAAAAACGTGACATGTCGAGATACGCAAATGTTTTGTACAAAAACGCGTACATCAGTCATTGTAGTTTTAGGTTGTAACATTCCTTGCATTGTTTGATTTGCAGAATTTTCTTTATTATAACAAATATAAGTCACAACAATAAAGTTATGATATAATGTTAATGACATGTACGTGCTCTTTTTCATAACGCAATCACTAAGACGATAGCAAATCGTATACGTTAACATTAATTTACGTCATGTATAGCTCTAAAATCGATTTGTTGAACTAGGTCTTGTCCAATAGCGAGTGAGTTAAGATTTTACCTATCGTGGGATACACAAAAGTTGGGAGCACGTTTTTAAATGGTAAATATCTTCCAGCAAAAACCCCTAAACAAAGTTATAAATCGTAGATATAATATGAAACAAAACCTAGCTACGTTACATATATGCAGGATGTGACTTATAAACTACAATTAGCAGTAGGCTTTTGGCCACAAACAGCACTCAAACAAATCTATCCTTACTGGGGACCAAGACTTAGTGGTAAGGAGGTGAGGAGAATTGTGCTTTTAACGTCGCTTTCAAGCTTGTTGCACTTATATAGTGACGTGGATGCGCGCGTGCGTGTGGCTGCTTGTACCAGTCTGGATTCATACCCGTTTTACTGTGCTAACCACCTGAGATACCATGCCGCAGTTCAACATCTATACCCAACTAAGACACATTATGACTCTGGGCCGACCGATCCTTGTTTTCTCCCCTAAAGCCGAGCACAAGCCAGGGTAACAACAAATGCCATCGTTTAACGTCATTTAGTATGACGCCGTCGGGGATCAAACCACCGACATTCTGCTCCAGGCCGGCGCTCCATCCACTAGACCACGGACACAGTTGTGTTCCTCACAAGCGACTCGTAGATAGCTAACAAGATGATGGTTGTAAAATGTTAAGCGTTAAATTCCTTGGTGGTCTATGTCTATTGTCCCACACACATGTCACTCAAGTTTCAACAAAAACAGAGGCTAAATATAATAAATAGGGCATGGAAGAGGTCCCAGGAAATACTTCAATATTCTGAGCCAAGACATCTTTCAAATATTTCTTTCCAATACTTCAGAATCTAGAACTGTACTATGTTGAACCTTTAACGAATGTTATATTGAGCTACGAATTATATATTCAGCTGTCGGCATGTCTGCCTTTAGTTCAAATTTGACATTATAAAACGTGAAGGAGTAATGTACCTTTAATGCACCTTTTCGTCCCATCCGGGCCACACGTGTAGTGATCTGCTGGTCCTGGGTTACACAGGACAGAACACCTGGGTCCATAGTAGTGGGGGTCACAGGTCACAGTGATGGTCAGAGTTAACCTGCAATATGGGGTCACGCTGTATTAATATGATTTTAAGTATGTGGTAGAAGTAGCACACGAGTATACACGAAAACTCAAAACGTCAACGTCAACAATATTCAATCTCGATTATCTGCTGAAACAGATTCCTTAGGACGTAAAGGGCAAATTAGTGATGACAGTTAAATGAATGGCTAAAGCATTATTGTTAAATTCCGTGTTAGGTGGACCTCTACGTGTGAGGAAGGTATCGCGTAGGACATAGAGTCACGCAAATACAATATATGAACAATAAACAAAGAATTGACATACCTTGCATCTTTGTCAGTAAGAGTGATGTTGGCGTCATTGTGAGACGGCGGTAGAGGTGTCGTCATGTCATCTAGAGGAAGTGGTGTACTTGACAGCCAGTAATCATCACCCACTTTAGCCTCAAATACAGCGCCTGTCTGAACACACAAGGATTATGTTTAATTACATGGTTCACTGATACACACGTAGGATGTAGTTTCAACTCAGTCATGCTTGAAATTTGTTGTTATACATGGTTTATAGTAGTGTTTTAGTCCGCTTATATTCCTGTCATATCAGGGCAGCGGGACACTGGAAATGGCATCACACCGCAGGGATTCGAACCCAGGTAGTTCGAGTGACGAATCACGGCTTTAACCACTAGGCTTTCCAACCGCGGGTTTAACACGAGCCTGGCAATGCAACACAACTTCACATAATTTCGTGCTACCCGTGTGTATATAAAAGAAACGTTCAATACTATATTAAAGTTTTATTCATGTTCCACGTTAAGTAGATTAACACGATGAATAGTGTTGCTTGTCATCAGTGCTCAGATTGAGACATACTATATTTCTTTATAGTATATTACACATTAGTATATATGTCATTGAGCTTTGTTGTTAATCTACGGTAATGTCCCTGCTGGAGATGTAGACGTAATGAGTTTGATAGTTCAGTACTGAAGTCAACAGGCGACAATATCGCGAAATATACCTGTAACGAAGTAAACGGCTTGACGATGGGATTGGCTATTCCGCCATTAATGCTAGTCCCAAATTTGGCGTCCCGTGTGCCCTCGTATTGGTCGCTCATCTTTGTGCAGTCTCTGTAACAACATAATGGGACACCATCATACTCTTCTCACAGTATGCAGGAACATCATCATGTGATGAAAAGAAAAAAGTAATGTTGTACTGTTAAACAGTTGAATAAAACACAAGGTTATATGTGACTTATATTCAATTGCAATTAAAGTACATCATTACACATGTACACAATTGATTATAGACATTTGATACATAAAACTCCACAATTGTTTATCTTCAGATTGAATTTTGAAAATCATAAATCTACCTACCCTTTATTGGACAAACCCTTGAGACAAAAGGTGAACAGCAGATCACAGGGATGTGATGAAAAGAGTCCTCCCTTGCATCCTGTGTCTGATGACTTGTGGTATTCCAGTAGATGTACAGACACATTGCCGCTGCTGGTACAGGGCTGTCGGGGAGAGAGATGCACATGAGACAGCAACAGTCAAAATAAAACAGTTGCATGTTATAAGGAGACTCCAATCCTGAAATGAACCTAAATGACAAACGTCATCTCAATCACATACCTCAATCCAATAGCTATACAGGAAAACAACGATAAACGCCTTGTTCCAGTTCCTCATGGTGTTTTATCGCATGTAGATGTTGGCACAATGGCTCTCCTGTGTGGCTGTTGTTAAGAAGGTATGATTAAGGTCTGTCCACCTGTTCTATCTGATGGATGCTAGAAATACGCCTCCTTAGTGTTGCTCCCACCACACCTTAACGCCACAGGTACAGGCCGGTATATGAATCCTCCGACACACCTGGTATGTGTACTAGTTCAGAAGCTATCAGTATCTGTTGTCCTGATTGTGCCGCACACTATCAGTAGCACTGGTTGGATATATGTATGTTGTCTAATCATACAATAGTATATGTTACTGGCTTCACTGTAGTCAGATGTCTCAAATTCCTTTAGTACTTTAAATGTGCATATACATTTGTAGTCTTCAAAAACAACATCTTTAGGCAACACATATGTCTTTCAATACTCATAGCTGAAGATAAAATATAATTTCAAAGGTTTTACAGTTTTTTTAATTGTTTGTGTAGAAGTCTGTTTATTTGCAACTTAGGACCAAAACTATATTAAATAAAGGTACTAAATTACATTAATATGCGTTTCTGATGTTTGCGATTGTATATTTCCGGGTAGTATTGGTATGGCAATATGTACAATGTCTCGCAGGAAATACTAATTATTGGAAATGAATAACTAAAATGGTAGCAGTATTCAATGCAAATCACCAAATATAACTTTTCTTAACACCGATATTTTACTTGTATATTACCATGCTGGGGGCAAAGTGTTTCGAATACTTCCCTCTGTAATTAATAGTCCAATAATACTATGTAAATTCACCCTATTGCGGCAGGAATAGATCTATCCGTATCTTACCACCGGCGAGATATATAGAGGTTATCACGCTTGTGTGTTTGGGGATGGTAAATATCCTACATTAGGAATAAACATTGTATTTAGCGAGCCTTGGCAAGCTAAATACATAGTGTTTATTCCTAATACAGGATATTTACCATCCCCAAACACACAAGCGTGATAACCTCTTTATCATATAATGTCATTCTTTAATTCTGTGCTTCAAAATCGCTTTCCCTCTCTTACAAACATTACCGAAACATTGCGAGTTTTCCTGGAATGCGCGCATTAATATTTATTACGTCACAGGGTAAGTGATGTGTCAGTCGGACAGTGACAGTAGCCAATATAGTTCCAACTAAAATCTGTTTCTTATACAGTGGCGAAGCAACATATACGCAAAACAACAGTTGTTTTTAATTGCCTTTCGCGGCAATCCATCGGTCTGTCCGCTTGAGTAACTGCCCTTTGTCAAAGGGAAGCTACTCTAACCCTAGTCTATGAGACGTCGCGGCCACGGTCAGACGTTGTTGACAGTCGGTCTGTCCTGTCATTACAATAAGAAGTGTAGTCAGATGTACACACAGCGACAAAACCAAACAAGGTAACAATTCAAACATATTTCCGCCAAATCCAACTATTTTAATTTGTGGAGGAGGTTTCAAGCCGCAGAGGTCTACAAGCACAGATATGGCTACTGATCCCGCTTGGCTAGGCCTCGTGCCCTCGCCAAATTGATTCGAAATTTATATCTCCAAAGTTGACAAAACTTATAAAATGCCTTAGCTACGTCACAGTTAGACACAGATTTTCAGTATATTAGACTGTTCTTTTGATAATGATAGCAACTATCCCTGTAGTTTATCCAGATTCCCGATGGTTAATTCTGACTCGATCGCCAAATGACAAGGGCGACGCCATGTTTGTTTATAAACAGTGAAAGTAGTCCCTACTTGACCTTTGATATTTGCATCTCTATCCGCATATGACCCCAACGGATATCGTTTTAATCCGTTGGCTTTATCCTGCCGAGAAACCTACCCATTATATGATAAATCGTGATATGCCGCAGCGTGACGTCAAGTCGTATTGATCTTGTTTAAACTAACACCATTTAATGACGCAATAATCGCATGACGCTTGTGATGCCTCCGCCATACCCACGGTGTCTTTAGAACTTACAACAATCACTTTTGTGAGCCATATTCTTTCACGCCGCAGTCACACTTTATCACGTCGGGCAGTGCAACGCTTCAAGTCAGTGGATGATATTATGAACATACATACAGTCAAGGTAGGATAACCACACGGAAGCAATAAGGTGCTGGTGGCTTTCTAAGCATGACTGTAAAATGTACATGTTGTCAGTTATTGTTGGCTCTGTTCAGAATCCCCTTGACAATCACCAATGATATCAGTCTCTGAAACTATTCAACATAGTAGTAAACAGTTGATTTTTTTAACATTATTATATGGTTGAAAACACAATACAACACGGTTTGGTGCAATTGACTTTTCAAAACTGATGCGGTACCGTCATGACCTGGCGATGAATGTAACTTCAGATTGTTCATGTAAACATAAAATCATTTAATCTACATTTATATGTGAAGTAACTGCAATCACTGTGTGGGTTCGAATCCCGGACACAACCTCGAACTCAACCCCCAAAAGTACTAGAATGTGTACTTTACCCAGAAAGTGTTTCCTAAATATTACATATATGACACGGTATTTCGGCTTCAAGTCCACGTTTGAATATTTATGATTGTAACAGAAAAAAACACAGCAACGACTAAATGCATTTGTCTTTTTGAGACGATCCTTTAGTCAATATTTATAATGATGTACAAATGTACACTATTTTCACTTTCATTCACTGTCATTCTTCAATTGTAAAGTACTCACTGTAAGGTTGATCATTTTATGACTGCTTCAATCCTATATTTTTATGGATGTTCTGTATTGTATTATATTTTATATGGATGAGGTGTCACATGGGCTTGTGTGGCTGGATATTACTTAAAACATAATTGTATTTTCATAATGTGCCACGTGAAATCTAAATTGCAGCGTTTGAGACAATAATAATATACATTTCGTCTTCTCTTCCTGTAAATTGTACAGTTCCTTTATGTGATAATTATGTTTCACTGTATATGGGGAGAAGGCGGCCTTAAGTGGTGCCCTCGTGCCAAATACGATATAATATGGACGATATAATATGTTGACACTATGTATAGATTATGTATCAATACATTCTGCAATATAACGACCTGAAAAGAATGGAGAATTTTATAATGGAAGAACATTTAAATTGGCACACTGTGGTGTTATAAATTTCATGGCCGCTGTTACACTTATTGATTATCGTGAGTCAGTAAAAAGCATCATTGCTAATTATGAAGCTGCATAACCACAACTAGAAATATGAGTATTACATATATTTCAAGGGGGGGGGGGGGGGGGGGGGGGGGGCATTTACCTGTTATTTTACAAAGTAACATTTCTCTCCCACTTTTAGATGCGATCGTTCGGCCACTGCGTTTATTTGCGTCGTCTAGGTACATCTATGGGAAACAACTTACTTGACACTTCCTTCTAAAACATAACGACGTCCAATATATGACGTCACAAAGTTGCGAGCGCATATTCGAATCACCAGAAATGGCGTCATGATAGACTTTATCCTGAAATAAACCACGCTTCGTTTATCATTGTTCATTGCGATTTATCGTGTAGCTATCTTACATCAGGTGTTATTCAATGGCCACATGGGTCTCTTTGGTCACACTGATTTGCTTTTGTATGATAGTTTGCAATCCACATACAATGATGCACTCAGTTTAAGGCAGAAGTACCCAATGCATCAGTATCGTTATACACGCTGTTTTGTTTGTTAAGAGTTGGCGAGTTGCCATTGATGGTAAATTTAGGTAGACGATGCGGTATAGAGTACTGTAATAGGCAGTGCAGATTTTGTAATTTACAGGAAATTGAAGATGAGTTTCATTTTATGCTTGTCTGCCCATGTTACAGATATTTAAGAAATAAGTATTTACCTATTTATTACACTTCCAATCCTACTTTATTTAAATATAAGACACTATTATCTTGTAACCGCACTAGTATTGTAACTAATTGTGTTAAGTATATACTGGAAGCACTTGCAATCCGAAATACTGTCACTTAATACCCTCTGTCATCTGCCTCATACTGTATTTTTCAATGAGTATTTGTACGTGGGCCTATGGCCTTTATACTGAAATAAAGAATTGTTGACTATAACACTGCAGACAGTTTAAAATGTGTGCGGTACAAAGTCTCATATCTGATAGAAGGGAACCAACTAGAAACCTCGTGGCGGAGTGCAAACACTTGTAATCATTTCAATGACGGCTGTAACTGGTACAGTGCTGATAAATGAGGTAAATACTGATGTTATCTAACATGCACTATAGTTAGTTAATGGTGACAATCAATTCGACATGACTGATTTGAATGATGGTTGAGTGTTTTGATGTGCAGTTCATTCAAGATAGATCCAAATTAAAATTAGAAGATTAAATAAAGGAATCTAATTCATTTCAGTAAAACTGTCTACAATCGAGTCTCATTTTTCAGGCAGTATGTATACTGACCGAAACGTATCAGTGAATATACATATGACTAATGATAGACATTGACAGTGCTACTGATAGTGAGTGGTACAATCAGGACAACAGATACTGACAGCTTCTGAACTGGTACACGTGTGTCGTAGGATTCATATTCCCGTCTGCACCTGTGGTGTTAAGGTTTTGTGGGAAAAACACTAAGAAGGCTTATTTCTAGCATCCATCAGATAGAACAGTTGGACAGTCCGACATAATACCTTCTTAACAACAGCCACACGGGAGAGCCAGTGTGCCAACATCTACATGCGATAAAACATTATGTGGAACTGGAACAACGCGTGTATCGTTGTTTTCCTGTATAGCTATTGGATTGAGGTATGTGATTGAGATGGCGTTTGTCATTTAGGTTCATTTCAGGATTGGAGTCTCCTTATAACATTCAATGCTTTTATTTTGACTGTTGCTGTCTCATGTGCATCTCTCTCCCCGACAGCCCTGTACCAGCAGCGGCAATGTGTCTGTACATCTACTGGAATACCACAAGTCATCAGACACAGGATGCAAGGGAGGACTCTTTTCATCTCATCCCTGTGATCCACTGTTCACCTTTTGTCTCAAGGGTTTGTCCAATAAAGTGTAGGTAGATTTATGATTTTTGAAATTCAATCTTAAGATAAACAGTTGTGAGGTTTTATATATCAAATGTCTATAATCAATGGTGTACATGTATAATGATGTACTTTATTTGCAATTGAAATATAAGTCAAATATAACCTTGTGTTTTATTCAACTGTTTAACAGAAAACATTACAACTTTCTTTTCTTCACATGATGATGTTCCTGCATACTGTGAGGAGAGTATGATGGTGTCCCACTATGTTGTTATAGATACTGCACAAAGATGAGCGACAAATACGAGGGCACACGGGACGTCAAATTTGGGACTAGCATTAATGGCGGAATAGCCAATCCCATCGACAAGCCGTTTACTTCGTTACAGGTACATTTAGCGATATTGTCGTCTATTGACTTCAGTACCGAAACTATCAAAGTCATAACGTCTACATCCCCAGCAGGGACATTACCGTAGTTTAACAACAAAACGCATATATACTAACGTGTAATATACTATAAAGAAATATAGTATGTCAGAATCTGAACACTAATGACAAGCAACAATATTCATCGTGTAAATCTACTTAACATGGATCACGAATATAACTTTAATATAGTATTGACCGTTTCTTTTATATACACACGGTAGCACGCAGTTATGTGAAGTTGTGTTGCACTGCCAGGCTGGTATTAAACCCACGGTGGGATTTGCCCAGTGGTTAAAGCCGTGGTTCGTCACTCGTACGACCAAGGTTCGATTCCCTGCGGTGTGATGCCATTTCCAGTGTCCCGCTGCCGTAATATGACAATGATATAAGCGGACTAAAATCCTACTATAAACCATATATAACGAAAATAGCATGACTTAGTTGAAAATACATCCTACGTGTGTATCAGTGAACCATGTAATCAAACATAATCCTTGTGTGTTCAGACAGGCGCTGTGTTTGAGGCAAAAGTTGGTGATGATTACTGGCTGTCAAACACACCACTTCCTCTAGATGACATGACGACATCTCTACCGCCGTCTCACAATGGCACAACCACCACTCTCACTGACAAAGATGCAAGGTGCGTCACTGCTTTGTTTATTGTTCACACGTACAGGTCCACCTAACACGGAATTAAACAATAATGCTTTAGCCATTCATATAGTTGTCATCATTAATTTGCTCTTTACGTCCTAAGGAATCTGTTTCAGCAGATAATCGAGACTGAATATTGTCTGGCGTTGACGTTTTGAGTTTTTGTGTATACTCGTGTGCTACTTCTACCATATACTTAAAATCATATTAATACGGCAAGACCCCATATCGCAGGTTAACTCTGACCATCACTGTGACCTGTGACCCCCACTACTACGGACCCAGGTGTTCTGTCCTGTGTGACCCAGGACCAGCTGATCACTACACGTGTGACCCGGATGGGACGAAGAGGTGCGTTAAAGGTACATTATTCCTTCACGTTTTTCAATGTCACATTTGAACTAAAGGCAGACATGCCGACGACTACAGACATACAAAATCGGTGTTCAATATGGCATTTGCGTTGAGGTTCAACATACTACAGTTCATGTCCCTGAAGTATTGGAAAGATAAAGTTGAGTAATTATCACGTCTTGAACACTTGGCTTAAAATATTGAAGCATTTCCTGGGATCTCTTTCATGTAGTTTGAAACGCCTATTTAGACATGCCGACAGATATACGAACTCGAAGCTCAATGTAACATTTAAGCTAAGGTCCAACATAGCACAGTTCAAGACTATAAAGTATTGGCTAGAAATATTTGAAAAATGTCTTAACTCAGAATATTGAAGTATTTCCTGGGACCTCTTTGTACTTTGAATCGTTTATTTAGCCTCCTTTTTTGTTGAAACCTGAGTGACATTTGTTTGGGACAATAGACATAGACCAACAAGGAATTTAATGTTAAACATTTTTCTATCAGTATCTTGTTAACCATCCATGAATCGCCCTAAACACAACCGTCTCCATGGTCTAGTGGATGGAGCGTCAGAAGCATAATGAGAATGTCGGTGGTTTGATCCTCGACAGCGTCATACTGAAAGACGTCATACGACGACTCTTATTGTTACCCTGGCTTGCGCTCGGCATTAGGGGAGAAAACAAGGATTGGTCAGCTCAGAGTCATAATGTGTCTTAGTTGGGTATAGATGCTGAACTGCGGCATGGTATCTCAGTTGGTTAGCACAATAAAACGGGTATGAATCCGGACTCAGTCATCCATGCACACACGCGCATCCACGTCACTATATACGTGCAATACCCTTGGAAGCGGCGTTACAACCACAATTCTCCTCACCTCCTTTCCACTAAGTCTTGGTACCCAGTAAGGATAGATTGGTTTGAGTGCTCGTTGTGGCTAAAAGCCTACTGCTAATTGTAGTTTATAAGTCTCACCCTGTATATTATTTAACTTAACTTGTTTTGTTTTTCATTTTATATCTATGATTAATAACTTAGTTTAGGGTGTTAATTCGCCATATTACTGAGAACGACGCCAACATATGCTTATCTCGTCGCAATTTATTCGTACTCCAAAAACACATACTTCCGGTACGCCGGAAGTAATACAAAAAACAAGAATGACGGTATGTGGAGCCTTAACACTCCTATAAAATTCTCTTCTTTTTTTATGATTAAAGATCTGTTTTTAAAATTAAAAATATCTAAAAGCAAAAACATATTTTTGTTATTTTTGGTAAAAGTCAATCAAAGATAAAAACACTGTCAGAATAAATGATTGTCATGCTTCAACACAGAGTCACTGAAAACCTGAAAGTTTTCCTGTCAGAACTGTCATGCATCATCACCATGATTACAGAGTCACTGATGACAAAACAGTCATTAGTTGGTGTTTGTTTGCCAACTGATATTCACCTGGACACCAACACACTTTCAGCACTTCTCCATTGTCAAGCAACTGTCTTATGGCAGCTAGATCAATCCGCAGTCTTTTATCATCCACCATTTTTGTTGAATGTATGGCATGGACAACACTGCGGTTGTCCACATATGCCTCCATGTGCACCTAAATCAGGCCCAGTTCAATTTTCCAACTATCCCCCTAAACTTTGTGCTTTCGTTTGGCGTGAGTGACTCCCAACGTGTAGTTCTTCAATAAATGCAGACTGGTCCATGAACAAACCACTCTCATCCTGCATAATGTCAAACCCGATATACTGGAAACTCTTTTCCTCCAGCTTTCCCGCAAGAAATCTGTGATGCAATTGCTTCATCACAGTTGACTCAAAGTCTGGTTCACCACAATGCAAAAATTCGTCCACATGACTCACCAGCATACCACGCAACACAGAATCATTCTTGTAACAGTAGAAAGCTGGATCTAGAGGTGATTTTTCACACTTTAATTTGGCAAGTTCTCCAACTACACTGCGATAAAACTGACGAGCAGCATCATTTAGTCCATACAAACAATCTTTCAATTTCCAGATATATCCTTGCTTGACATTTGCTTCTTATGGTGGATCCAAGAACACATTTCTCTCCAATTCTTTTCCTTGCAGAAAAGCTGATCTGATATCTGTGGTTTTGACATTCCATTGCTTACAAGCTGCAATAGCAAGGAATAATCTGAGGACTCTGTTGCTGACCGTTGGAGAATCCTTCCGCAGTGAAACATCCTCCTAAAGTCCTCTTCCAACTAATATAGCCTTCACTTCTTGTCCCTTCTCTGTGTCCATCAATCTTGTTGAAATTCTATGTTGTCCTTGATCTAGAACTATTTCATAAGTATCAAAAGATTCTAACTTCTTCAATTCTTCAAGCTTTGCACTTACACATGATTACTCGTTGTGTTTTGACTTTGGAACCATCACGACATTGACTTCTGCTACAGTTTCATCTACAGTGTCAATTTTCCACTCTGCCACGTCCAGGTTTACACTAACCACTTCACCCGAATCTTGTCTCACATTGAACCAATTTGTGTACTTGCCACCTTTCTTTCCTGCTCTTGATATCACCTCAGCTAATACCCAATTTCCATCTGGTGACTTGGGTGATATTCTGTCATTTTGTTTCAATGATATGTCTTTTGAAACTTGTCTTCCGTCAGTGACTTCTTGCATGCTGCTCTCTTCTGTGTCTCTATTGTTGAGATAAAAAATCTCATTCCCCATCTCCTCTTCACTTGCACCACTTTGTATGGTTTCAACACAATCATCTTCTTTGTGACTTCTTTCAACATGTTCAAATTCATGACCTACTTTCTTCAGTCTATTTGGAGACACACGAAAACTCCACCATGACGAACAAAGATCACCTTTCCATCCTGGAACACAACTTTTACCAGGTCCCAGTCATCGCTGCTGTCCTTGTCTTGTCTTGTAATAGACATGATCACCATTTTCAAATCTTTCTTCTGATGACCTTACTTTGTTTCTCAAAGCACGACGAATTCTTTCACAAGATTCTGACTCTATGTAAGCCTTTCTTGACTCATTCAAAGCATTTAAGTGTTGAGCAAATGTCTCTGAAGAAGTAACTCCTTCCAGAGCTGGGAGACGATCTGTCATGATATTTGGAAGCTTGGGATTTTGTCGAAACACAAGCTGGTATGAACTGAAGCCATGCCACATTTGGAGTGCATTACGCGCCATAAAAAGTGGTGTATCACGACACTGTTCTTCGAGGTTAACTAGCACATGATCAGTCACTGAATGTATGCGCCCACACAAACCGTTTTGAAAAGGACCTTCGCAGCTGTTATCACTTGTACATCCAATATGCTTGCTACCTCTCGCATTTCTTCAGCTGAGAATTCACCACCGTTATCAGTCAGAATTGATTGCATGACAACAAAACCCACTCCTATCCAGCATGTCATAATCTTTTCTATCACTGCCGAAGGAGTCTTTCTTTTAATGAACACTGAAATGGTGAAACGGGACCACATGTCCACCATATGCAAAATCCAACAGTCCCTAAACTTCTTAAGATCCATTGCTACCTTCTCATTGTAATGTGTAGCCATGGGTAAGGAAACTACTGGAAGGGGTTTTGGAATGAACTTTGCAAATGTCACAATTTTCACAGATTTGATGTAAAATATCTCCATACTCTTCTTTCCATACATTTGCATCTCTCAACAAGGCAATCAGACGCTTCTCTGATGGATGTGCAAATTGACGATGAAGTTTCTGTAAGATCTTCTTTCTATCTGACGTTGAAGCATAATGCAGTGAAACAATATTGACACTTTCACAATCTGCTGACAAACTCTCAATGATTGACAAACTGTCATGTCCTGAAGAAGTCATGGCAAAAGTTTACCATCTGGACCAGGAGGGTTCATGTTTTTACCCCCTCGATATGAAGATCCCACTCTGCCTTGAAATCTTCCTCTATTGGAGTAACTTGTGTTGGAAATCTACTTTGTCGCCTTCCACGAAATGTTGCTTGACTTTTTCAAACTTGCTCCACCAGTCACATCATTTCCAAAAATTTCTTCAAAGATGTTTGTGATTGTTCATACAAGTGTTCTTTATTTGAATAGTCCATCCCAGTCAACACCAACATCTTCTCATCTCTTGAGATATTCGCACGTCTCAACAGCTTAAAAGCCAAAATCTCGGGAGGCAATGTCATATTTTGCTTCTTAATCTTGTTGTACATCAAATCAAACTTTGTTATATAATCATTAATGCACTGTCCTTTCTCTCTACAAAAATCTTCAAACTTTACCAAACTATCTGTCAAATCATCTTTCAAAGATGTTCATCAAGAAACTTGATCAAAATGTCGAGACCATTTTCTTTTGATAAAGCGGCAATGTTCATGTGGTCAAACGCATTTTCACGAATACATAAGGGATGGTCATAAGGAAGCGACAACGCTACAGCTACGCCTTGTTCAGTCTTTTTTGCAACAGTTACCTGTCTCCAAGCCAGTAGTTCTTGTTTGTATCGTTCATAGTTTTCAGCTTTAACCAAATCCGGGGGATTCAATCTCATGGTGTCGATGTTTTCGCACGTGGACCGTTTTCAAACTTGAAAGTCAATAAAGTGTCCTAAAACTTCACACAGTTCAGAGTCAAATACGCTTTTCACCGTCACAGACGATAACAACAACCTTCGGTATATGGACACGCTCTGCTACCATTTGTTAATTCGACATATTACTGAGAACGACGCCAACACATGCTCATCTCGTCGCCATTTATTCGTACTCCCAAAAAACATTCTTCCAGCATGCCGGAAGTTATACAAAAAACAGAATGACGGAATGTGGAGCCTTAACACTCCTATAAAATTCTCTTCTTTTCTTATGATTAAAGATCTGTTTTAGAAAATAAAAATATCTAAAAGCAAAAACTTATTTTTGTTATTTTTGGTAAAAGTCAATCAAACGTGTTTCCCATGAGAGGTAAAATCTTAACTCACTCACTATTGGACTAGACCTAGTTCAACAAATCGATCTCAGAGCTATGCATGACGTAAATCAATGTTAAAGTGTAGGATTTGCTATCGTCTTAGTGATTGTTTTGTGAAAGTCTTAGTTATTGTTTTGTGAACGTCTTAATGATTGTTTTGTGAAACAGAACACGTACATGTCATTAACATTATATTATGACTTTATTGTCCTCGGCCAACTGAAAGCGTTAGCCATATTTGTTATAATAAGGAAAATTCTGCAAAATCAAACAATGCAAGGAATGTTGATTAATCTAAAACTACAATGACTGATGTACGCGTTTTTGTACAAACATTTGCGTATCTCGACATTTCACGTTTTTGTAATACAATGTTTCGAGTCATCGGTCAACCATTTATTTCGTTTTGGATAGTGATGGTTATCATTTTTGAAATCAGACACCCTGATACAAATCTTTCTGAATCAAAATATTGATCACTAATAAGTGTTAGTGACATTAGAATGAATATTTTCAGAGATAAATCAGAAGCTGAAGTCACAACAGAGTTAGTGTTTCAGATTGGTAATTAAGTATCTGCCATCATTAATCCGGTCTCCAAACCAGAGTTGTCATCGTTGGCTAGTGCATTTTCGGTCGCTTTCAATAATTACCTCCCAACCATACCTTTAAGGCCAGATATATGTATTTTTAGCCACTACATTTGAAATATATGCAAAGTCTATGAATCCAATCATACGTTTGAATAGTGTTATCATGTAAGTTTTCAAATATGTACTCGCAACCTGATGCCTTCACTGTATATTTCAGGTTATAGCGGAATTCGAAGTTCCTGCCAACAAACACCTTGTCACAATGTTGCCTGCCTCAATGGAGGAAAGTGTAGAGTAGTTGGGTCCACATTCCACTGTTCTTGTCCTACAGGATTTAACGGCACGCATTGTGAGACAACCCTGTGCACAAAGAACACATGTCAAAATCAAGGAACGTGTCACTATTCTGGATCAAAGGTCACCTGTTCCTGCAAACCTGGATTTAACGGCGTACATTGTGAGACAACCCCCTGCACAAGGAATCCGTGTCAGAATCAAGGAACGTGTCACTTTTCTGGATCAAAGGTCACGTGTTCCTGTAAATCTGGATTTAACGGTACTCTTTGTGAGACAACACCCTGCACAAGGAATCCATGTCAGAATCAAGGAACGTGTCGCTTTTCTCGATCAAAGGTCACGTGTTCCTGCAAACCTGGATTTAACGGTACACATTGTGAGACAACCCCCTGTACAAAGAATCCATGTCAGAATCAGGGAACGTGTCACTTTTCTGGATCAAAAGCCAACTGTTCCTGTAAACCTGGATTTAACGGTACACATTGTGAGACAACCCCCTGTACAAAGAATCCATGTCAGAATCAGGGAACGTGTCACTTTTCTGGATCAAAAGCCACCTGTTCCTGTAAACCTGGATTTAACGGTACACATTGTGAGACAACCCCCTGTACAAAGAATCCATGTCAGAATCAAGGAACGTGTCACTTTTCTGGATCAAAAGCCACCTGTTCCTGTAAACCTGGATTTAACGGCGTACATTGTGAGACAACCCCCTGTACAAGGAATCCATGTCAGAATCAAGGAACGTGTCACTTTTCTGGATCAAAGGTCACGTGTTCCTGTAAATCTGGATTTAACGGTACTCTTTGTGAGACAACACCCTGCACAAGGAATCCATGTCAGAATCAAGGAACGTGTCACTTTTCTGGATCAAAGGTCACCTGTTCCTGTAAACCTGGATTTAACGGTACTCTGTGTGAGACAACCCCCTGTACAAAGAATCCATGTCAGAATCAAGGAACGTGTCACTTTTCTGGATCAAAGGTCACGTGTTCCTGTAAATCTGGACTTAACGGTACTCTTTGTGAGACAACCCCCTGCACAAGGAATCCATGTCAGAATCAAGGAACGTGTCACTTTTCTGGATCAAAGGTCACCTGTTCCTGTAAACCTGGATTTAACGGTACTCTGTGTGAGACAACCCCCTGCACAAGGAATCCATGTCAGAATCAAGGAACGTGTCACTTTTCTGGATCAAAGGTCACGTGTTCCTGTAAACCTGGATTTAACGGTACACATTGTGAGACAACCCCCTGTACAAAGAATCCATGTCAGAATCAGGGAACGTGTCACTTTTCTGGATCAAAAGCCACCTGTTCCTGTAAACCTGGATTTAACGGTACACATTGTGAGACAACCCCCTGTACAAGGAATCCATGTCAGAATCAGGGAACGTGTCATATTGTTAGGTCGAAGGCCACCTGTTCCTGTAAACCTGGATTTAACGGTACTCTTTGTGAGACAACCCCCTGTACAAAGAATCCATGTCAGAATCAAGGAACGTGTCACTTTTCTGGATCAAAGGCCACCTGTTCCTGTAAACCTGGATTTAACGGCGTACATTGTGAGACAACCCCCTGTACAACGAATCCATGTCAGAATCAAGGAACGTGTCATATTGTTAGGTCGAAGGCCACCTGTTCCTGTAAACCTGGATTTAACGGCGTACATTGTGAGACAACCCCCTGCACAAAGACTCCATGTCAGAATCAAGGCACGTGTCATTTTGTCGGGTCGAAAACCACCTGCTCCTGTCCATCTGGATTTAACGGCATCCACTGTGAGATAACTCCCTGTACAAAGAATCCATGTCAGAATCAAGGAACGTGTCACTTTTCTGGATCAAAGGCCACCTGTTCCTGTAAATCTGGATTTAACGGCACCCACTGTGAGAAAACTCCATGTACAAAGAATCCATGTCAAAATCAAGGAAAATGTCACTATTCCGGATCAAAGGTCACCTGTTCCTGTAAATCTGGATTTAACGGTACACATTGTGAGACAACCCCCTGTACAAAGAATCCATGTCAGAATCAAGGAACGTGTCACTTTTCTGGATCAAAAGCCACCTGTTCCTGTAAACCTGGATTTAACGGCGTACATTGTGAGACAACCCCCTGTACAAGGAATCCATGTCAGAATCAAGGAACGTGTCACTTTTCTGGATCAAAGGTCACCTGTTCCTGTAAATCTGGATTTAACGGTACTCTTTGTGAGACAACACCCTGCACAAGGAATCCATGTCAGAATCAAGGAACGTGTCACTTTTCTGGATCACAGGTCACCTGTTCCTGTAAACCTGAATTTAACGGTACACATTGTGAGACAACCCTCTGTACAAGGAATCCATGTCAGAATCAGGGAACGTGTCACTTTTCTGGATCAAAGGTCACCTGTTCCTGTAAACCTGGATTTAACGGTACTCTGTGTGAGACAACCCCCTGTACAACGAATCCATGTCAGAATCAAGGAACGTGTCACTTTTCTGGATCAAAGGCCACCTGTTCCTGTAAACCTGGATTTAACGGCGTACATTGTGAGACAACCCCCTGTACAAAGAATACATGTCTGAATCAAGGAACGTGTCATATTGTTAGGTCGAAGGCCACCTGTTCCTGTAAACCTGGATTTAACGGCGTACATTGTGAGACATTCCCCTGCACAAAGAATCCATGTCAGAATCAAGGCACGTGTCATTTTGTCGGGTCGAAAACCACCTGCTCCTGTCCATCTGGATCTAACGGCACCCACTGTGAGATAACTCCCTGTACAAAGAATCCATGTCAGAATCAAGGAACGTGTCACTATTCCGGATCAAAGGTCACCTGTTCCTGTAAATCTGGATTTAACGGTACACATTGTGAGTGAGTGAGTGAGTGAGTGAGTGAGTGAGTATTTAACGTCACATCGGAAATATTTCAGCCATATCGAGACGATAGTTATACATTAATAACACATATATTAAGACTGAATAAAAAGCTGTCAACGATGGACAGTACAATATCTAAAATATCGCAGATACGATTTAAAACAAGTTGAGAATATTCAAAAGCAGAAAGGATTTGTTAAAAACAAAATATAAAAATGGGCTATAGATCGCCAGTCACTGAAGGGTGATTATCATACTAGGGACCATGAGGACTTACAGTACCTTTGCTTCCTGCATGGGCCCCGGCCGAATTTATATTACCCTTCAGTCACTGCGATAGTTTACCAGTTAAACGTAATATTAAAATGATGAAAATACTACATTTAGTCTGGTATGCATAAAAATACTTCGAATGCTGTGGAACTTACATACCCTCTTAGGGGGACAATATTTTTACGCTACTCCAACCCCCCTCGAGGGTACAGCCATTAGCAAATTAGAACTACCAATATAAAAAATAACACATTGTGTACATTAAAATTTATGAATTAATTCTATTTCATTTAAAAAGCACAATATTAAATGAGAATTTACATAATGAAAAGGCCCTTGACTGTTTTTACACTGACATATTTATCCCTTGTGATCGAAAAATCAACACTCAAGCAGGACATGCTTGACCGTGATTCTTACATCACAAGGGACACAAAACGAAGGATTCTCACCTTTCAAAAAATATTCATGGGTATATCTGCTGTGGCCAATACGACATCGTCGCATAATGACCTCTTCCAATCTGGACTGACAGCCCAAGTAGTTGCAAGCGATATTTGGTTTAATTTCATGTAATTTATTGATACCTACTTGGGTGTCCCACATCTTTTGTATCAGATCTCGGATGTAACATCTGATAGCTGGTTTATAACCACCGTATGGGATAAGAAGTGATGTCACAGATTTGTTTACTGATGCTTTTGCAGCAGCATCGGCCGTTGTGTTACCAGTGATACCAACATGGCTGTGTAACCAAAAGAAGATGATGTTATATTGGCCAGTGGCAAGATCATTAAATAATTCAAGAATTTGGATAAAAAGTTAATGATTATATGACATATTTTGAATCGCCTGAAGGCATGAAAGAGAATCTGAAAAAATAATGAATTGTTTATGTTTAGATTGGTTATTGATATAGTTTAGTGCTGTTAAAATTGCATTTGTTTCTGCTGTGAATATGGAACTGTTATCTGGCAATCGTGAAGATATTGTTCTGGACCCGATAAAACTGGCACTAGCTACTGCGCCAACATTCTTGGATCCATCTGTAAATATAGATTTATAAGTGTTTCTTAATTAATGTGTAAATTAATTGGTTAGTATTTGATTTCTTTAGTTTTGTTAATGTAACGTCTCCCTCTGGCTTTACCATTTGCCAAGGAGGAGATGAAAAAAAGTTGAGTAGGTGCTATATCTTGGGGTTTTATCTTAGAAGCAGAAATGGCAGATTTTATTCCGAGTCCGAGTGGTGGAATAAGGGTTGATTTCTGATTGTAATGGTCTTCGTGGACTGATTAGAATATAATTTAGTGATGTATTGTAAAGATAATTTTAGACGGCGTTGTTTAAGAGAAGGCTCATCTGCCTCAACATACAGACGTACACATTGTGAGATAACCCCCCTGTACAACGAACTCATGTCAGAATCAAGGAACGTGCCACCTTACTGGGTCGGAAGCCACATTTTCCTGTAAATCTGGATTTAACGGCACACAGTGTAAGACTATCCCCTGTTAAATATCCCATGTCAGGATCAAGGAACGTGTCATTATACGGGATCATAGATCACGTGTTCCCGTAAATCGGGAATTAACTTTGTAAGTCAACTCCCTGTACAAAGAAAACATGACAGAATCAAGGAACACATTGCTGGGTCAAAGGTCACCTGTTCCTGTCCGTCTGGATTTAACGGTACGCATCGTGCACATGGTTGTGTTATATGTCCCCTCCTCAAAACTTTAGATTATTAGTAATAATTTCACTAGACAACTAGGTTCAAATCGTTCAACGTTCTTATACCAATTGTTTTCGCATTGCGTCCTCGGTGGACGCTATTTATATCATTATTATTGTATCTTCCTTTAGGACAGTGACAAACTAACGCTTGTGTTCTTCAGGATTGCTCTGTGATACGCCGTCAAACACAAAGAAGGTCACTGCATCGTCGACTCTTGAAACAGTAGGGACTCCCTCAAACTCTCCTCCAACAGGTATCAACTAAAGCATCTATATTTGTTTGTTGTTTAACGCCGCACTCAGCAATATTCCAGCTATATGAAGGTGAAAAAGACAGCTAAAAAGCTTGAACCCTCCATAATATCTACAATCGTATCCTGCAATACCGGTAAATTACAAGCTGTGTCGCGCCACTTTTAGCACTTATAGAGGATATTATCTTTCGGGAAATACTTCTCACTTCTAATCAGAAAACAGTATTGTTTTTTATGCCAACGCTGTGTTATTTGAATGTGCATGTGTTTTCAATAGGTATGCTCCATGATGTAATGTCCATCGATAGCATAATGTATAGAAATTGTCATACTCACCTTAATTAACTCCTTGGACAAGACCCGTGAAGGTCCAGGTTAGAATTGATCTTCTGCAACACACACTTGATGTAAGGGGTGACAAACATGATCGGTGTTCAGCTTCGCTGACTTGGATGATGCACGACCTCCCTATCTCATTTGTGTAGATCGATAATCATATAGCAATCACCGGATTGTCTGGTACAGACTCGATTATTTACAGACCACCGTCATATTTGCATTTAGTACTAACTACTAAGTGGCTTTATTGCGCGTATCCAAACCATGGACTAATTACTGCTGTTACTCAATAACCCTTGTATCTGAGTCAACCTCGGTCAGCACTCGTTGTATCGAATTTGTTTTGCTCCACTCTTGAAGTTCACCCCAGGGACATTTACCACTTGTTAAATACCGCCTTCATCAACTCGACTTTCCGTTCCGTGATGCCTCCCAAGAGAAGTGCAGCCATCAACCACAAACTCGTGAGGGGAGCCAAACAAGGACAGCCGGGAGGCAAACCCAGAGAGTACCTATAGTGCAGGGGGCCACAGCCGATGGTGAGTTGTCGAATAACGGGAGTATCGAAATGACATGTCCACGATTCCCCTCAACAACGCAATTAACGTGCAATCTGCACAGCTTATAAATACCACGCAGACAACTAATTCGTGGAGCCAAGTAAACCAACAACTAGAAAAAACACTACAATTGCTTGAACATTCAGCGCCCGGCCCGGTCAGCGCACACTAACAGGTGAGGCTTTGTTTCGGTTCACCCGCCATTTCGCATAGGGAGAATCCCCGAAGCTCATAACGAGGCTACCAGTGACGTGACTTGGTCAGCCAATCAGAACACAATATACGTGGACTGCCTATTCTTCCGTGTGGATGGAATAGACACACGTCAAACAACCAGCAAGGGAAAAAATCTGGCGTGGCGATTTCGTCGCTAAACGCACCATACCACCAAAAACCGGGGAAAGCCACGAGGGTGGTACGAAAACCAAGGCGCATGATTCCTCAGGTAAGATCATTTTTAAAACCACAAAGCAGCAACCCAATTGCCTGTCCTTGGCAAGCTGGACTTTAGCTTTACACATTTTCTCGGACGTGGTACAATGACACAGGGGGACATTGCCTTGTAAGGTATGCTGGGACTTTAATAAGTCTCCATGGGGAAAGTTTCCATACGCAATTTATGTTTCGTTGGCCACCCTAAACAGCTATCAATCCATCTCCCACACTCAAAGAGTGATGAGTTCAAAACGGGGTCAACTGTTACCACATCATCTATACCAGGTCATCCGCTATGTCCCGTAGTCGCCATCAAGCACTATCTTGAGGTGCGTCCCTCTGGCCCCCAACATACATTTGACATTCGTTACTAGGTACCGATTCCAGGCACTCCTTGAAAAGGCCTTGCACACAGCAACATAAATACTGCGTGCTATTCTTCTCACTCCTTCTGCATAGGGGCGGTCACAACAGCAACCATGAACGGGGTGCCGAAACACCTAATACAACACTATTGCAGGTGGAAGTCAGATTGTTACAAGGCCTACATACGCTTACCAATGAATTTTATCCTACACAACTAATTTAAATATTCTATGCATGGTATTTACTACACTTCTTATCGTTTACAGTTTGGATGATGGGCTCCAGCTACATGGCCAGGGCACGGCAGTACTTCCTTCTGAAGGGCACCAGTCCAAACCAACTGAGGATGCTTTGGCTGGCGGGAGGTGGAAAGAGGTGGACAGAGCTTGACACCATCTAGGATGCACAGGTCAAGGCGACAAGGTGCATCCGTAAAGCCCTCGTCATTGGCTCCAATGACCTGTGCACGGTCAAGGGCAACCAACTCTACCTTGACATGGTGGCCTCAATCCTTCGGATACGAACTCCCTGACACCAGGATCATCATATCCTCAATGCTGCCTAGGCGCTACTGGCATGATGCCAGAGATCCAATAAATATCGAGGAGATGCGGAAGAACATTAACCTCGAGCTCGGCGGAACAATAGTGCCACATGCCCAGATTAATACTCTACCTGTTAGGGCTACCTGTTTTTCAGCGGGAACCTTTCCGGGGTTACCTGCTTCTCAGTGGGAACCTTGTCTTTCCCGACTTTTCAGCCGAGGAATCGTAAATAGCTTACGTTGGGCGACCATTTGCCACGTATATTGGCCCGGCAGCGGTATTCATCATGTCAACGGTGGTTAATATTTGGACCGGCGGGGTAGTCATCACAATGGTTTAACTAATTGGGCCAGGCAGCGGTAGCTGCTTTGGCTTGCGACCTGGGGACGGACAGCGGTAGCTGCTTTTGGCAGCGTGGTAGCTATAGTTGTCAAGCAATGGTAGCATTTAAATATACTACCACAGGGGCCGGGTAGTGGTAGCTGTCCCCGGTCAGAAGCGGTAGATGCTAATCACCGTTGGCAATGCTAGTTGCCATGGCAACTGTAGCTTTTTAGTATACCCAACTAGCAGCTTAGTAGCCCACTAGTAGTGCACACTCTCGGCCATTTAATCAACTCTCATCTCGTGTTTTTATTATAGGCATGAGCATCCACAGTTTGGTGGCCCATGCCTCCCCATTGGCATATCACTCGATAAAGCTAGTATATTGCTGATATCGGCGTTAAGAAACAAACAAACAAACTTTGTACATGGTTTTTGTGGAATATGTGAACCACAAACTTATTGTAAAATATATTACTACCAAATGGCCCGAATCTTGTATCCTGTATGTTTTGCTTCTGTTGTGCAGGTTGTCCCCACAACATCAGTAACTGTGTGTTCGCGGAGTGTCCATATCCGAACCCTGCGCGATGTGTGCGTTGTCAGGCTGGCTACACGCAGGTTGAAGGAAGATGCATGGGTCGGTTAAAAAGGAAATTTTATACGAAATGCAATTTAAAGAAGAGTTTGAAGAAACTTTGATAAAATGCAGCTCTCTATCGAGTACTCCAGGGGTACTTGCATAATTAACCATGCAGTGTTGTGTCCCTTATATGTCAGGGTCAGCTGAATTTATGAATTCAATGTAATGTGTGCTGTATTATGAGTTACATCCATCACTTTCGGGGGGTACGGGATATTTACGAGCTGAATGTACCTTTACACCATGAGATAAAGTCTTCTGTATCTGTTCACTAGTACAGAAACTTTTCAGTAAAACATGTTTGTGTAACAATATCGTATCTTCCACCAGTGGGTTCGGAATGGTAACGTAAAATGTGAAGAGGGTCATATAACGTTTTGGTGTCCATAAAGGCGGACAGACTTGTATGGGATAATACAAGACTGGTACTGCCTACCCAGGTAGCTGCATTTGATAGTGATCAATGATAACTAATGTTTCAGCCTGTCCATCCCGAACCCCCATCCTGCACTGTGAGGAAGAGGCATCATCCGGATGTCTGTTCAGGTGGTGCCGTAGGTGCGAGCAGGGATTCTACCGGGAAGCTTCTGCTTGTGAAGGTTTGAGTTCCTTGTAAACCGTTTTAACCCTGACACTTCCTATCATCTACAACTATCATAACATACATGTTGACACGCTTGTTATGACAAACCAACTTGACAATATCTCTTTGATATCCAATACAGTGTGTCCCCGTCTCCACGCCGGATGTCGGGATCACGTCTGCTCCTCTACTGATGACGTCAGATGTGTCAGTTGTCATCCGGGCTTCTTCCTGGCTGGAGGCTACTGCAAGGGTAAACAATATGTTGAACTCTCATCTTGTGTTCATATTAAAATTAATGTCATAAATATACTACCTTAACACCAATGCCGTCTGCTCTTCCAGAATGCCCTTCCCAAAACCCAACATGCGACGAAGTCATCTGTAGTGATGCCAATGACGTGACATGTACCAAGTGTAAAGATGGATACTTAGAAGTAGACGGACAATGTATTCGTGAGTCATTTCAGTGGAAACACAACGTTATTCTTTAAAGCCTGTCCTGATATCTCATAAGACTGATACGAGAACAAGAGTTTGAACAATATCCCCGTTACATCACGGTGTGTCAGTTTCCTGTCCGAGGACAGCCGAAGTGATGCAGGTTCGAGACGTTTATCACTTTGGTGAAACCCACGAGCACAGGTATGGTGCTGTCAAACCTAAAAACCTTATCGGGGCTTACCGGAATTCGAACCCACGGTCATAGGTTCCTGGCTTGCCAAACGGACGCAACTCTGCACTGTGAATTGCGGCGCCTTAGTCCACTCGGCCACCCGTACCCCCGCTTCGATGAGGATACATTGTATCGTGTATGTTTCAAGGTCAATAACCGGAACAGTTTCGGTTGCATCTCCAGTGAGCACTTGTATCTCGCTAAAATGGTATCTTTTGATATTTTTCTTTTTGAAAGTGAATATGCAAGAATATTAATGAAAACACTTCGCGGCGGTGATTCCACGATCGCAAGCTCTTCTGTTTCCCGATTTCTCTTGAAATGTTTCTGTCAGTGTGTCCGTCAACGAGCCTGATCCCTGACTGTGTGGACGTCGTCAGAGACGGCTGCTTCAAACACTGGTGTAGGAAGTGTGCTCCTGGCTTCTTCATCAGCGGAACAGTTTGTGATGGTAAATATTCTTATCATTTTGAACTGTCCTGCATGTGTTATGAATGCTACGAATATTGATGTATGTAATGATATTAATTGCATAGATCTTTTTTCACTTCTGTTTCACAATATATAACGTCAACTCCTGAAAACAACAAACCTCTGGAACAGACACCTCGGGTCGTAAAAGAAAAAAACCCCAGTAAAACTATGAGCATTATCTATGGAAGAATGAATGAAGTACTTCCAGTGCATTAAGATCTCTCATGAAATTTCACGTTTATTGTATAATCCACGTCGTCTGCACCTATAAGCTCTTTGTGGCGAATAATAGACAATACCATCTGGTGTTCGTTACGTTAAGTCGTTAAAACATCACATTAAGCCTGGAGATGTGTGACTGCAAAAAAAACATAGATTACTTCTTTCACTTTCCGGAAAGAGCCAATACCTATAATTTCTATGTTATGATTCTGAACGTGTCCATTCTTTCAGTTTGCCCCCTACCGGATGTGGGCTGTGAGCTGGCGGAGTGTAATTCCACCCAATACTCGCAATGTGCCAGATGTTTCCATGGCTACGACTTACAAGGTGGAACGTGCAGTAAGTAGTCAGTGTCCCATAGCTCGAGTTTATTGTCTGGTTTGGACGACAACCATCAGTTTTATTCGTTATGAATTGAAAGCAAATACCATGAATGTGTACGCTACAAGTAAATTGATACTTTGCGTGCGGGTAAAATGAAATCAAATGAGTTGAAATGTGTCAACATTGCGGGAAAAGGGAATTGTGAATTTGAATATATATTGCGTTAAATGGTAATAACTGCGATCAGTTATCATAAACACTGCAGCAAATTGTGACAAGTCAAATGGTAGATCGCTATTGTATTAGTTTATTCACTTTTTGTTCCGATCACATTAATTTAGCTTTTTAATTTCTAATTTCCTTTACAACAGATGGACATTTTGTTGTATATGGAGTAACAAAATATTTGTTAAAAGTAAATATTTGTTAAAATATTTTGTTCGCTATACTTTGCTGGCACAAGTGCTACTCATACAAATAGAAGAAACAAAACCCTTTCGATATTCCTAAGAAATCTCTGCTGAAAGCATAGTCGAATGTACGATTCCGACTATATCATGAACATGTGTTTAGGAATCATGAATCTAAAGTAACCTAATAGAACCACTCTGCCGTGTTGTTTTGTTTCGTGATGTTTTGAATGAGTGAGTGAGTTAATATCCAAAGTCACATCGGCAATATTTCAGTGATATCGTGACTGTTGTCTTAAAGCCAACGATACATGTGTAAGACTATTGGTGTCACTGTTGGGGACACCTGATACTTTCTGGATATCTATTAATTTATAAACAGCATCTGGTAACACTACCTGACATAGGCTAATATCAATCTACATCTATATGTTTCTAAATTATGTCTACTTTTGCAAATCGATTCCTTCTATCAGACTACTGGTGTTCTTGGTGAACAGGACGAAGGCATGACAAACTGGCCATGTTGTTTCACCTCCGCCACATGTCCTCGTGATTTAAATTTCATAAAGATTGAATCTAAAGATAACCTCTGAACAATTAGGATTTAACTACTTTCCAGATAGCCACTACAGTCAAATATAACCCACTCCATTTCAATAGGTTATGTCCTGTCCAGTTGCACAACAAATATATTTCACCTTCTTTACCATTTGAAAAGTACGGAGCGGAAAGATTCCTATATTTCACACTTTCCATATTATAATGTTTGATTTTAGTAAAGATTTTTTATGATTATGAAAATACTTTCTTTACTGAAAATAACATAACCTAGAACCTTGTGGTGTGGTGTAAATATCAGACAGTGAACATTCTCAATCATCTGCCGAAACAGATTCCACCAGAAGCAAAAAGGCAACAGAGCGGTGAAAATTATATGAAGGATCACTAAAAATCGGTGAAGACTCAATGTGTTAGCGAAAGGGGTAATAGCCATGTTCTCCCTTACCAGTAACACTCGCAACTTACACAATTTCAATGAAAGAGGGGACACGGGTTGTCCAGTCGTCTGAGGCGCCGCGATTCGCTGTGCAGAGTTGCGTCCCTTGGGCACACCAGAAACCTATGAATGTGGGTTCGAATCCCGGTTCGCCCCGATTATGTTTCTAGGTTTGTCAGCACTATACCCGTGCTCGTGGGTTTCACCGAAGTGGTAGACGTCTGAGACCTGCATCACTTCGGGCTTTCCTCCCACATTAAGCTGACACGCCGTGATATAACTGTAATACTGTTAAAAGCGGCGTTAAACCCAACTCACTCACTCACTCAATGAAAGAAGTAAGTGTTTGTTGCCTGACGCGGCACAGCATTACAGTCATGTGACGGTGACAATACATTCCTAAAATTATAAGATTAATTCAACATTAATTATATACATACATACAATATGCACGTATGTAACTTTTTGTTTTGCTTTTGATTTGTAGATTATTCAAACTTTACAGGTTCACCGATATATGGCTAAATGGTTGTTTGTTATAGCTGACTGCAGACAATTGAAATTGAAATTATTTTTTATCCATTTGTTAGTTACCACACACAAAATGCATAATGAACATAAAAAGAATGGGTTAATGATTAAAAATAACCTTATGGTTATCGCCCACCTTTCCGTAACTTGATTGGTTGGTTGGTTTGTTGTTTAACGCTGCACTCAGCAATATTCCAGCTATATGACGGCGGTCTATAAATCGAGACTGAACCAGACAATCCAGTCATTGATATCATGAGCCTCTATCCAAGCAATTGGGACCGATGACATGCTTCAACCAAGTCAGCGAGCTTCACCACCCGATGCCGTTAGTCGCCTCGTACGACAAGCATTGTCGCCATTTACGGCAACATCTATCCCGGATCTTCATTTGTCTCCGTAACAAGAAATGTATGCATATGATCTATTCTTCTGCATTCATTCATTTACCACCGTTTTGTTATCATTGCATCGTGGTATTACAGTTTAACAAAGTGTTGTTTAAATTCATCCTGGTATTACAGTTTAACAAAGTGTTGTTACAATTCATCATGGTATTACAGTTTAACAAAGTGTTGTTACAATTCATCATGGTATTACAGTTTAACAAAGTGTTGTTACAATTCATCATGGTATTACAGTTAATACAAGTGTTGTTACAATTCATCCTGGTATTACAGTAACTGTTTAACATAGTGTTGTTACAATTCATCCTTGTATTACAGTTTAACAAAGTGTTGTTACAATTTAAAACACTTTCTTAAACACTTTAAGTCGTGGGTTTCTTCGATCTCCCTTTTTCATTTAGTGATAATAATAAAGATATAAACACTCTCGTTTTCTTTAAAGCGCATTCCCATGGTAACGAATCAATCACTACTTCAACCCGGTGCTTGGACAGCCCACACGTCAACTGTGCCTCCCTACAGTCATCTCTCAAAGTCTGCTCAGAACCGAGTACGGCCTGTCGCTACTGCCCTCGATACTGCAACATGTGTCACACGTGTACACAAGGCGTGCCTATCATTGGATGATGAAAAAGCGAGTGTGTGAGTGAGTTGTGTTTTAAGCTGCTCTGCGCAGTATTTCAGTGACATCGCGATGCGAGCTTGTTGTGGGGGGAAATCTCGAAGTGATGCATATCTTCAGTGTTTATCAGTTTAGCGAAACCAGAGCAAAAAACATGATCAAATAAATAGGAGATTTGAACCAACAATCATAGATTTCTGGCTGGACTCAACTCTGAAAATAAACAATGCAATGAAACTAGGAACACTGGCATTATTAATTACGATGGCTTATTTTGAGAGATACTGTCATTGTTGAGAGCATTTGATACACTGTATATTAATGTATAATAAAAATATGTATGCAGCAGAGATTATTGTATCAAATTTTTATTTATGCAGTCATGAATGTGATGATACACAGATAATATTTTCAAGCGTGTGTGTGTGTGTGTGTGTGTGTGTGTGTGTGTGTGTGTCTGACTTTGTTGATGCATATCATCGATCCCAATTGCGTGGGTCGATGCTCATGATGTCAATCACTGTATTTACTGGTCCAGACTCGATTATTTACAGACCACGGTCATATAGCTGGAATATTGCTCAGTACGGCGTTAAATAACAAACAAACAAACAAATTATTCATGATCATGGTCCCAATATTACAATAAAAAACATTAAAGTACTCTCTAAAGGAGTGTCAACATAGCAATGAGTAATACTAATTTTCAGAAATGACATGCAAGTATATCGTATAACTAATGTCCTAAAATATTTCAATTCAAGACCTGACACTACCTCCTTCTTTCGGCTAGGGAAAACTTAATTTAACAATAATTTAAAATACAATCATATGTTTATTATTGGTGAAATAGTCACTTTAAGGCAACACAACGTTTTGTGATTTTCTGTATTTATATGTCGTAAAATGACGTCACACTGTTTGCTTACTGAATAAACTTTCAGTGTACGTGACCCTGAACGAATGGACATGACGTCGTTGTGCTGGCGCATGCCTCAATGTCTCGATAAAATGGGATGTCGACCGTGAGGATTCCGTTTCAAATTTCCCAGTGACACTGGTTTGTCGTACGAGGTGACTAAATGCTTCGGATCGTCACTGATTTAACTGCTTCAGACTCAGTTATTTACAGGCGGCCGTCATATGGGTGGAATATTGCGAAGTCCGGCGTTAAACAACAAACAAACAAATGTTCCTGCTTAAGGAAGTCTATGCTGATATTTGTGTTGATATATTTGAAAACTAAACGATTTTGTAGTGTTAAGGTTAGCGAAAAACGTTATTGCAATAAAAGCAACAAAACCCTTTTCGTATTCATAAGAAATCTCTACTAAAAGCAGAGAGTCCATTGTACGATTCCAACTGTATCATGTGTTGATGAATCACATACCAGGATTCCAGGATACCAGGATACCAGGAGCTCGCGAAAAAAAGGGTGAGCGTTTTCTGCCTCACCAGTGACCCATGTTTAAACAGCGGTGATGGCTGCACAGCATTATGCTGAAACGCGTGTTGATAACACGCAGAACAAATGCAGAGTAAAGCTTATATGCATGTCGTTGTTTACTGCTCAGTTCGCAATGTTCAAGGTTCATCATATGGCTCTCCGAAACTAATGGACCCCAGTGATAAACTGATGGGCAAAAGAAAGTATACAAAATTGTTTCTTATGTAACTGAAAATTGAAAGAACTGTTGATAAATTGGGTTATGTCAATTTAACTATCACTCATTCCTACAACAGTTTGTAAAACGTATACTGTGGCTGGGTATGTCTGTGTTAAAAACAATTGGTTCAGTGAAGACTTGGTTAAGAAACGAATTTGCAACCAAACGACTGCTACCATGTTTGAACTCGACCCTTAAGAAATGACCAAATGAACCAACGGTGAAGTTGTTCTTTTTTATTTTACAGTTATTTGTTTAGTAATGATCACTGCACACTCAGTGCTTGTGTTTACTTTATACATGTTCTCATCCGCGGCCCTGAACGATTATCTCCCATTTGTTAGACAGTGGAGAAGGGGGGTAGGTTGGACACCCACACTAGGACATAAGGAAGTGAGTGAGTGAGTTAAATTTTACATCGCATCGGCAATATTTCAGCCATAGGAAAGTGGTTTGACGGAGTTTGCTGTCAAAATGGGACGTCTGGCGGGTCTTCTGGCGACAATCCCTGCACATCTGAGGCGACGACGTACGGTTTGTGAAGGCCAGGGATGCTTCTTGCAGTCACCGTTGCTGACTGGAATCGATATCGTATGTGTGTTGTGGCTGGAATCGATCTCGTAGGTGTGTTGTTCGAATCCAGTTGTCTTGTCGATTATTGGTTACGCGTGGCCTGCCAGTCGTGGCATTTCGTAATGTTGGATAATTGCGTAATTTTGTTGTTTTTCTGAGTGGTTGTTGTCAGCACGATGCTAAACAATGCATATGGAATCCCGTTAACGCACATGTTTTTATACCTATTCTTGGGTGATGAAATGCATGGGGCTTGCATAAAAGTCAACTTTTGCAATGAATGCATGCTTTTCTGTAGCAGTTGCGTTTTTGTGACTTGATTCCATACATGTTCTACAATATTGAAGAACAAACCTCACTTGTTTGAAAAATACACTAAAATATTGGTGTCACAGGAACTTTTGTTGTTGAGTATATATACTCGAAATATAACACAGTTTATCTATTATTGAAACTGACTATAGGGTGAAAAATTAAAAAAAACTGTAACGCAAAGGGTACATAAGCGTTTGCGATGTCAAGGCTACTTAATACAATCCACATAAAGAATTGGTCAAAGGACGCCAGGTGCAACATCTTGACGGGCGTAAGAGCTGAGTTCATCAATTAAGGTTTGATGAGTTATTGTTTGTTTGTTTGTTGTTTAACGCCGCACTCAGCAATATTCCAGCTATATGACGGCGGTCTGCAAATAATCGAGTCTGGACAAGACAATCCAGTGATTGACATCATGAACATCGATCGGGATGACATGCATCAACCAAGTCAGCGAGCCTGACCACCCGAGCCCATTAGTCGCCTCTTAGGACAAGCATAGTCGCCTTTTACAGCAAGCATGGGTTGCTGAAGACCAATTCTAGCACGGAATCTTCACGGGACTTGCAGAGTTTTTGATTTGTAGTAATACTGTGATCCCATAATGTATATAGTTCAGATAATCACTGTGATGAAGAAATATGATAATGATTGACATTATAGTTTTTTTTATTAATATCCATATAGTAGCATGGGCAGGGTTGGCGGTGGGGACGCCAAGCCACAATAGATCCTGATTTGATTACTTACAGATGACATACCTGAAACAGCAGACTGCCGCGTTGCACAACTTTCAATTATTCACCAACAGCAAACATTAACTTATTTCTATATGGTGCTTGTAAGTCAAAGTAAGACTTTGATAGGCACGTAGTTGGAAGAACATGAAGAATAAAACTTGTTTATGAATAACAACTTCTTTATTCTTGTTCCAGAAGTTGTTATCGAGGACAAATACCATGTCTTCATGTTATGAGTAGTGTTTGAATATTGTTTTATATTTATTGCCATATACATCTATCTTTGTTTTTTCATTGAGTTGTTAAATGACTGCTTTGAAACATGCACTTGTTTGAACAGTTTACATGTGTAGTTCCAAGTAAGGTTCAACATACATACATATTTCTACCGTTTTGTGACATTTACAGTTTCTACCTTGATTTCACCCATCCCCTTTGATTTCGGGAACCAATGAACGGAGACATTCACATTTCTCACTGTCCCGCACTGAATCGGCCATGTGCGCACTGGTGTGTGACCACTGGTCAGCGATGCACACATTAATTAGTGATTCCACTATTCATTGTAGGTAAAGTGCTAATTAGTGCCAATTCCCCCTTTGTATCGTCTCCCTCGTAGAAACGCCTGTGTTCAAGCGTCCACAACGGAGCATTGTAAGTAGAAGCGTTCACAGCGAACCTTAGTGAGTAAAACCGCCCACAACGACCCTTATTGAGTAGAAGCGTCCACAGCGTACCTTTCTCAGTAGAAGCGTCCACAACGTACCTTACTGAATTAAAATGTCCACAACGTACCTTACTGAATTAAAGCGTCCACAACGTACCTTACTGAGCAGAAGCGTTTACAACGTACCTTACTGAATAAAGCGTTCTCGACGTACCCTAGTGAGTAGCAGCGTCCACAACGTACCTTATTGAGTAGAAGTGTCCACAGCGTACCTTTCTCAGTAGAAGCGTCCCCAACGTACCTTACTTCTTGCCCAGCAGAGACTGCTTTTGTAGTAAATAATCCAAAGGATCGGACCCCTGTCTTTTGCACTTCAAGATGTTATCACTGATTATGACTCCATTGTGCACTGTATGGATTGTTTCTTTCTTGTCGTCTTTTTTCATTTGTGGGGCGACACGCTGGATTTCTGGTGATACTTGAAGATGACGTTCTTTCATCATGGTCAAGTAGACTTTATTCGCCACTCCCGACGTTTTGGAAAGTTCAAGTGGCATGTATTTGTTCACCGCTTTGTTCAACATAAAAACCCATGCCGAATTCCCATGTGGACACCGCTGCTATATGGTCTTCTAATATAATCATTGGTGTTATCGAGCAACTGGAAATTGGCACAGAAAAACTAAAAAAATACGGATCAATTTTCTCCTTTATGACTGGGATATCTTCATTTGATATCTGTTATGGGCAACAAGGGAATGAACGTCTGAAAATCGTTTATTTAGTTCTTCGTACCTCTAACTGAAAAGTTATTTTGCAATTCATAGCCAAACGGACTGTAACTGGTGACATATATGTTGCTTTTAGATACATTGAGTACTTTCATATCTTGATGAGCCATTTGCTATTTTAGCCGTCATGTTTAAACAATGTCATACTCCAAAGATACTGTGTTTTGCGTATGTACCATGCGCTGACTCATTCTCTCGGCAGCACAGCTCAGCACACAGGATGACAAGGAATAAACCACTAATTTTTATTTGTTGGAAGAGTTTTTTATATAATCAAACTCGATCCTCAGCAAACTTTGAAGAGTTTATATCAACACAGGCAGCCACTTAAACGCTGCTATCATCATTAGAAGGGACAAGCAATCACACAGGGAAGT